TCGCACTGGTACCATTTACCTCTTATGTCTACTCCACCGTCGGAATCTATTGAATTGGGGTAGTAATAAATGGGGGCAAAGATTTATTATTATCCATGATTACTGTGTTATTGTAAAGGTATCCTAAATATTGTATGGATCGTCAGTATATTTCAGACCAGGTATTACGTACCTGCGATTTGATCTACTTTGTTTGATATTTTTTTTACATTTATACATTATTTACATTAACATCATTCAGTCTGCCTTAGTTCGTTGTGAAATGGTAACAGACTCATTTTCATATTTATATGGATTTTACAGGTTTAACAGCAACAAACTTTTCTTAAGGTACAACGCCTTGTAGCCGACTTTTATCTGCTGGTCATCGTTAGAGGCGTCTGCGAGAGTAAAGTACAATTATTGTACGTTTGAGTTACAGTAGGCCTGTTGGGTCGATAGACAGAAGTGTAGAAGTGAAACAAAACTCAAAATGAAAATTATTATACTGAATGATCTAGACAGAGTAATACTCGAAGAAATCTTTACTTGCGTTAAGAGATGAGACCTGTGGTAAGCAGTGTAATATTATGGCAGGATAGGGGGGGTGGGGGGAAGGAGAGGATTGTTAGTAATGTGGACTAATCTATTAAAAAAATGGAGTATTATGATGAATTTTATTTATTCATAATACTCCATTCCAAGGAGTTCGGGTTTCTTATTTATCAATAAGGTCAATGGCAATTTATTTTATGAATAGTAAAAAGTAGATTTGTCGATAAAGAGCGCTTCTCTATTATAAGTTTAAAACAACATACAGTTGTTATTGTAAAGAAATTGCATTGTGTTGTCGTGTCATTTTAAAATGTTTTATTATTTATTTGTATTCGATTCTTATTCATGTAATAAAATATAGATATTTACATCATCAATATAGAAATATGTTCTTTTATAATACATGTAATTAGTATATGTTAACTTGATATATTGAAATTAATATGCATGCATGTTCGTTAAAAAAACATTTATTTTCAATATCTTTACAATTTTATAAAGAAACAAGCTGTTTTCTGTCACTTCATCTTATATAAAATATAGCTGATTTCATAGCATATGTTCATATTCATATGAAAAGGTAAAAAATAGATAGACAGAGGATCTGTCTTCTGTCTGTCTATTTTTATTTATTATTTCAAAAATCATTAGATGACTGATGTGCGACTGATTAAATTAATGGCGTAGGTACGTGGAACACCAGGAAAGGTTGCAATAATGAAATAAAATCATCAGAAATATACTATGAGTAAAGCTAGGCATATATGGGGAATAACGGAAATAAAGGCAAACTGACAACCCACCTGGTGGTAAGTGGTAACCACCAATGTACATGAACAACACTTCGGACTATCACGTGACCACTCATGCGTTGTCATTCCGGACAACTAAGATGATTTTTCTCTTATCTTGTAAGTTCAGTGCCTTATCACCCTAACATCCTTCAAACAAAATACCCCTTAAAAACAAGCTATTTATTACTATTCTAGAGTTCTGTTAATTACTATACACTACGTATTTATGAAACACACATGATATCCTATCATTTTTATATAATCATATATACAAAGAGAGATAATTAAAAAAATAATTTCGCATTATTCCACCATATATTGCCGTATTCTAAAATAATGAGATTAAGGAAGGATGGGATTAACAAAGTAAAAAAAAATATTTTAATAATTTTAGAAATACTACTAATGTTTACTCTAACATAAAAATAAATAATATATTATACTAAATTCGATATATTTAATGAAGTTTTTATATTTTCTTTTGAAATTACAGAATCCAATAAATATTCCCGAATCAAATTACCTGAGCGGGCAATATATTCGCTGATAACACCTTCGAGTGTAAATTATTTGCCTGCTCTAATGGGATCGATTATTTGCTTTGGCAGTTACGATCTAAATTGCTTTGTGCCATCACAAGACACGGCCTATACATCATAGGGGAGCAGATTTCCCTACAAGATTTTTCGAGTTAGCCGAAGAGTTGATATTCAAACGATAGACAAATATTATGATGATAATTTTCTCAGACCAAATCCATCTCATACGTAGTCCTTCGCCATCAGCGGAACTAAAAAACGACTGGACTGAATATCTCGTGGTGTACAGATTGAGCATAATGTATCTAATTATAGGTCGATACATTACCTTAGCATCTCATCTACAAAGCTAGCTAGTCTTAATCAGAAAAAATAGGTACATGGAACAATCTGCTATGGTGTAAACACCATAACGACGTTGATGTTAAAACAAACCAAAACCACCCAGGACGACGTTGATGTTAAAACATCAACGTCGTCCTGGGACGCAGCACCGCATGTCCTTCGTACGTCTGGATTGGTATAAGCTTTCTCCGTGCTGAATACGCATGTTCAGTGTGGCATTGCTCAGATGGCTATTCCATCTGGAATAATAGTAAGACAATAAAGTTAGGAATAAAAGTAAGTATGGTAATAGAGTAGTCAGTCCAATGACTGCTAATAATGAATGGAAGGGAAAAAGATATTACGCTGATCCTAAATAGCTGGTATAAGGAACAAGCAGATGATGATGTTCGTAATAGTAAGAGGTGTTGTCAACTGCAGCAGTTTATAGTCCAAGTCCTATGTCCTCAAGACCAAGACTTGCTCATATTTCGTGAGGTACAGAGAATCAAAATTGCTAGACAACGAGCCTATCCTAGTTTCTCGGATTAATTTAATTTATTATCGATATTTCCATCACCAAAGAGTTCGTCAAAATAAATTAACACGCTTGATAAATTATCGACCAGATTTTTAACGATCTTCGGGGTTCAATTTCGTTATTAAAACACTAAGCCATATAAATATTTCATATTATGTATATATACTTATATGTTCTAATAAGTTTGCTAAGTTTGTAGCATTTATGTTTTACTCATTTTATTAGTCTTATCAGAAAATTTCTAACATGTATAACAGGGCATTTTATTAGCGTAGTAAGGCAATCAGATATGACCACTAACGATTTCTTTGTCCAAGACCTGAAACATAATTTGATTTATTTTTCCATTTCCGACAGTTCATTTATTTAATGGAAACAAAAATTATGTTGTAGCAAATGTGGCACGTTAATGGAAGGCGTTATATGGCGCGGTGCCGCCCTCTGCCTCTTAAAACCCATATCAGATCAAAGCACGCGCTTTTTGAATCAACCACAAGCACTGCATTCGATATGCTAAAATAAAGTATAATTATTTAACATTAGGTACATCTAATTGAGTACACATGTGTATTTTTTTTATGTAATTGGAATAGCAAACAACCTTATGTCCCAATTGACGATACGTGATACTGACTATATTATTATATATATCATAAGGCATCATGTATTATCACTCCGGAGAACTAGGATGACATGACTATAACAGGGTATAACCCTATAATTTGACCCTTCAACCGAAATAACTTACCAAGCAACCTGCTTGTCGGCTTAAATAGCTGGGGTAGAGGTAGGCATGGGTGGTGGTATGAATTTGGAAAAATTATACCTATGTAGGCTATAAGACAGATTTAAAATTGTAAACAGATTCATTTGATAATTACTATACTACAAGTATACTCTCTTCTTTATTTGTGACATTTCACAAAATAAAGTGCTAAAGTTTCAATGGTGCATGTTTATTATTAGAAAACTTTTTGGACAAATCACTAGACGAACCCTTGTGGCGGACCTTCCTCATAAATCTTAACCTTTGATGAAGTCTGTAAACACATCTGCGATGTTTACATTTGTGATATTTTGTACAATATATGACACCTACTGAAAATATCGCTAAATAAATTCTTCCCTACCTTACCCAAATTGCAGAATTTATCTTATGGCTACATGATAACTTATAGACATACTTATGTTAATTTTTTTAAGTATATATATTGTTCATAATTGGTTGTTACCTGCTTCTATTCTTCACATCAAATTTGAATAAGATACGTTCAGCCGTGTAGTCACTATACTATCGAATTTATAATACTGTTGTAACCTGTGAGTTCGTTTGCAAGTCTCATCATCTAAGTCACCTCGGTCTAATTTGAGATAAAAGATAACCTATGTCTATCCTTGGGATAAAATTTATCTTCATTAATTAATTCAGGAGGTCATTTCATTAAGATTCTTTCAGTCATCAAAATTTTATTGCTTATATAATATTAGATGAACAAAATTATGTACATATATCTAATATTAAAACATACATCCTATTTTCAGGAATAGACAGTTGGTACAAAAATGTGGCACTTATAAAAAACTTCAACAATGTATTAATATTGATTAATTGAATAATTTATTACTTTTCTGACATTGTGTTATACACAATTTATTATTGACGCAACTAAAAACACATCAAGAACGTATTGGATACATATTATGAGAGTTCTGTACATGTCTATTCAAGTCCTAATTTAGCAGAAATTAGTGACGTATGGTTAATAATTTTCTGTGTAATAATGGGTTTATAATAATAACAAAGAGATACTCGATGGGAAACGAATATTTTTTTTTATTCTACGACTAACGAGAACAGCTTAAAATGATGTTGATGAAAAAAAAATATGAATTATTTTTGCTAACAATTTTTGTGCTTCAATGAAAACATTCTTCTTATTTTTTATTGTTAAATAATGGAATGATTTTCATGGATAAGTTGAATTTAAAATAGAAATGTTCAGCATTGGGATAGACAGACTGAGTAGAGTTATAACGGTTTCTTTTATTTTTAGTTGTTTTTGACTATGGAATCCTGAACTGAGAACATAATAAATGTATGTACACAAGTTTTCCTTTTATAGATACTGAAAAAATATTATTTCAATATTATATTTGTTGAAACAAGTGCATGAGCATAATTATAAACACGATTATCTACTACTATATAAGAGGTAGGTAGGATCCTGTACAATACTTACATTGGACGGTATTTTTTAGTCGGTTGTAATGTTGAAGACGATTTTTCTTGTTGCCATTGCGGCTAATGTATTTCTTATAGTATCTTCTACAGGTATGTAAAAAATAATAAGTAACCTTTTCACTAACAAAGTGCCTAAAGACTTCTGAATTGATAAAATTTTGTATGTTTATTTATTTAAATAACTTTTATTAAAATTAACTTTTTTATGTAAGTGCAAGAACAACAAGAACAAGAAGGTAATTTCCCACGAGATAGAAAGTAGCATGTCATGCCTTTATGCGTTGCTATTTCTGGAGACGTACATTCACCGCCATACCTAATCCTTCCAAAAAGAAAAACCAAAACACATTCCTCCTGCCTGGTGACAGACATTAGTAGTCAGAGTTAGATGAGGTAAACAGATGTAGTTATATAAACTCTATTGTGATATAAAGCTAATGAAACAGCACCTGGACAATTCTAACACGAAACAAACTACCACTAAACAATAGCATATCACATACGTTAGAATCTGTGTCTCCCATGGTATTTGGGAAACTATGAAACGAATTTGTATTGGCTGTACAACATGGACAAAAAACACATATATTATTAATTAACGGATTATTCATTTTTAGATGAATGTTGCGGCGAAAATGAGACATATGAAGACTGTCCAGCTACAGTTTGTAGACCAAAAAAATGCTCGGACTTGGGTTTTCCGCTAAATTGTCCCGATGAAAAACCAGATGGTAGCTGCCCAGGAAAACCTGGATGCATATGTAAATTTGGTTATGTTCGAGACAAAGATGGTGTATGCATACCCTCAAAAAATTGCCGTAAGTTGAAAATAAATTATTATTATTATATTTTAAATTGTTAAAAAAAAAGAATTCTTCAATGTTAGTATCATCACAAACAGAGGTGAAGGTCTGTCCCTATGTATGCTGAAATTTTTAAAACTATGCAATGGATTTTGACACGGTATTTTTTAAATAGGTAGAGTGATTCAAGTTAAAGGTGTAAATATATTATACATGTACACCCTTGCGAAGCCGGCCCGAGTAGTTAGTTATAACACAATAACTAAGTATTCTGTTTAGACTATTAAATTTTGATTATTTAATTTTTATGGACATAAAATTTACAGCTTCATGTGGAGGGGACAAGAATGCAGTCGCAGGGTGTGGAGTGAATTGTAATAAGCATTGTTCAGACATCGGCAAAGAACCTGGTGCATGCATTCTACTATGCTATCCAAATGGATGTGACTGCAAAGATGGTTATTATTTGGACGATAAAACTGGAAAATGTGTCCTACCTTGCAACTGCAGTAAGTAATCATTAAAACTATTACAAAAGTTGTTCTGTTTGTTAGTTATATTTAAATAAAAAAGAAAACCTTTTCGTAAGAAAATAATCCAATAATATAAGTGTTAATTTGCAGCATATTTCTTGTATTAACTATTAAAGTAAAGTCATTGTAATCTACTGTAATAAAAAAAATAAGCACAATTCAATTTTAAGATTTTAATTATAAAGTAATCAATTCTGAAATATATTTAGCTGAAAAGAATAAATAAGACATCCAACTGTTACTATATATTTAAATAACAGAGAATTTGTGAATTTCAGTAGAAATAAGAATAGCACAATTCTTATTACAACTGACATTCTCATACAGTTATAAAAGAAACAATTTTAGTCAAAGAAGTGTTTAACATATTTCTGAATAATCATTTAGTAGTTTCATAACTCACTAAAATGTTAATCACGCCGTTAAATTCCTGGAATTAACAATTTAAGCTTTGAAGTTAAAAAGTAATTTACAATATGAACATATAACAATATATAATGATATTATTATTATTATTATCATATTCCTCAATTTTTAGTTAATAACTGTTTTTGCTATCTTTTTCTACTACGTGTCAAAGTATGAGAGTATGCAATCCAGTTTGGAAATCCAGACTTTCTGCGGAAACTATTTTCATAGATTTTGTAAAGGTTACTAGCAATCATAATAGATTTTATTCACATGCACCGAATTTCATCCGCAGGAAAGCTTATTATTAAAATTTCAATCTTCCACTACATAAAGCTTAGACATTTTTGTTATGTAGTTGCATAATATTAGCTACTTTAAAGTAAAATTCGATTACATTTACATAGATTTTTCCTTTATATATACTTCATTAAGTAAAGTTTCATAATTTTATGATATGGTATGTTTCCCGAATAAAAAAATAACTGTAGTATATAATAAGTTGTACAAAAAAACTGTCTGATTTACATATTGTTCGTGAAACTATTTAAACCTAATAAGTTTTAAAGATAATATCTTTAATTTAATTTTGATTTGTAAACTGTTTTGTTCCTACTTTGTGTCTATACATAATTTATATCTCTGTTTTGTTTTATGAAAATACTTTTCAAACTTAATTTAATTGTTATGTAACATATTGTTATAGTTAGGTTTTTAATTGTCTAACATCTACAATTGGAAACTGAATAAAATTGTAGCTATTATTGCGAACATTACTTGACACCTTTTATTTCTCTACATAAAACATTTTGCTGTACCCTATATTTCATAACATATTTAGAATACTATAATCAAGAAAAATCACTTGAGTATTTTAAAAACAAATGAAATATATCGTAGGATATTGAAAATTTTATTATAAAAGTAATGCAAAGCAATAAAGGTTATACTGCCGTAATAATTATAAGTCATAAATTAATGTAGTTTATATAGTCGTATATATATTCATAATTTATGACACAAAGCAAAAACCATCGAAAATGTTAGTTATGAACCAAAAATTAATTAATTTTAAGAAAGACAAAATATGGCAGCTTAGAATTTAGCAATATGAATAGTATTGAGTAAATTAAACATAAACATAACAGTTTTATTAGATAATGTATGTAAATTATATAATTATATAGGAGTATAACAAATAAATGGTTAATTTAAATACCATACATGCAATACAGCATAATGAAATTACACATTCTACAAGAAGCTCTAATTCAATCGAAATTATCAAATATTTGGAAAGCTATGGGTTACGTAAAAACTTCTAGAAGTGGAGTATAACAAGGAGTATAAGAATACTTAGAAAATTAAATAAGCTTGTAATAATCTCATACATAAATAACCGACAAAATTTAAATTCCTATTACTACAGTGTTGTTATTTATTATTATTACTGTATAAAAAATTTAACGCAAAGATTTATGTGATATATTATTTAAATTACTCTCGTTTTCCTTATTCATAAATGCAATTGTCTTGAATGAATTTCTCGAGAGTTTACTGTTACGTCATAAAATACCAGTATATATGAATCAGAAATTGATTCGAACATCTATAAAATGTCGGTCATTAGCATCAAAAATTGTAGTTAAAAGCATAAAATATCCTATTTCATTAAAATATATAGTTGTCCACCCCATTATGGTAAACAAATAGTATATATAAAAACAAATAGTAAATAAAAAAATATTTCCTATAATGTACAAAATCTATATAAAAATATTCATTTTAGGTGCGGAATCAAAAGACAATCCGGGAAAATCTTCATCATCATCATCATCGAACTCGTCATCACAATCATCAGCATCATCGAATAGTAATAACAATGGCAGTAAGTAAATAGTATTATATTCTTTTTCGAACCGAATTATTATTCTGAATTGGTGTTGGTCCTGCTTTTTTAAGATAAAAGATAATGAATTTATTGTATTCTATCTTTATGTTAAATTGCATTGAGAACTATTAAACTGTTTTATCCTGAAAAGTACACAAACAGCCAAATAGACAGGTACACTTTTCGATTTATAAATCGGCTACTTAAACCTCTTTTTAGTTATATGGCCCACCCACATCTTGTGTTTACTAATAATATGTATTTATTTATTTGTGCACAGTTGTCTATGTAAATGTATTTTCTATAACCGAAACAATAAAGAGTTTTTATTATTAAATAGTTTGTTTATATTTGAAATTTTAATTATTAACCATTGTTGTATTCATACGGCGTAGGATCTTGTGGTTGATATAGTTTAAAGGTGTATGTATGAACAGTTGTATTTTGTATATCTGGCTGTTACAGTTAACTTAGTACATATCTTGCACTATTAATTTTGTCCGTAGAATCAGCTTCTAATTCGTCTGCATCGTCCCAAAGTTCAAGTTCGTCTTCATCTAAAAGTGGAAAATCTTCCGATTCATCCTCGAATTCATCAGCGTCAAGTTCTGCATCATCATCAGCATCGTCATCATCATCCTCAAAGTCTCCCAAGCCCGATCCTAACTGCCCAAATAATGGTAAGTAGTAGGGAGTAGATATATTTTTATTGAATTATAAGATTGTATGATATTATATAAATACAAGTATCTAGTATTATTACTGGATACTATCTATGGAATATATATTATGATATATCTAACATGAAATTTCATTGCGAATTTCGAGTTACGTATATGCTTATAACATAAAACGATTACTCGAAAACGGTTTTTGCCATCCGACGACCTATAGTTAGCTGTTCTCCTATATTCATACCTATACATATACCCATTAATGACATTTCAAAATGAGTCGTACTGGTAGATGTCGAGATTCTTACCTTGCTTTACTGTTATATATTTATTTATTTATATACTCAAACTTTTTTGTAACGTGTAGTGATACTGCTGTAAATTTGTTGTAATAAACAATTCTATATAATTCTATTATATAAGTGTTTGAGTTACTGTACCAATTTTAGATAACAATTTATCCTAACCCCTAGCGGTTATAACCCCTTTTTAATATAAATAAAAGATACCCCTTCTGAAATCGGACTTGTGTACACATTTTTCTTTTTGTGTCTTCGTTTCACGTCGCCTGCTTCATTTCTTTACAAAAAGGTCCTATGCAAAAGTTTTTCAATAATAACTTTGAACAATTTATTCTATTGAAATAAGAAAAGCAGTTGTGAAATCTACTTAGCAAAGGTGAAAACAGTGTATTCTGTTTGAATATTATTTGATATGACGTGTGTTTGAAATTGTGCTATTTTATAAAGATAGTTGTATAGTAAAAATAGTTATCTGGTAAATCGAAATTCTATTAGGCAAGATTATTCTTAATTAAGGGCTAAAATTACAAAGTTTTACATAGATATTTTTGTATAATAAAATTATACAAAAATATCTATTTCTATATGTTTAACTAGATCCGACAAATCTTATAGATATCTATATATTTTTTTAATTTGCTTAAATTTATTTTATTCATTGTAAATGTAATCTTTATTAAATCTTGAACATTACACAGGTAAAAGATTAGATATAGATTATATAGACAAAAATAAATTAGACTTAATACTATTAATGCAGTATTGGTAAATATGATGGAACCAGTAGTTAAGTCTCTTCAAGTGAAGTTGTAGTGGACTTAGTAGTACTTTTCTTATTAAGATATACTACCTATGGATATTATAGACATAAGCAATAATTATAACCACCATTTCACTTAATAAAACATGTTAATTGATTATTACAGATAAATGTCCAAGACAGAACGAAGTGTATGATCCATGTCCTATAATCTGTGCACCGGATACTTGTGACTCTATTGGCAAATCTTATAATTGCCCTAATATTCCATCAGATCCCTATTCTGTACCTGGATATTGCAAACCGGCTTGTAAATGTAAACCCAATTATTTTAGAAATCTTATCAACCAATGTATATCCAAGGATGACTGCTGTAAGTATCCAATCATGAATAATACATTTTAATATTATTTATTTTGGTAAAGGGGATTGTTATTAATGTGGACTAATAACCACATTGCTAACAATATACCATGTGAAGTTGACCTTCACATTGTTCCCCCTGGTAGCTATCGTGATAAAATCCTGGTGAATTATTCACGATGGGATTACTGATCTGACCACTGGTGCTTCGACAGCGTAAACTGTTACACTAACGGTTTACGCTGGCGAGGCAGAAACGGAAACACCATTGCATTAAAAAAATAATGTTATACATTTAAAAAAATGTGACAGTTGCCGTATACAATTATTTATAAAAAATAAACATACGCGCTGTGCCGTGTAACAATGTAAATATTCCGTTTTTAAATATGTTCAATTGTGAACAACCTTGAAGATAGCTTAAATTTAATATTTATGTGTACTACAAAAGTAGATATCGTCAAAAATCGGTCATCATATTGCTATATTTTTTTTTGTAGGCGTTTTTAGAATTAATTTCTTTCGACATGTTGTTCAATAATAACTTAAAATAGCTCAATGTTCTCAAACAAAATTTATTAGTACTAATCATGTAGTACTAATAAATTTTGTAATTTAGTAATATGTTTATACTAAAACCAATATAATATTAATATTTAGAAAAAATAAAATTAACGAATTCCAAAAATACTGTTTAAATAATACATAAAATTGCTTTAGTCGTCATCGTTACGTGATAACTGATAATATAATAATAATAAAAATACAGTCGAAATGAGTCACCTGTTTGGTAGTCATAATATTTTTACTATTTTATTTCTGTGCCTTTAGTAAAATGTACGGGACCGCATGAATATTTCTCATGTGGTGGTGCTTGTGACAATGTTTGTGCTACAATAAAACAACAGAATCAAACCCACTGCCCGATCATTAACATCACTTGCAATAGAAAATGTTACTGTGAGGAGGGTTACGCTCGAGATGCCAACAATATCTGTATACCTATTGACCAGTGCGAAGGTAATCTTTTCATTATCTTTTCAGTTCATGTATAACCTAGAAATATATTTAAAAAAATATTTAGGTTTACAAATATAAAAGTTTTGTAAATATCTACTGAAATAAATGGAATAAGATCTAGAATGGCATAATGAATTAGTTTATATATTTAGTAGTTAGTAGTTAATATATTTTATACTTGCATTAAATATTTATTATGACCGAAAATATGTTAAATACATATTTATTCTAAATTATATATATATATATAAGTTGATAATAATGTAGGTAGATATATTTTATAGAAATCTACGACTGTATTCGTAATTATAATGGTATATCGAATTCATTAATCCTCCAAAATTTAAAAGTTATTACATAGTAATAGATGTTGGAACTTAAATTTATATCTGGCCGTTATTGGTAGAAGATAATTTGAATTTTGTATAAAGAAAATATCTTCTATTGTTCGTAAGATTTTCTATTGACATATCGTATGTGAGCCTTGTTACTTTTACCAAATATATATGTTTTACTTTCTTATTTCACTATATTTACTGCCGCTGTGCATTCTACCCCTACAATGGTTATGGGCCCAGAACAGGCCAGAATAGCATAAATAGATGTGGAATATCAGTGAAATAGGTGATTTTTGGTGAATTTGAAATTCCGTTGTAAAGCAGATATGGCGAACCCAACTGTGAGGATTGAATCTCTGAATCGAGAAAATTACGACTGTTGGAGGATTCAAGTACAGGCATTACTTATAAAGAATAATGCCTGGCCATATGTAAGTGGGCGTAAGCCAAAACCAGTGAATGTAACAGAGCTGGAGAAATGGGAAACGGAAGATGAAAAGGCGCGAGCAGATATTATTTTATGTATGAGTGGTGGTGAGTTGCGGCACGTACGAGGGTGCACTACTTCACGCGAGGTATGGCTTAAGTTGGAATCTTTGTATGCTTCGAAAGGTCCAGCGAAAAAGGCAACGTTGTTAAAACGACTGACTCTACATAAAATGGTAGAAACCGATGACTTACGAGAGCATCTGAATGGATTTTTTGATGCAGTAGATAAGTTGGGTGATATGGGTGTAAACATACACGAGGATCTGCTCTCCATAATGTTATTATACAGTTTACCGGCGAGTTTTGAGAACTTCAGGTGTGCCATAGAATCCAGAGATGAGGTACCCCATCCAGATTTTTTGAAAGTTAAGATCTTGGAAGAGTACGAGTCGAAGAGACAAATGGCGAATCCACCAGAAGGGGTGCTGTATTGTCATAGTAAAAAGTATGGAAGATCGTTCGTTAAGAATAGAAAGGAAAAGACAGATTTTAAGTTTAAATGTTATAAATGCCACGAATTGGGTCATAAAGCCAAGGACTGTAAAAAGAAGAGAGAGACTCAAGGAGGGAACTTAGCACAAAACTTCGTTAAAAACTATAGTCTAATGTTATATAATGTTTCAGATCCAGAACAATGCAATGCTTCTAATATAATTTGTAAAAACGACTGGATATTGGATAGTGGGTGCACGTCTCATTTATGTAACGACCCGCGTAAGTTCGAATCTCTGAACAACAATTCGGATAAACTAAACTTAGCTACAAACCTGAGTACTAATATCAAAGGTAAGGGCACTGTTTGTTTATCGGCATGTAATGGTAACATTGTCAACAAATTAAAGTTTCATGATACTTTGTACGTACCAGATTTGAGAAGTAATTTAATTTCTGTTTCGAAAATTACTGAAAATGGGCATAACATTACGTTTAAACGGAATGTTGCATATGTCGTGGACAGAAATGGGAAAATAATATTTACTTGTCAGCGTAAGGGAAACCTATATTATTTTCGAGAATCTGAGAGTGCATGTATATTGAATGAACGAAATGTTGATGTACAGTTGCGGCATAGACGTTTAGGTCATCCAAATGGAAAGGATGTGTATAATAAAAGTGCGAATGTAAACGTGAATGAGTTACAGAATGGTATTAAAAATAAAGTACGAAAACGAGGTTCATCGCAATTTATTGATGAATCGAGACCTGAGATGGAAGGAACCGTCAGTAGTGTCTCTGTACTAAAACGAGCTCCTAGTCAACCGAAGCTACTGCGAACTGGTAAAACAGGGCGACCGCGAAAGATTAATGGAATGGTAGCACTGGAACAGCAGCAGCAGTCAACGATGATGAATGTTGATGAATCTGGCAAAGATTGTGTAGGGGAGGCTCAGTTATCTCGAGAAGTTGTTTTTCGAAGTAAAGAGAAAGATGAGAGAAAAATAGCGATAGTTAAGAAGTATGGAATAAAAACAAAGTTTAAATGAACCATGTTTATATTTTAAAAAGGTGGCAAAATGTTTATTTATTTCGTTTTAATATATATTGAAGAAATTATTGTTGTATGGGACGATTAAAAGTGAACTGTCAAAAGGAGTTCGAATTAGTGTAGCTAAAGATGAGCTAGGGAGTGACATGCAACGAAATGACAATGTCATTGTTTTGTCATAACAAAAATATATAGGTATTATGTATTTTGGAGAAATTCAGTATAGAGATAGATGGAAATAAATGCTGAATAACAAAGTAATGAATTGGTAAAATATAAACAATAGGAGGTAGAGTTTAAAACGAAGTGGCCGTATAAATGAAAAGAAGAATTAAGTCCTAGTTTTTAGGAATCCCGGTAAGTCGGTGTATGGATTTTTCGGACGTAGATTAGGATAACCGTTCATTTTCAGTTACATTTTTATTTTAGATGGTGCAAATATTAGGTGAAGGTCATAAAAGCAAAGAATTGTCGCGTAATCGACGTGTGAGGCTGAGTATGTGTGAGTTTGTCTGAGGCGATTGAAAGAAGCTGTTAAGCTTAATATTTTATTAGGTGAAATCGGACAATCTAGGTACGTACGTTTTACTTTACATGCCGATAACTAAGGAGCGCTTTACTTCGCGTAAGACCTCGTGTGTATCATGCTTGCAGTAAACATGTTGATATTAAAATCACTTGATCAGAGCCGTATTAAGGGACAACGATAAGAGAGAAGTGAGACATGTACTCATTGAAATGATTGTAGCTGATGTATCCGTAGATGGACAAGTGTTGTATGTTTGTACTGTTTAACCGACTTAAATTTAAAGGGGCGTGTTGGAACTTAAATTTATATCTGGCCGTTATTGGTAGAAGATAATTTGAATTTTGTATAAAGAAAATATCTTCTATTGTTCGTAAGATTTTCTATTGACATATCGTTTGTGAGCCTTGTTACTTTTACCAAATATATATGTTTTACTTTCTTATTTCACTATATTTACTGCCGCTGTGCATTCTACCCCTACAATAGAAATCCGACATAATATTAAATAAGTGACTAATAAATAATATTTATATTTTTAAAATAGAAAATTTTGATATAACTATTTTTTTTAATATAAATAATTTTAATTTTATAGAAGATTCCTGTACACCGACATCAACTGAACCGCCGGTAGGAGACGATGCTCAAGTGCGTTTAATAGAAGGAAATGTCGATTTTACTGGAAACTTCCTATATGTTAGTATACTTATTAATGTTTTTGTTATTTGTATCTAACTTCAAGTATAGAAGCGACGGCTGCCATTTCAGGTCAGGTAGTCTGTCAGCTTTTTTGTTATATACTAAGAATATCACTTTACATAAAAATATAGATATATGTAAAACTTAATAAGTTTTTAGGTACTTTGGTTTTAGAATAAATAAAAAAATAATTTAATTAAAATCAAGTTTGCAATTTTCGATATCGTAGTGAATGCAAGACGTGGTAGATATAATACAAATAAAACATTATTTTTTTACAGGAAGTTATCAATTACTACCCATTAACCAGTGTAGTGATGTCGCCGTTCTCCGTTTTAGTTCCTTTAGCAGAGCTGGCTCTTTATACCGATCCAGGAACCTCTTACGATCAATTATTGAACACGCTCAATCTTAAGAACAAAGCTGAGGTAAAAATGTCATGTAATTTATATGATATAAAACCTACATCTATTTTTTATCGTTGCACTGCTCACACCATTGACAGGGAATTCATTCTCACACCTTAGAAACTTCCTCCCGCTCTGAGTATACACTCAGATTGTGGAATGGACTACCTGCCGAATGTTTCTCTAGAGACTACAATATGGGGTTTAAGGGTATTTTAAGTTTTCTTAAGGGTCATCACGCGGACGTGACATCACTGTTATTTCAGGCGTTTTCAGCCTTCAGTAACCGTTTACTATCAGATGGGCCGTATTGTCCACTGTGGCAATGATAAATTTTACATATAATAAAAAAGTAACTGATTGCTATCGGTACATGTAAGATATATGAGAGAAACTATTATTCAGGGCCTATATCAGTATCCAAATCGCACTAGTCGCTTGTACGCACTAGTCTCAGAAGCAGGTTAACCAATTTGGATGTGGAGTCCAAGTAGATAATGAACAAACTAAATATTTAACGTTATTTATATTGTAGTTAATTTATTGCAACTTTTGCACTTACTTTTATATAGTATCGTATAGAATGCATTAGTCTTTACTCGATAAATAATATTCAATCATTTTTTAATTCATTGAAAGAAAATTGTTACAGTATCCTCCGGTATCAATACTGTATACAATTAAATTGTATGCAATTTAAGGCCCATTCCTAAATATAACAGAACTATGAATGATATGTAACTAATAATTATTCATGAGTTTTAATTTCTTTTAGATTCGTAGTGTATTCCCGGTACTATTGAGTTCATTGCAGGCGCAAAAAGAAGCCATTTTAGATTTAGCTGCGAAAGTATATGTGAACGAAAACTACCAGCTTACCGAGAATTTTGAAGAAGATACACGTGTAGTCTTTGGCGCAGAAGCAGAAACCATTGACTTCAGTAAACCTGATGAAGCTGCCGATACTATTAATGCTTGGGTATGAATACACGAGTATTTATTATTTTTTTAGAAATTTATATACGGTGTACGATACGCAATGAAGCCAGAAACCAAGTGTACTATTCTTAAACCACTTTTACCCAATGATCAAATTTCAAGTAAACTTTGAACTATTCATTATACATGGATCACATGACTGTTCAGTTTATAATAATCATCATCTGCATCTTTATTATTCCATTATTTGGGGTCACTGTAATATATTTTTCTATTCCATCCATCCCTTTTTTGGCCTTCCTCTGTCCTTATAACCATCAACATTTATATGTAATACCTTCCTTAAAATATTATTTTCATTTCTATGTATCAGTCAATAATAATAATAAATAAAAATATCTTTTGTTTTCCAATTTGAGCAGCATAGTTAAATTTATTATGTTCATTTTATAAATATCATCATGACATGAATTCAAATACGTATGTCCGACTACCATTGTGTATACCTATTTTTGAAGTGTATAGGCATTCTATTATGGGTGCAACAAACAGGTCACTCGTGGTGTTAAACTAATTTGCAAATATTTCTCTGTTGATAATATAACATTCTTTATAATTTCAGGTAGAAGAGGAAACAAGGGAGCGTATAAAAAATATTGTTACACCGAATTTATTCAGCGCTGATACACGTATAGTCCTGGCCAATATTATTTATTTCTTGGTAAATTCTACAATGCAATATTTTTATTCTTACAGCTTATTATAAAATAAATTAAAATTGAAGGGACATAATTGAATGACATATCTGATTCAGTATTCAGTTTTTTACAAGAAGTCTAAATAAGACGCTAAAATTGTTTAATAAATATAATAGTTAAGATTCATGCGAAACAAAATTCAATATCTATTATTTTCCATAATTCTGAGTTTTCCATATGGTTACAGAACAAGATATTAATATCTCTAAAATATATCACTTCTAATTACTTGGATATTATAAAAGGCGACAAAGAATATTATGAATAAGACAACATTACAAGAAAATGAAAGCTAATTTAAAAAACTACTTAATGATGATTCTAAAACAATTTTTATTTCGCAGGGTAATTGGCAGGAACAATTTAATGTAAACGACACGGAAGAAGCCGATTTCCATATTAATAATAAATTAAAAATAAAAGTACCAATGATGTATCGAAAGGACACTTTTAAATATGCAGAGAATAAAGATCTTGACTGTAAGGTAATACAATTTTTGAGAATATTTATATATATTATTGTATAAAATACCCTAGATTATTCATTAAGTGATTACAAATAATGATGTGCCTTTGGATGAATGTAGGATGACTTAATCAGAAGATTGTGGATATCAGAGCTACTCAAAATTTTAGTCGTAGCTACTATTTGATACTTAACAGCAAATACTTTGATTTGGTATCTTGATAAAGAAGGAGTTATTTAAGTCATATGGATATGAAATTACATACATTTTAAATATTTCTTGCAGATCCTAGAGATTCCATACAAAGGAGGCAACTTTTCATATGTTATCTTTCTACCAAACGAGGTCGAAGGTTACAATTCAATTGCAGAAAAAATTCGTGATCCCGATGTGTTTAATGGAGCTCTAGATTTGTTACAGTCCGAACCTTGTTTCCTTTATGTACCGAGACATGAAATAAGTACCACGATTGATTTAACCGTTATTTTGAAAAAGGTAAGGTGTTTATTGTATACAGAATATTTTTTTGTGTTATTGAACAATTATTACTCTTGAAACTGTTACTGTACATGTACAGTAATGATGAATCCTTATGATTTATTTGTAATATTTTGTTTATCACTTGCTAGATTAGCATTATATATCTACCTACCGGTATACTTACAATGGAGTTGAACGCTTTCTAATTGTTTTATTTTAGTACAAGACAATAATTTTATTACCAAACAGGATATCTATCAAGGGAGTTATAAGAATGACATAATGTGTATCTAAAATTATGTTATATAGCTATAATAAGGTGTTTTCTCTCTGATGTCTACTACATGTAGCATAAATTGAAAGCCTTTTCTTTCTTTTTATATCGTAAAAGATGAGTAATCATAATACAGCACGATACAATATTGAAGTGCTTAATATTATCATTTCTAGCTCCAGATCACAGATTTATTCGAAATTGACAAATCAAATCTTAACGGAATATTAAAGAGCAAAGATAAAATTGGTGTGTCAGCTGCGATACAGAAAGCCGATATAAAAGTAGACGAAGTAGGTACCGAAGCGGCTGCTGCAAATGGTATGTAATGTTTTTCTTAAAATCAATTGTTAAAAATTATTATTTGGCTTTGATGGTCTAGTGGTTTAGTACACTTTCAGTTGTCGCGGGTTCGATTCTCGCAGGATACAAACATTTGTATTCATGAGTATGATTGTTCGTATAGGCATTTTCTATGTATATTATGTATGCATTTACAAAAAAAATGTATCTAAGTATTTATATTAGTTGTAAAGTATATAACACAAGATTATACAACTAATGTAAGCTTTATAGCTTAGGATTGGATGTCACAGCGTGAATTGTCTTGGAGTTATTATTATTATATTATATTAATAGTAGGTAATGGTTTTGAAAAAGAAACTTATTATAACTATGCTACATACTGATTATATATGTCCTGACAGACACGTGGATCAATAAAATAAATAAATATCTTTATATTTCGATAAAATTTTACAGAATGTAAGTTTCGTGACTAAGTGAATTTGATGAGTGAATATCATTTTGTAACGGGTAGTAAAAAAAATAAATCAACGCCTCGGTAAAATATTATAAAATATATTAATAATAGTTAGCCGGTTTTGCTATTGAAGTTTACCAGGCTTTAACATATACATCCTATTATTTTGTTGATGTAGACTTTGTACAAAGTATCTGCGGGGTACACCTCTCTCCCCTATTTCAGAATTTAATATTTATTCCTTTATAACCAGCATTCCGTTTTGAAGTATGAGACATGGCAGTAAAATTACGGGGTAAGAAGGCATGATATTATCTACCAATATGGTAAATAATGTAATTTTTTTATTGTTTATAACTAACCTAACAAATTTAAATGATTTTCTCTATTATCTTTATGATGTTTTCATGAAAATTTGACTACTAAAATATTGTAAAAATATTTTTTTTTCAGTAATTGTTGGGACAACTTCATCATCTCCAACTAACGTATACACTTTCAGAGCGGATAAACCTTTTATTTTCTACCTCTTACTCAATAGAAATCCATTATTCTGTGGTGCATATGTTGGAGAAGCTTTAAAATAAATTAAATATGAATACAATATACAATATAGATATTTACTTGGAATAAACTTTTCGGAATTTAGAACTTTATAAAGAAGTAAATGTAATTCTGATTAACTTTAATAGTTAAAAAAACTGTACTGCAAAAATATATTATTGGAAGAAAGAAGGAAAAATTGTATTGTTAATGAATTTTATTTATGGAACACTCATGTTAACAATAAAGAAGTTATGTTTTGGAATGTTTCTTTTAATACTTACAATAGATTTCCTCTTTTTAATGAACACGAAAAATAAATATACATATTTTCAGCGTTTTTCTTACCAACATTTTAAATTTCAATTCAATAATTATTGTATTTACCAAATACTTATATTGTAAAAAGTAACAGTAAATTATTAACATTCCACATCTGGTGTACATGACTTTTTTGCCTTTCGGAAAAATAAGATATAATAATATACGCTTGGTAACACAGAAGCAATATACGTAAACAAAATATAACTAGAAGGATAGATTAATTAAGTAATTTGATTTTTTCCCGGAAATATAGTAAAATGAAGATCTGTTTAAGGAATTTTATAGGTTTTCTCCGATTAGTGAAATAAATATTTAAAATGTGCTGAATTGCCTGCATACATATTGGTAAGGTAAAAAAGCCATTAGTAGATTTATTTAGTAGAGAACATATTATAGTTGACTTGAAAACCATGAAATCGTTTTCTTATTGTTATCCAAAACCTGTCATAGTTAAAACCTCAAGATAAAGTAAAAATTTAACAAAGTATGTTTTTTCATTTAACGATTATACATTTTACAAAAATGCGTAAAGAATTGTGACTGACAATTACATATTTTTGTAAAATATTGTTGATTCTTTTAAATTATTACAAACAGAAACAGAAAAATAATAACATTTTTTATTCGATTTCGGCATCTGGTGTTAAAGTGATATTTGGTACATTATCAAGTATTGAAAAATGAACTCAAAACAATAAAGGCATTATCCAGTTAGCACTGGATTTAATAGGTATAATTCAATATTGATTCAAGTTGCTAATTAAGCTGACATATAATAATTGTGATTGTAATATTTCAATGTAAAGCTATAGTCAAAATATTTGATATTAGCAAAGCAGAAGTACGAATGTATAACTGAACAGTAGTCAGAGATTTGACTAGATAAGCAAGAGTGAACAATTAAAAGTAGTCATACTATATAAGGATCTTTAGACTGAATATTTTGAAGAGAAGTAAATAAAGTAATAGATGAGTGTAAGGATAAAAGTCAATAACAATGTGTTCCTTTTACCTAGTAATGAACTTGGCGTGAAAACAGGGAGATTTTGAAAAATACTTTTAACATAATTACCAAGAGGAGCATTTTATAATAATCGTTATATTCGATACCGTATCATCGTAGCATATGTTTCCTAACGAACGCTTTTAACATGAAACCTTCTCTGTAAATCTTTATTGACATCTTACTCTCTTACAAATATAATAATATAAAACGAGCCCTTTTGTATATTTAACTTTTAATAAGAACGTCGGTGTTAACTTAAGTACTTTTTTATATTAGCCTATAGCACATACAAATTAATACTTAATTCGATAAAAGTACTTAAAGAGAGTAGTAGGTTTTTACGGTTCTGAATAAAAGGAAAACAGAAGACCCTCAAAAGTGTCATAAACTTTTCCAGTATGTCCGTATCTCTTATAGTATAACGGATTAGAAACTAGGTACTAATGCCGCTTAGAAATAGATGAGTTGTTTTATTGTTAATCTAATTAGAATAGAACTAACTGATTAAACAAAATGTGACTTTCGAGTGGAAGTTTAAAATAATCCTGTTAACTGGTAAAGCGAAGGTACCTGATGTACATGCTGAATGAGAGAGTTTTGTGAGAAAAAATACAGAGATTCTTAAAATGCCACTAATACAATAGCAATATATAATAGATTGTTACAAAAATATATAAGTCAAAAGAATATGATTATAAATTTCAAAACTATAAAAATCCATCAAGGAGTTTTCTACAGCTGGAGGGTAATAGGTTCTATGAATAATTACAACCAACTAAAACTAATTTCAATTTTTTATTCTCCACCCCATATATGAAGTGTCTGAAGTTACATATATTAAATGTTTTCTTAGAAACACGCTTCGACTTGGTGGCCGTTGCGGACTTATAATTTGGAAATGAATTTAAAATATTATATTATATGTGGCATAATAAATAATAAAAAGGATGAGGGAAGACAGCGTCTATATCATCGACTTCATAGCTGATAACTCTGTAGAAGTTCAAGTTCCTATACAAAGGTGAGAGTCTAACAACCACTAGCATTAAAAAAAGTATTGTGAAGACTGTTAAAGACTTTTAGTAAATAAACGCGCAATACAGCAAGTAGTATTTCAATGCTAGAGAAAAGGCCAATAAGATACATATTAATAAAACATAAACAATGCTGAAAAAGAGAGGTAGCTGACTTATATGTTAGGTAGAGTGTTGTCTGAGGGAGAAATTAAAAAGTGGCGTGTTATACTGTCAAATGCTCTTTGCATTTGACAGTCTGCTTACCCCATATTAGTACTGGCGTAAAGATAAGTAATAATTGCACGTATTTTGTGGAAGTTGAATCAACTTTAAGTTAATAAATTAATAAAAAACAGTTGCCCACATGTTCATATTGTTGTTAATTGAACAACTACCAACTGACATTGTTATACACATCCATTGATATTGACGCAATTACAAAAAAACAACACGACAAATTGTTCATTAAGTACACAAGTTCTTCTATTATACCGACTGAATTTTTATTATTTCAATATTATCTTTATTGGAACAAGTGCACGAACGTATCAACACGATTACTATATAAGTAGTAAGTAACCTTGATAATACTCACATTGGAAGGTGTTTTTTGAGTTAGTGGCAATGTTGAAAATTATATTTCTTGTTGCCATTGCGGCTAATTTATTTCTTTTAGTGTCTTCTACAGGTATGTATATACATTAAGTATTAGGTATATGGAACAAAAAAATCAATGGAACATTTGATACATGCACATAAAATAATGACAACTTGATAGCAATTGTCTAACTAGTTTGATAACTTGTCGGGTAATAACTTTATTTATTATTTTTTACAATAACTTTTAAAAATATTTTATAGCAATAATAATAATAATAATAAACTCTTTATTGTGCACATAGAAGAAATACAATAAGAAAAAAAACAATAAATAGAAAATTATGAACAAAACACAATCTTTATAGACAAATGAATAAAATTTACTGGTTGTATAAATTTAATAGGATAAAATATATAAAAGTACACGTTTTTTTCCTTAGTAGAAAAATATATTTTTGCATAAATAATAATGATGTTTGCATAGAAGCGCCGTAAGTTGATAGCTCAATATTATGATAATAAAATTACGCTATATACTAAATATTGCAGTTCAACAACATACCAAGTTAGTACATATAGAAAACAAAAAGTAACAAATGGGAAATATTAAACATATAAACGTAAATAATGGATCATTTGGGGTAAGTACTTAGATCAATTATTAAATTTTTGATATAAAATTTTAAATAAATTGCGTACGTTTTTTCAAAATTGAGTATTTTTAATAAATTTATACAGAACAAATTAAACATAAACATAAATTTATTCAAAATTGTATCTCTAATTTTTAATCTACAGCCAAAAATTTAATAATTGATCTAAGTACTTACGGAACTTTAATAAACACTAAACATTTTTTTTAATTTGACGTAATATTTGACCCTTTTTGATTTCTATTAGTCAATATTTTGTTCATTTAGTGTCCTGTGGTGGCGATCCAAATGCAAAGCCCGGTTGTGGAATTAACTGCGGCAGACTATGCTCGAACTATAATAAGGGTCCAGTAGCTTGTGCTAAAATATGCAAAGCTGATGGATGTGATTGTAAGGAAGATTTTGTCTACGACGAGGTACAGAAAAAGTGTGTGTTGCCTGAAGATTGCTGTAAGTATGATGTTTAAAAATATTTTAATACGTAAAGTCATTTTACTTATTGACTATGAAATTAAGAATATAAATAAATATCAAAAAAATATATATAAATCATGATAAAAATGCTGATCAGCTAAAGCAGCTATTATTGTTTAACGATTGTGCAAATATTTGTTATCTGTACCATTATTGTCAATTATTTTCATACGAGCAAAATCACAATAATATAAAATTTTAGGCACAGAATCACAACCTAGCTCGGGAGGAACATCTTCATCGTCGAATTCATCTTCGCACTCTTCATCTTCATCATCAAGTAGTAGCACAAATAGCAGTAAGTATGGTATTCCTAATAAACTAAAGTACTGAATGTTAGTAATTTTATAAACGTGGTAGTTGGCAATTTGAATAGATACATATTTGACATTAAATTATACTCAAACATACATACTCAAACATAGGATACTTATAACTCTTTTTTTTATTAAAAATTTAATAGAAACCACTTAAAATTACATTTTTTTAATTAATTACTTATGGCTGTCAGTCCTTCTGGAATCCTCATAGATGATTTTGTTAGGAGCTTTTGAAAAGATTTGTCAAGAGTATAATAATAATTATGGGATTTACTACTTATTTTTCACATTTCGAGAAGGACGTATCCATTCTATGTAATATTTTTCTCATTGTTATTAAAAATTTTGAAAATTCATCTGATAATTGTAAGATTAATGTTTTTTATTCAGTTTAATATGAAATGATCATAATATACTGATGCTCCATGATTATACAATTTTATCAATGATTGTCGTCTCTTTTTTTTAGACTCATCGTCTAGTGCATCTTCTGCGTCCCAAAGTTCAAGTTCGTCCAGTTCTAAAAATTCAACATCCGGAAAGTCATCATCTAATTCCTCGTCATCAAGTTCCTCAAGCTCAAGTTCAAATGGGTCCAGTTCTAAAAATTCATCGTCCGGAAAGTCATCATCTAATTCCTCATCGTCAAGTTCCTCAAGCTCAAATAGCTCAGGTTCAAGCTCATCAGGTTCATCGTCATCGAATTCATCATCATCTAGTTCGTCGTCCTCATCTTCAAATAATAACCAAAACAACCAATGCTCTAATAATAATCAAACCAATGGTAAGTTAATTTAATTCATATACCTACATAAATTTTCAGAGTACTATACATTTCTTGAAATTGTATAATTTCGTTTTGTTTTGATTTAATTATTATTACTGTAATATAACTGTTGTTATTCACTGTCGTTATAACTTACCACTATTCATGAATTACACATGCATTACGTGTTTGCATGCAGTACATAAATTGTATTATACTTAAATCAAGAAATCACAACACGTGAAGACGTAAATTTGTAAAATGGTTATCTTTACTTTTTTATATTTGTTATAAATAACTATAATTTAATAACAAAATGTATGGACTTGAAACATTTATGTTAATACTAATCAATTCATACTAACGTTTTATGTTATGTAAAAAGAATGTTTTCTGTTCATTTCCAATAAATATATGGTCTCAAACATTGCTCTCATAAATTTCTATTCTTAGTGTCATGTGGAGGAGATGAAAATGCACAACCCGGTTGTGGAGTAAACTGCAATAGACATTGTTCAGATATTGGTAAAAAACCGGGTGCATGCATCTTGGTGTGCTACGAAGATGGATGTGATTGTAAACCTGGATACTATTTTGACGACAACATTGGAAAATGCGTTTTACCTAGTCAATGCAGTAAGTACTTGATACTAAATTGATAATCCACATGAAATACTTTGTTCTTATGCAACTCTATGCTTAATTGTAATAATTAAACATACAGTGTTTTATATATTTCGTGGTAACATTGAATAAAAGTAAAATCAAAGTTAAATAAATCAAATATAAATAATAAATTAAAGTTATTTTGGACATTCTCTGTAATTTATAAAAGAAAAAAATATGAATGAATAGCGATGAGTACGGAAAAAGCATTAATTATTTAGCTCATTAGGCCCTAAGTACCATATCAGATCGACTTCCACCGGTCCCTCTTAAAACCATCATAGTTAAGTCGCCTGTAATAAACAAAACATTAACATAAATTACGTCATTTACGATATAATTATAACTTTTACAGCACTTCCTTGTCGTGTAAATGAAGTTTACTCAAACTGTACTAATGCCGGTTGCGGACCAAAGTCTTGTGCTGAAACGGGAATACCTCTTCCATGTGATCAACCTGATGAATGTATAAAAGGATGCGCTTGCGACACGAACTACTTGAGAGCTGATAACGGTACCTGTATACCTCGAGACCAGTGTCGTAAGTACACATAGTTTCATCTGTTCCTGTATTGTGTACTTAAATATATTGCGATAGTAACTCTTCTTGAGTACAGAGTCTCAGAATCAGCTATCAACTATTTTTTATAACCCGTGTTGTCCACCCCAAAATTTTTTTTGGACAGCCTATATATTTTTTTATTATGTATAATAAAAAAATAAATATATTTCTACCACCAATCCCTATTATCAATATCAGTACTGAATTTTTTTATGGCAAAACAATGTTTGCCGGTACAGCTAGTTTATTTATATAATTCTCTTTTTGACTTTTTAAATTAAATCTCTTTACTTATTTTAAGGTATACAATAATATAGATGTTCCATAAATATAATACAAAATTAGCCAATTTGTAAAGTTGTATGTGAACTGCAGGAATACAATGAGATTGTTATCTCAGTAGAGTGCATTATTCAGAGAGCAAAATACTAATTACAATGTTTGTAGTAGATTTGTTCAGAATATGATATTAAATAAATGCCTTGTTATTAATTTTATTTGCATAAAAAGTACAAATACTCACAAACAAAGTTGTGTTGAATTATAATAAACCGTGTAGGTGTATTGACGGTTCAAAGTACAACAATGGGGGTAATACTCCCTTGGAGGGAATAATATCCTTTTAAGAAAATAGTAAGAATAAAGATAAGTCATAAATAGAAAGAAAAGTAACTAAGTAGGTAGATAACATATATGTATTTACTGCAATTAACAAAACATTAGCTGTGCCCGTGGTTAATTTCAACATAAAATATAGCCTATGTGACCTTGTTGTCCAGTGTCGAGTAGGTAATATCACTGTAAAGTTTAATAAAATTCCATTCAGTAGTTTTGCGTGAAAGAATAACAAACTTCCATACTTACAAACTTTCGCATTTATAATATTAATAATAAGATATGCAAATAAAAGGAATTAATAAGAGTTATTTTTTCTACAGCAGCCTGTGGAGGTGATCCAAATGCACAGCCAGGTTGTGGAGTAAATTGTGGCAGATTGTGCTCAAATTATAACTCAGGACCTGTGGCTTGTCCTTTAATATGCAACTTAAATGGATGCGACTGCAGAGAAGGATATGTTTACGACGAGAATGTGAAAAAATGCGTCTTACCCAAGGACTGTAGTAAAACGAGTGAGTATTAGAATATTTTTTTATATACCTAGTTATTTGTAGTGTGTGAGTTTATCAGAAATTCTTATTATTACTCCTTCTACAAAAAGGTGTGCTGCGGCAATAAGTAATTGTTTATGGATGAAAACAGTAACAAATTATTCCCTTGATTAGTTATCATCTAACTTTACTTATTACTTACTTTACATTACTGTTAAATTTTTTGGTGAATGTATTTTTTTTTAAAAGACATTGTGTATATTTTTGGTGTGTTCTAGATAAGTAGGTACACACACAGCGATTATGGAATGCGATTTCATGTGAATAAGATAATAAGATTTTAATTGAATGTACTTATATTTAAAAAAAATGAAAGTTTGTTTATTGTTATACTAAACAAGACATAACCATTCAGTAGGTTCGAGCATATTATAGTTGGGTAATTGAAATTAAAGAAACTAACGTAATGAAGAATTCGTAAACGCGATACTTAATTTGTATGTAATTCTAACCATTAATACTCTATGATATAAATAATTATTAATATAGACTATACTTAATATATCTATCTGACGCAGTACTCTGTCCTTTTTTTTTAATATGATCGACAGACTATTAGTAACAATGCAGTTAATAATGTGATATGACGTATAAAACTGTACAGTAGATATTTACCAAGTTGTTTATGTATTGTCAACATAAAAAAATATTATTAAAGAATACTATTTTACCTATTGCGACAATTGGTAAAACAGTATTGTTCTCATTACTGACATGACCTTTCGTACAGCATCGGATATTACAAACAATCGCTTCAATAAATACATCTATGTGTTCTGTCAAATTCTACGAAAATATTATTTAAACAGGTGATATGAGTCAATAATTGTTTTTGTAAAATCAATTGTAAGAATCATAATCAAACAACATATTTATTATACTTCATTACGTTGTTTATTTATACTTGGTTTATCTTTCCAAGTTAATTTAATTTATTTTGTACAATCTCTGATTGGTCTTTAATTTTCTCAACATATCTCCAATATTAAAATAGGGTAGTAGGTGAATAAATGAATGATGACATTGTCATGTATTGATTAATAAATTAGAAGACTAATTAGATTTAAAACACATTGTCTTTTTATTTCAATATTTTGTTTATCATTTTATTACAATTGTAACCGGCCTTCGCCCTTTTTATTCTGGTGAAAAATAATCCAGTTATTATTCAAATGTTATCTTTACAGTTGTTTCTTTATTGTTAATTAATTTAATTGCAGACTTAATTTTAAGGCTTTAATATTTTCCAATGCAATTTTGTTAAAGATACGGGATCCAATTATATTTTAATATCATATTATACGTACCTTTACGACAATCTAAAACGCTGAAATCCAATTAATTTATCATTGAAAATCTGAGTGTTGAGTTCTTATAAAGAGACTATTTAGTTTAAGAATTATTCAAACAACGTTGTTTTCAGAAAAATGCACAGGGCCCAATGAAGTATACGATGATCAAGCTAGGTCTTGTCCACCACAGACATGTGACAGTATCGGCATCAATTACCTCTGTGCTGCAGAGCCCGAATCGTCGAAAGGAGCCTGTGTTTGCCGTAAAGGATATCTTAGAGATGCAAATGGGAAATGTATTCCATCAGAAGATTGTCGTAAGTAACTATCTAATATATAATTAGAATATTTATTTTTTACTACGTGTTCTAGTAAATATAAAAACTGTGATGACGTTCATCAGCGTCTGCAAATTTTGGTACTAAATACTAATTGTGACTTCGTATTTCTAACATGACGCGTAATGTTTCAATTATTTTATTGTTTGTGAACCGATTGGAATACAACAAAGACTCAACGCTGCGGAAAATCATGCTATAATGGATACACCAGTAGAAGAACATTGAAACCTGTTTAAACTGTTTCTGGGATTAGCGTACCTATACAAACACAATACGCAAACGTATATTTAAAAAAAAATATCTTAGTAAAATTATGTAACAAAGTATTACAATTTTTTTCTACATATGTCAAATACACAACTCGTTTACGATTTTATTATACGTAAGACATTTTTAATGAAAGTACACTGTAAACCTATTTATGTCTGTAATATTTATCTGCTCTATAGTCTTGTCATTTTATAAAAGTTTTTCCATTTACAATTATACTTTTATCTAATCTCAATGCAATTTCAGCTTGCAACGGCGATCCTAATGCAGTACCCGGTTGTGGCGTAAACTGTGGAAGGTTATGTTCAAATTACAATAAAGGACCAGTAGCATGTCCGGCAATCTGCAGACTAAATGGTTGTGATTGTAAGAAAGGCTACGTGTATGATTCCAACTTGCAGAGATGTGTACTCCCCAAAGACTGCAGTAAGCATTTATATAACTATTTTTGTCTCAAAGAGTTAAGTTTAAGTAGTTATTTGTGCATTATCTTTTTTTAGAGAATGGTAGCTGAATAAATTATTTATTTATTTTGACTTATTTCACTTTCGATGGTCGCGGGTTCGAATCCTCACACGATGCAAACATTTATATTACTGAATATGATTGTTTGTATTACATTACATATTCTCTGTGTATATTATGTATTTATACAAAATATATACATTTGTAATTGTACCTATAATATAAGTGCTATTTATTTAGCTTGGGATTAGAATAATGGTATGGTGTACTCGCCTGCGGGACATCAATGGAGGTCCCTTTAGATAGAAGTTAACCCAACGTGATTCATTCGCTATGAATATTTCGCATTCTAGGAGGATCCGTGTGGAGGTCAACTTGACATGGTACATTGCTAGCAATTCCGCTTGTTATAATTATTTTTAGCGTTTGCCTGCGCTAACAGTTTATACAGAATGAGGTTCTTAGGTAACGTTACTAGCAAATCCCTTCTAATTATTATCTCTATTAGTTCGTACTTGCTCCGCTTAGTTTAAGACTAGTTAGCATTGAGTGACATAGTTCAAGGAATCAACTAGAATTAATTTTCAGCGCCAGTTTGTGGAGCAAATGAGGTGTTTTCAAATTGCACTAACGGTGGATGTTCAGCACGGGACTGCTCACAGTGGGGGAAACCTATACCCTGCGTTAAATTAGATCCAAAAGCTTGCAAGAAAGGATGCATTTGTGACAATGGTTACTTACGTGCTGATAATGGCACTTGTATACCTGAAGATCAGTGTCGTAAGTAACTTTAGTAAAACAATTATACTGTAACATATTTTTTCATGGATGATAACGGAATTATACACCCGCCTGCCCTAATGGTTTAGGCTGGTAGGACCAGACCAGGAGGATGAAAAAATGACCATGAAGTCAGATTAGGTAGCCCATCTTGGGGGTTATTAGTACATATTGCTGACAATCCCCTTCCGTATCATAGAAATACATACATACTATTACATATACTATATATATATTGTAAAATGATTGAAATAGTGTACTGGCATTTTTATTTTGTCACATGTGTAAGATATTAATTTAAATTTCAAATACATATACGACTTGCCACTACTTAATTCATAGTATCCAGATTTGTATACTAATGATACAAAATATAACAGTTTGTTTGTTTAATTTGTTGAACGCGATAATCGCAGGAACTGACTTATGGCTTGAATTGAAAAAATATTTTAGTGTTGTATAGACTATATATCGAGGAAGGCTACAGGTTATATAACATAACGCTACGACCAATAGGCGAGCAGAGTCAATGAGTTGTTACTAAACTGGAAAAATGTGACACAGATGAAATTGCGCGGGTTTGTTAGTCATAAATATGAATTTTTAAAAATCAATTTAAATTCTACTTTTGTTTCGTAAACTTTATTATTTCGTATATTACATATAACAAATATTATAGTATTCATATTTATGGACAATTTTTAAAATAGATTTAACGTACAATAATCTAAAAACTTAACAATATATTTAATGACTTCTAATTTAGTATCTAGTAGTAAATAAATATTGAAAAAGTGGAAACGTGTGCAATAAAATATTGTCTAAATATATTTTAAATTACTTAGTAATTATATCCATAAAATTGTTATATGGGACCTGGCCAAAATAGATATAGAGATTTTTTCGAAATTTAATAATTGTAGTCAAATTGAAATGTAAAAGCTTAACCTAATAAGAGCACGGTCTATGGAAAGAAAGAAGAAAAAAAAATAAAAGAGAACTTAGTGCCTGCATAATCACAGTCTTGCAAAACTGTGTGAACTGTATGTATAGAACGAGGTTTATACTCGTACCTCGACAGGAGTAAATCAAATTTTATAGGAGATATAAAACTTTTTATCTATCTATCTTAAAAAAAGTCTTACAGTTTTGGAATTGTGTCTGTATGTACATATGGTGTTTACGAGCAATCATTTGATCCTTTATTAATAATATCAATAAGTTAATTGTGTAATTTGTTGATTTATTACAGCTCGATGTTTAGGGCAGAACGAAGTATATGATTCGTGTCCTCCAGTTTGTCCACCGCAGACTTGTGAGGCAATAGGCAAGGTCTACAGTTGTCCTGCAATTCCTGTAAATCCTTCTGCAGCACCTGGGTACTGTAAGCCGGCTTGTCGCTGTAAACCCGGTTTCTTTAGAAATCTAATCGACCAATGTATATCTAAGGAAGATTGTGGTGAGTACTGTTATTGTATCAATTCTTTAGAACCGATCACATTTTTTGAGAGATCCAGCCAATGTAAGAATATTAAAGCACTACTTACATATAGCCGGATCGGCGTGTGTTCCCCCGGAAGAGCCAAGAGTTGATTCTCCCTTGTTATGATACACACGTCTGCTTTCCACTTCAGAACTGCTGTCCACTCCAGGTTACACAACTTGATAAATAATTCATAGGTTCTTTTTGATTATGTTACTCAAATTTTGATTTTATGAAAAACAGCTACGTAAATAGCTTCGCATCGAATCAAGGGACTGTACTTGTCATCACGAAAGTTGTGATGTGTTTAGCCGATCGTTGTTACGATTGGCTATAGCACGACCAGTCAAAAAAGTCAGTAATTGGTCATTTCACTACCTTAGATGTGTGCGAATCGAATAAAATAATTAACAAAAATGGTAATGAAATAGTTATCATTTCGTTTTATTAGGATTCATATCCTAATAAAACGAAATACGAGTAGAATGGAGTTTATTAAAAAATAATTTAAAATTAGTCATAAATAAACAATAATTGAAAGATAATAATTATTTCATTTAAAAATTAACTGTTACTAGCGATTTAATTTTCTTTTTGAGAGATCAAAAATGGCTTATGTCCATCGTTGTAATACAATTTATCGTTATATCACAGATAACATAATATTACATAGTTATACCAATTTTTATTGTGATCCATTCGGCCATATAGTCGTGAAAAGGTGACGGATAGACACACTTTACGATTCATATCGAAGTATTTATTTATATTATAAAGTTGTAGTATCTTCAGTATTCTTATAAGTTAATTTGATTTTAGAAAAATGTACGGGGCCACATGAATATTTCTCATGTGGTGGCGCATGTGACAATGTTTGTGCCACAATAAAGAAACAGAACCAAACTAACTGCCCAATAATCAACATCACTTGCAACAGAAAGTGTTATTGTGAGGAGGGTTACGCTCGGGATGCAAACAATACCTGTATACCTATCGAGCAGTGTGAAGGTACCTATTATAACTTTTATTTATCTATACAACAGACAAGTATTTGCTTTTTGGTCATTAAATTACTATACTTTATTTTATGCCTCACAACTATGAATTATATTTGTGATAATATTCCTTCCTGTGGGAAGGAATGTTATCAAGCTAGTATTATTTAAGATTAAAAGTAATGTAGGACGAAAAATTTTGTCCTCTTTGTACTACATTTATTGAATTCAATTTGCAATAATTTTGCAGAATTGGTATATTGTAATTCTCGTGTTAGACCTACGTATATATTTTTATGGCATGGTATACATGGTAAAACGGTAATACCGTATGGCAAGTAGTAACCGTCATCGATATAAACAGTGAACAGCATTTCGGGTAAGACGGATCAGGTTATCACGTGACGCCCGAGATCTATGCGTTGCTATTCCAGAGGACTAAGATGTTGCTTTTATCCTGTAATAAAATTACAGTTAATATATTATAAAACAGTATTACATTTTACAATTAGATTCCTGTACATCGACGACAACTGAAGCTCCAACAGGAAACGATGAAGATGTTCAAAATCGGTTGGTACAAGGAAACATCGATTTCACTGGAAATTTTCTATATGTTAGTAATTATTTTCATCAATAATTTTGGCAAATGTCAGCTTTGATATTATGTAAATAGTTAACTAGAAATATTAAATTTTGTACTAGTTTTTGTTTTGTTTATAATTGTATCTGGAATGTCCATGTGAGGATGGAACTTTGTTTAAAAATCATCTTTATGTATTTTCATAGCAGTTATATATACATTCTTTTTTATATTTAGACTTTATTATATTTTGTTCATTGTTTCTAAATATTTTATATATATTTTAGGAAGTAATAAAAAATAACCCACTAAAAAGCGTAGTGATGTCGCCGTTCTCCGTTTTGATTCCTTTAGCGGAGTTAGCTCTTTATACGGAACCTGGAAATTCAATCGACCAATTGTTGAAAATTCTCAATCTAAAGAACAAGGCTGAGGTAAAGTATTTTTAGTCATACAACCAATTTGTTATTTTTAAATAAAAATATTTTAATATATTTTGCTTAATTGGTTAAATTAGTCAATAATAATCATCAATATTTATTTAAAATAATAATATTATCATGGGAAAGCATTGTTTAGGTATGTACAGCTTTTTTTATCATGATTAACACGTTATATATTCGTGTGAAGGGAGGGTGTAATATGTCTGACACAAAAGACATAAATTTTGTACCTTCGGAATTGTTACTCGTAGTAACTATGCAATAGTTAGGTACTTAAAATAAAGGTAAATTATATTTTTATTTAATTTTTTTTTCATTTCATGTGATCCTCGTGTTACCCCTGATTGTATTCCAGAGGACTAAGATGTCAGGCCTCAGTATCTCATAATATCACTGTCATATCTCATTCTTTAGCTTGCTGCTACATACACACGCTACAGACTAAGCTGTTTGATGCCAAATATAGATAAGAAAGCAACACAGGCGACTTTGAACAAAGTATACCTCAGTCAACTTAATTATATATATTTGAATTTTCAGATTCGAAGTGTATTCCCGCCGCTTATACGTTCACTAGAGGCACAACAAGAAGCTATATTAGACTTGGCTGCTAAAATTTATGTGAACGAGAATTTCCAACTAACTCAGAGTTTTGCTAACGACACACGTGATGTCTTCGGTGCTGAAGCAGAAAACATTGACTTTAGTCAACCCGAACAAGCTGCTGATACTATTAATGCTTGGGTATGCATGGACAAGCTTTCATACTTATTATGAATATATAATATGTATTTTAAATTATAATAAGTATACTATTGTGTGATGCATCATAGCACCATAGCAATCATTTTAGCAAGACTGAGATATCTTGGAATTGTAATTATAAATAATTGTAAGGTTCAATCTGTACATATATTGTACAGATTGAACCTAGTAAAATTACAATTATTATTTTTTATTCTTTTTTCCTTTCATATTATTAAAATAGTACAAATTCTAGTGATTAAGAATAAATAATTTAATTGTTTCAATTTCATTTCAATATTTTGAATGTTATATAAAATACTAAAGTTTTAATATACGCAGATAAATTTAGAACTATTATTTAGTATTTCTTTACAACTTTCAAAATTAAAAAGCCTTTGTAATGTAGTACAAGTAGTGTCGGTAAATTGCAGTATTCTTTCATTTAAAGAAAGTCATGGTCTTCAAAAAATCTATAATTAACAATATTTATATATTATGTACATTTTCATTTTGTCAACGTCTATACTTTTTGAGAATTGATCAAAATTTATTTTATTTCTTACATATGTATAATACTGCAAATTCATTAAGCTGTGAGTGTTGTATTTTAATGAATAAGTTTGTTATAATTTCAGGTTGAAAAAGAAACAAGACAGCTAATAAAAGATCTTGTATCTCCTAGTATGTTCAGTGCCTCTACACGTTTAGTCTTGACCAACGTCATTTATTTCTTGGTAAATACATATAATTATAATAACATCAACATACCTAATACTATTGATGTACCGTTCGTACATGAGGCTCGTACATTATATTATTTATTTATAAGTGTCTTTTTTCTTCGCAGGGAAATTGGCAGAAACAATTTAACCCAAATGACACGAAACAGAATGATTTCTATGTTAGCAATAGCAAATCTGTTCAAGTACCATTGATGTATCAAAAAGGCAGTTTTAAATATGCAGAAAGTGAAGATCTCAATTGTAAGGTAAATATACGTGCAAATATGGAACATATTGAAAGACATTTCATTATTTATTTCATACATTCTCAATGAAGTTCGTCGATCATCCCACGACGCAAACATTTATATAATTATTTATATTCATTTTGGGTGTATTCCATTTATATTTTCTAGGCACTAACAAAAAAATATATCTAAGTATTTATATCAGTTTTCTGGTACCCACAACATAAGTTTGAAACTGATTGCTCTATACGGAATGTTCTGGGTTTTTATGTTACTATTATATAAAATATGAAAAGAAAAATTGTGGAACCTGGTATTGTTTATAATTAAAATCTATTTAATTATTTGTTTGTAGATAATTGAAATTGTATATAAAGGAGGAAATTTCTCATACATAGCTTTCCTCCCGAATGACGTAGAAGGCTACAGTGCACTTGCAGAAAAACTTACAGATCCTGCTGTATATAGCGAAGCTCTTGATTTATTAAAGTATGAAACCTGTTACCTTTACATACCAAGGCATGAAATTGCTACTAGCATTGATTTAGTTGATATTCTACAAAAGGTAAGACAATATACTTACTATAAAAAAATAGCAAAATAACGATACAAATGTATCTATATGTAATATTACTATTTATAGGTTAGTGTTACCGATATATTTGACACCAGCAAAGCGGATCTAAGTGGAATCTTGGAAAACAATGAACAATTAGGTGTGTCAGCTGCGATACAAAAGGCTAATATTAAGTTCGATGAAACAGGAACAGAAGCAGCCGCTGCTAATGGTATGAGTAATTTATTGTGTATATGTATTAAATAAATATGCATTTTTGCTACTTCTCATGTTAAACGTGGTAACTGTAGAAACAGGATATATTTAATTGAATCAAATTATAAATATTCACATGAGCTAACTCTCATGTTGTCAGGGACGTCTACGATATTGGAATCACCAGTAATGTGTTCACCAGTCAAAAGATAGTAGCTATATTTCTTTAACATTCTGATGCAATTAACAACATATGGGGTATCGTGTGCATAAATTTTATTCTAAATTAATATTTTCTTCTCAATCGACACGTCCTTAACAGAACGATCGTGATCATTACGTAGTGGCGTATGAGGCGCTTGTCATCTGATGTACGACAGCTGTCGTATGTTGTCATCTGTTGTCTTTACTGGCTGTCATTCTGGTACACTCGTGAAGTGGACCGCCTAAATCAATATTTACAATCGCTAATTTTACTATTTACAAATACGACTCATATAGTGACTACCACGCTCGTATACCCCCTGATATGTTAGTTCAATAGTTTTCATAGTCGTTATAAGGTATAAAGCAATATTGACCAAATATTTAAATATAATTTATTTAGTGCACTGTTATGATATGTTGATTTTATATAATGGGTTTAGTTTATTTTTTGTAGCTATAAGATAATTTGTATTTGGATTATAACCAGTAATAAATTATTCTAATACATTATATATTAAGATAATTAAAATTGGGTTACTTTTTAGTAATAATATACTTATTATTATTTTATTTACTATTTATTTACACAGTGATTATTTTTTCCAGCTCTAGTTGTCGGAGTAACATCAGTAATATCACAGGAAATTATATACACTTTTAGGGCTGATCATCCCTTCATATTTTACTTGACACTTCAAAGGAACCCATTATTCTGTGGAGTGTATGCTGGAAACTAGTACAGACTACTCTATAATGGAACAAATATATGTATAGTATTTTTATGTATCACAAATTGAAAAATTTATAATAATATAAAAATTGTTAATAATATACAAGGCATACGTTGTTGATAATAATAATAATTATAAAATGTACACTTAATAAATAATCTGAATATTTCGAAAACTGTGTTTCATTACATGTAGTGTGGTATCATGATTTTATAACAAAGATGAATCTTCATTATTTTAAATGAAAGTAAGAAAAAATAAATATCGTATTTGGTCAGTTACTAATCTATTATTATGACTAATGAGTTACTAGTCTAATTTGTACCTACATTGTATAATGGATACACACAGACATATGAAAATATTTGTAACGTACTTACGAGTAACATACATACTTTATATCATACTTTGATAAAGAAATATACCGAGGACTCTTCCTAGAACACGTTTTATCCAAGATTACGGTTTTCACAATTATCACCAGTAAAAACCTCGCTAACGGTACACGTTAGCGGGCCTGCAGTGGATGATGATATGAGTATGAGGTAAATTTGTCCAAACATTTGTGACAAATTACCCAGGAGTTCACTACAATAACTTTCAGGGAGAGACCACTTTAAGGATTACCTGTCGGGTCATTTCTAACATCAATGAAGTCGATAGTCCTGTGACTAAATCAGGGGAATGCAAGTAATAGGGATAGTTCCACTCCACTGCGGATGATTGTGTACATAGCATAACTTAGCTCCTAGCCAATGTATTAAATTGAAGCAAGCATTACGTATTAGCAATAGATTGTAGGAGTACCTAAACCAATTTTAATGAATAGCACAGAAATAACTGAGCTTGTAAGTTATTTTGGAATAATTTTTAAAAAGCCAAACAAAACGATTATTTTTGAAAATTTATATTAAAAACAAATATGTAATCATTACGGCTATTTCCGATTGTACGGTGTAGATTAGGAAACTGGATACTGGATAAAAGGCAAAACATCTTATCCTTTAGAATGGCAACGTATAATTGTTAACGTAGGTATTACTTGATAACGTGATGGCTTTAGTGCTATTCATGTACATAGGCTACTGCTTAGCTTAGGTAGCTACACCTAAGCCAAACAGCAACCGTAGCCTATATGTTTAGCATTCCAATAAAATAAAAAACGTAAATAACCGATCTTTATATTTTACAACCATTTGAAATTGATCGTCCGTCTAAGAGGCAGTATAGAATAAAATCTTTCTTATCTGAATTATCTATTCATCAATACATTTGATAAGATTATTACAGTATAGGGAAATGTCCATTTACTGTGAAGTCAACAATACACGGATATTATATGACAGTTGTGTACTAGATGTCAGGGGCATACTATAATAAGATTAGCGTTATGAAAGTATAAGATCAAAATACAAAATTCAAAAATAATATATAGAGGTCATCTTTCTTTAGGTAATTTTAATAGTAAGTGATCATTGTAATGACGGCCTATCTTGTAGTAAGTGGCTATCGTCGGCGTAGATAATGAACAGCCCCATGGACATCACGTTATCTATGTGACACCTGTGTGTGCTATGTACGTTGCTATGCATCCGTACACTGTAATTTTACTGCTTAATCTTCACTATACCCCATCAACGGAAACACATCTTTAAGTTGCTTGGCGGCTGTAACAGATGAGACAGACTTCAAAAGTACCTCGGTCAGCTAAAATTGTATATTGCGGAATTTGACCATATTTTTAGAATTATTAATTAAATGACCTCCCAAAGCGAGGAACACAGTGACTGTCTAGGCACTGAGTACACACACAGAGTGCCCGGAGAATGAATAAAACTTCAGCACTCATAAACGAGATACACCGTTCAGTCAGGAAAATGTTCGGTATAAGGACGACCCAACGGACAACCGAAATACCAGTAGGGTTACACCTCCACAACCTAGTACAGGCGTCCGCCGAAGTATTAAAGAAATAGAGGCCAAGAACGCGTCCACAGTTTCATCCAAGGTGCAGAGGAAGCACACCTCTGTATAAATAAAGCTAAAACATACCTGGCGCTCTAAAAAACATCCGTAAAGACGTGACTCCTTAACATCGTCATCATATCCTAGGTGAAAAGGCCCTACAGACTCGTGAAGGAGTCCGAGGAAAACCACAAGGTCTCTCTGAACTGAGCGCCCTCTAGACCTACGTATATGCGAGTATTCTGATAACTAGTATTCTGTTTTAAATATATATCGATAAGCAAGTCCGTAGTCCGGATTCATTTCAAAGGCAGATCCTGCGCATTGATGATGTATCAATACTATTATTATTTCAAATCGTGTCTACAAATCGTCTTAAAACATGGACTATGTATTAGCTACACATAGGAGATTAATATAATACACACTACAAATAAACTTTTTATGAACTATTAACACACGATGACACAGAACTCATTATTATGTTTTTGTTTTTTGTTTATTGTGAAAAATATTTACATTATTGCATTATGGCTAACGTGTACAAGGGCGTATTTTCGTGAATTATGTATTTATCGTCTATCCGCCGTTATGGCTAATTTTTTCTCCGGTGTGTGCACCGCGCTCGATGCTAAGTTCACACTGATGTGTGCCGCCCCCTCCGCCCCGCTCTGCCGTCTATACGGCGTGAACAATTATATACTTATATTAACACAGAAAGGATATCTATTGCTTTTGAACCCATACTAGCAACACATCTCCACTCATGTCCTTCAATGGGATGTTAAATGCTTTGGTGTACATAGTTCGATATCGTAATATATAATAAAAATGCTTTTAGAGAACAAAAACATATTAGACAGATGTATCGAGACGAAAAGAGAGTTTTGATCCTGCGGAAAAACCGGCTCCGCTACTAGTCTTTTTTGAAAATTTTATTTAGTGTTTGATAGTCAATTTATTAAGAAGCGGTAAACGGGCACATCAGAAAACAATTAACTTAATATTAGTATGTAATAAATAATAATGTATTATATTATATATAATAATAATGTATTATATTATCTGTGATATTAGTAATTGTTTTTTTTTGTAAATTTCCATTTGCTATTACATTTATTCTGTACATATAGATTTCGTAATTTTACCAGTATTAACCACATTTAGAAATAACAAAAATAGCAAATTTAAATTGTCATTACTTCAGTAGGCAAAAGTCATATTATTCAAACAGCTGCCATAGAAGTGCACACTCACTGTTTATTGACGCAATTAAAAAATATATAATTCGAAAAATTGTTTGTTATATATACAAGTTTGTCTTTTAAAGTAAATTTATTTTACTTCATTATATTCTTTATTGAAACAAGTGCAAGCACGTATCAATACCATAGTATATAAGAAGTAGGTAAGCATAATTGGTAACATTTGGGATTGAAAATTGGCCTTCAGTTGGCATAATGCTGAAATATATTTTTCTTGTTGCTATTATCGCTACTGTGATTATTTCGGTGTCTTCTACAGGTATGTAAAAACGTAATTAACTGTGTTAGTAATAATTAGCAAAACTTGTCGATTTATTAATAATTTCAAAGATAAAAATGGATAGATAGATATGGATATCTACTTTATAGTTCTTAATTAAAAAATAATAGAAACATGAAAAAAAAATGAAATATAGTTTTCCTGTCGTCCAGCAAACCTGTATAACTAAAAAGAGAATATTCTTTCCATCTATTTGTAGATAGACTTTCTATAAATTAAAAGAAAAACACCATGACATTGTAGATTGAAATGTCTTAATATTTAATCTCGTAACATACTCGAAAGAAACATGTTCATCATCGAATTCAGATTCACAAGCATCATCATCAGCATCAAGTACAATAATGGCTATGAGTATAATGTTTGTACTACAGGTATACGTAATTAGTAATGATTACATATTACTAATTACATAGGTACGGATGGCTTATTATTTTATGAATAGTAAACAGGCTGATATTTTCTCTGATTAAAGTGATTTTTCAAAGTAGTTTCAACTTCAGAGCCTAAGTAAAAAAGGTACTAATGTCGCTGTATCTTTATGCATTTTCACAGTTACTTGGTATTGACACTTTGATTTCGGACTCAAATTGACATTATAGCTATTTTAACAATACACTTAAGACATTTGAAATATCAATGGACTTTTTAAAAAATATGAATCGTTCAATTAATTATTATTTTATAATTATTATGTCATCCAGCTACTAGTGCATCTGCATCATCTGAAAGTTCAAGTTCAGCATCTGGAAAGTCGTCATCAAGTTCATCATCATCAAGCTCATCGTCATCAAGCTCATCGTCATCAAGCTCATCATCATCAAATTCATCATCAACAGGTTTGTCATCATCAAGTTTAGACTCGTCCAGTCTTTCTCAACGTCTACAAACAGAGAAACTGGTATAAACAACAATTACAGATATCTGTTACTTTGCTTACTTGATAAAGTAAAAGCAAACCATATATAATATTATTTCCGTTTCAAAACCTTTTTTTCAATTGGAAAGAAAGTCTTTCGGGTTATAAGTCTTCATATTATCTACATTAGCGGAATCTATTAATTTACATAAGCGGAGACAAATTATTCAGAGTTATTATTTTTTAACACTTAAGGGCATTATTAAAAGTTCCCGTGCTTATTGATTTATTGCAGCTAGATGTTTAGGACGCAATGAAGTATACGACTCATGTCCTCCTGTCTGTCCGCCGCAAACTTGCGACTCTATAGGCAAGAGCTACAGTTGTCCTTCTATACCTGTTAATCCGTCTTCAGTACCTGGATATTGTAAGCCAGCTTGTAGATGTAAACCCAAGTATTTTAGAAACCTAAACAACGTATGTGTTTCAGTGGAACAATGCTGTAAGTATTGTTGATACTTATCGTTTATTACCTTAATAGTAACCGCAAATGAGTATACTAATTGATAATTCTATTATTATTAATACATCCGTTTTAGTAAAATGCAATGGGACCAATGAAGTGTATGACGAACACCCTGTAATCTGTCCGCCGCAGACCTGCGACAGTATCGGCAAGAGTTATTCATGTCCATCTCAGACGGTGTCATCAAAAGGAGCTTGTGTTTGCCGTAATGGTTACCTTAGAAATGATACTGGAGTATGTATTCCTAAGGAAGATTGTGGTAAGTTATCAATAAAATATTATTATTTATTATCAAGTGTATAATTATATTAATCCGCGGACTCCAGTAGATGCGTTTTTTTTTTAAATACGTTTTTCAGCATAATAAAAAAAAAACTATTAATTGGATCCTGTAGTGTCTAATCTTTCGGTTTTTTACATTTACATTTCATTAGTCAATTTCATTATTGATCAAAGGAATCAACAAAATTAATAATAAGAATAGTATATATGTATATATCTTTATTGTTCATAAAGAAAGGATATTTACAAAAAAAGAATTTAATATAAATATACTAATAAAATTCAGCCTTATCGCTCAAAGCAATCTCTTACGTACAATCTGGTAGATCGAATTTTTGATCTTATATATACATGTATAAATAAATATGTCTAACTAATTAAATAAAGTAAAATGCGTATGAATAAATAAAATATATAAATAAATACATATATATATATATATATATATATATATATATATATATATATATATATATATATATATATATAAAAAAAACAAAACATATTAGAGAAAGATTTTTGTGTAGGAGAGATAGTCACAATCTTCTTAATTTTTGAAGATAGCATGGGATTGTGGACTTCTAATAGAAAATGGCTAGGAGTTCTAAAGACGACATCCATTATTTCCCTGTGGTATATTTTGTTTGTACTATCCTTGTGTTCTTATGTGAAAATAAAATGAATATTTTGTAAATTGTAATGGATTTGTATTTTCCTTCAAATGATTCACTTAAGAATAACATATTTAAAATGCGAGAGTTCTGTGTTCCTATTTTAAAAGTAATAAAATATAAAATAAAACAAAATATAATGCAGCAAAGAGGTTGCGTACACTTGTAAATAATAATATCAAACGTGTTAGACAAATTTAGATGACGATTCGAAAGAGCATTTCGTGTTGCTGGTTCTTTGAAATATATGGTCGGGCCATTCTTTTTCCTTTCCAGTCAACCAGTCTTTTTTCTATACCGAGATATACTCTGTACAAAAATGTAGGTAACATTTGTCACTTGCCACTACTACACTTATCATGTGGCTGCAGCTCATTTAGCGTTTCAATTATTATTGCTAAAGAAAAATCTTTGCCTACACATTATGGACTTCAATTACTTATATTTTTGTACAGGTGTTTTAACTACATTAATGAGGTAATCATGATGAATTTTTAGCGGCTAATATTTCGGATTGTGTTGTGTTTTCATAGGCAGAAGGAAAAGAGGAGCTGAAATGATGACTTCAGTGTATTACAGCCCAGTATTTGCTTTTAGTAACATGATTTTTCCAATTGGAGATAATTATTGCTAAGTTTCGCGTAATCATCTCAACACACAAACTCTTAATACTATATTTGTATAAATAAATTTAAATATTCTATACTTACTTTCCTCCACGTTCCTGCTCATCGTACGAGCTTCGTTTCAAAATCTTTCACATTACAAGCCATCAAATATTGGAATGAGTTACCCCTTGACATTAAATCTAGCGCTTCCAAATTCTCATTGAAATCAAAATTACGTGAACACCTTTCTTTGAACTAGAGTAATTCCTTTTATTCCAAACTTCAATACCATTTAATTTTCCTCTACACCCTTCTCCTTCAGGAACCTGACTTTCATTGTTGATTTGTATATATATGTATTGGTATGTATGTATATATATTATTAAATTATGTAAGTATTATGTATTACATATTAATCATAATGCACCGCCCACATGAATCTCTGTTTGCCCTATGGTTGACTGGGAGAAAATTCCTCTAGGTATTAAGTCTGCCATGTGCACCTTTATTTATGTATCTGTGCATTAAAGTTTTAATAAATAAATAAATAATTATTAGTTCTGTTACGTCATAACAGTCATAAATTAGTAGAATTTGAAGATATATTAATAGATGATAATGTTCAACAATAAAATTGATTTTATTTATGACAAAATTAAGATAAAGACAATGTGTATAAATTTTATCAATTGTAAAAAATGTACAGAAGTAGATAACTGGAGAACAGAACTTATACGTAACGTAATATATACGAAAGTAATGAAGTTGTATACAATATAATAATATTTAAGTTTTATAATATAATAATAGTTAAGTTGTTGCTGAAGGTAAAAACTTAATAATTATTATTTGCATAGTTCTGATGATAATTTTAAAGAAATTTGACATAATATTAGCTATTTATTTATTGAATTTGAATTTTAAAAGTTCATAATTCAACACTAACATAATATTTATAAATTCTACAACTAGATTCCTGTACATCAACAACAACTGAAATTCCGACAGGAAATGATGAAGACGCTCAAACCAGCTTGATACAAGGAAATATCGATTTCACTGGAAATTTTCTATATGTTAGTAATATTTTATACCAATAATTTTATAAAACATTTGCTATATATATTATGCGTATATAGCTAATATTATAAATAAAAATATTATTTTTATTTATAAAGTTATAAAAATTATTAGCGTTCATATTATGTGTATATCTAAACGCTTAACTAGAATGATTGTTTTTTGTTATGTTTTTTTGTTTAATGTTGATGTAAAGTTACAAATTTTTATATAAGCTATTTTACATAAGCTATTTTTTATACACGCTAAAATGCCTATGTTCATGTATTTTCATATATATACCTTTATTATACCTTTATTATACCTTTCATATATATCGATGCTCTTATAATTCTTATTGTTTATAGACTTTTTGTAGTTATTATAAATATATTCTTTACATTTTAGGAAATGTTAAAAATACACCACTTATGTACAACACATTTATGTACATAACTGTCACTCAGCTCACTTTCTTTATAATATTAGTATGATAGACTTAATCCATTGTTTTATTTCAGGAATTAATCCAAAAGAATCCACTAACCAGCATAGTAATGTCGCCATTCTCTGTTTTAATTCCTTTAGCCGAGTTAGCTCTTTATACAGAACCTGGAAATTCAATCGATCAGTTATTGAAAATTCTCAATCTTAAGAGCAAGAATGAGGTAAAGATATTTTATACTGTAGTCAATTTATTATTTTTATTAATTGTTCATATATATTTTAAAATATAAATTATACATTATTAAATTCAGAAATAAATAACAAAGAGGTATGCACGTAGATGGCTTGTACATAATCTATCTATGTCTAATTAATTATGTATATTTGAATTTAAAGATTCGAAGTGTATTCCCGCCGCTTATAAGTTCACTAGAGGCACAACAAGAAGCTGTGTTAGATTTGGCTGCCAAAATTTATGTGAACGAGAATTTCCAACTAACTCAGAGTTTTGCTAACGACACACGTGATGTCTTCGGTGCTGAAGCAGAAAACATTAACTTTAGTCAACCCGAACAAGCTGCTGACACTATTAATGCCTGGGTAGGTATGAACTAACTATATTAAGCTATATTTTTATCAATAGATATGTTTCAAAATAGAAATGAACTTCATTTTGCTGTAAGATTTGTTATTGAAATGACATTTAATTTCTCTCTCATTTCTAGACTCGATTCATCATATGTACAAAACTAAGTTATTTATGATATAGAGTATAACTGAGCCTAGTAATAAACAATAATTATTATTTTGCATATTACTAAAATATATTCATATTTTTTATTTCATTGAATACAATGACTATTTATTGGTTTCATTACCATTTTTCTTCTTTTTATTAAAGGTCAGATTATTTAAATAAAATAATAATTTTCATAATATTAAACTATATATAGTTTAATATTATGAAAATATTTTTTTTATTACATAAATATATTTCCTAATTTATTTCTTAGTTCTTTAATATATTATATGAAGATATTATTAAATTCTTAGATTTAAAATAAATTTAATGATTGTAGTTAGTGTCAGTGCAGTAACTATTCGCTTAAAATCAAGAACTTAGCAGGAATCATTACTTCGTCTATTCTCTAAAATATTGTGTTATTCACATCAGTCAATATCAGTCTGTTTTCTTTTATTTTTCAAATACACAATATACTGCAAATTATCTAAGTTGTGAATATAATTCTTTTATTAATGTATTTATTTTTATATAACTTCAGGTCGAGAAAGAAACAAGAGAGCTTATAAAAGACCTTGTATCTCCTAGTATGTTCAGCGCCTCTACTCGTTTAGTCTTGACCAACGTCATATATTTCTTGGTAACTATAATAATACAATGTAATCTTATCTTATCTGTGATAATATTGATAATATTGAATTCAACGCACTTAAAAATAAACTTTATTGATATAACTTTTTTTTTACAATTTTTGTCTCACAGGGAAATTGGGAGAAACAGTTCAATCCAAATGATACAAAAAATGATGATTTCCATGTCAGTAATAGTAATACTGTGCAAGTGCCATTGATGTTTCAAAAAGGCATTTTTAATTATGCGGAAAGTGAAGATCTCAATTGTAAGGTACGTATACACGAGTAGATATCGGCTGTCTAGGATCTTTAACACGACTTCTGATTATCTTAGGAATAGGTGATGATGTGTGTATTGTTTAGGCTTATTATTATTATTATTTTAGATAATTTCGATTAGTTGGTATGTACGATTAGGTTTAGGAAACACATATATAATAAGTTAACCATATTATTTGTTTTTATTTTTGTTACCAAAAATGTGATATAAGTATAATTAAAATATATTAAATTTTTGTTCTAGATTATTGAAATAGTATACAAAGGAGGCAATTTCTCATACATAGCTTTCCTTCCAAATGACATAGAGGGCTACAGTGCACTTGCAGAAAATCTTACAGATCCCGCTGTATATAAAAAAGCTCTTGATTTATTAAACGACGAAACTTGTTTGCTTTACATACCAAGACATGAAATTGCTACCTCTATTGATTTAGCTGACATCCTTCAAAAGGTAAGAAAAAAGATAATATGTACTGTTAAAACAATATTTGTTGTATTGTTCTTGTAATATTGTTTAACAATATTTTATTTGTAGGTCAGTGTCACCGACATATTTGACTCAAGCAAAGCGGATCTAAGTGGAATCTTGGAAAACAATGAACAACTAGGGGTATCAGCTGCGATACAAAAGGCTAAAATAAAGTTTGATGAAACAGGAACAGAAGCAGCAGCTGCAAATGGTATGAATAATATACTATACATATATTAAAATATTTGTACTACAATACATATTATTCAGACTTTTTTTGTCACTCAAACTAACTTAACTATTATTTCTTCAGCCAAATTATGCAATTTTACCTTCAGAATTTTAGTAGACTTTTCCTTCCCGTCTCTTCTCCTATTGTCTCATGCTTCCCCGTCCGTTTATTTTATACCTATCATGCTACTGATGCTATTATACAATACTTTTTTAATATTAAATGTTTATATTGAGTAATAGCTTGTATAGGAAAAAGAAAAGTAGGACATTTTTTTCCTTCAATTTATTAGAATTGTCTTCATATCTTAAGAAAAATGAAAAAAATGTGACGTTAGTCCACTTGGCAGGCAATATTTTGATTATTATTTATATAAATATTATGTAATACATTGCATAATTATTTTTTTCAGCATTTGTTGTGGGTATAACAGCAGCATTACCGCAGCCAACTGTATACACCTTTAGGGCTGATCATCCCTTCATATTCTATTTGACACTTGAAAGGAATCCATTATTCTGTGGAGTTTACGCTGGAAACTAGCAAAAACTACCTACCGAACAATAGAAAAAACATTATGTATTTTGTTATTATATTATATAAAAATTATTTATTATTGTAAAATAAAAATATTAAATTATAATAAATTTCGGTATTATGGAAACTGTGTTTTATTATATGCTGTATAAGATTTTTAAAGAAAGACTTGACAATGATATTCTTAAGAACTAGTATAGGTACTGTATTAGTATTAAAGAGAGACTAGACAGTTTTTTTCCTTTGTAAAACCTGAATACTTTGTGGAAACGTTTGTACAATAAATTGATTAGAGTCAAAAATAGTATATAGATAAGAAATAATTAATCGATGTTATTATTAGTTATATAAAAATATATTTTATGTTACCTACCACAATGAAAACAAACTTTGTCTAGGACTTTCGTTCATGCGGTGGTGTTCAATAAAATATTTCGTATCTGGTACCTATTCAACAATTCGTTTCACAAGATTATTATATTATATATTCTCTTTCTTCTTGAACTCGTGACAGAATGATGGCCTGGATTTCCTGTAATATCCAGAGACACCTAATGTAACATCCACGAATAGACGGGGATTATAAGAAGTTCTCACAGTGCAGAGGTTTAATGGACAGTACTAAATTTAGTTGAAGTCACTGGCTTTCTGGTATAATAAAAATAGTACTGTTATGAGATATATAAAACGACATATTGGGTAATCCCATATAAAGCATTTAATGCAAAAATATATGTGAAAAATTAAATTAATTTCTAAGTTAGAATATTATTAGGTTCATTAAATATGTCAATAAAATAGAGTATTAATTATATATATATATATACATACACTTTTGGATGTATAATATAATTTTGAGGACTCAGAGTAAAGAACTTATAAAGTTAGGCACATTTTGTATATTCCATATCGACTACTACGGTCTTTTATATTAATATCAGGCGACAAATTCTATGAAATCATTGATTTACAAATTCTAAGATACTATCTTTGGAAGTACTTCATAGGATAAGATAGTTAGCATCAAGCTAATGAGAAATTAATATTTTCAATCCTATTCTAATATATGTTGTTTGGTGATACTTTGTGATACATCAGTGATATACGTTGACACTACTATCGCTGCAATTTCATCTATAACTTTACGAACAACACAGTAGGTATGCAGGTCCGATCAATAGGATTTCTACTTACTTGCATATCAATAAGCGCATTAGTCAGTCGGGTTTGTATGAAATATGAGCCGATCCCACTCCACTGATGAGCTCTATCAATCATATTATTATGTCAAATCGTGTAGCCTGTACCACTTAGGTTTGTATGCCATCGTGCTTTACTGACTTTAGTCACTATAAGTAGACTTGCTTAAAACTATCCATAAAGCATAGCACTTGTCATATGATTATAATGGGTTCAGTTCCTATTAATTGTCATCGTGATGGTGATAATCGTAAAATAATTATATCAATTTACATGACAATTAAGCCTGTCACTACTGAACTTGGTTTTTCTTTTATAATACAAAACCTACTTTACTTTTCTGTAATAAAGCACACTTTTTAGTGTTTATATAAATGTTATTATTAATTGTTCTATTATTTATTATATATCCATATCTACACAAATAAATAAAATTAAAGTGCCCGTTTGTAATTTTAAATTAAATGCCTTTCACGAAATGCATATAAAAGTATGTACGGTCAAAAACAACAAAAAATATTTTTTGTCTGTCCGTTTATTCTCGCTAATTTCTAAAACAGCTGGACCTATTCTGACTTGACGAGGCTTCAGTTACTTTTATTATAAAAATATTTATATTCCACGCGGACGCAGTTGCGGGAAACAGTTAGTTTTTTATAATTAGTTATTTTAAAACTTGCACGTTTAATTATTAATACCGTAGGACATGGGTGAAGGTATGAAAAGCGATATAAATAAAAAAATAACTGATTTCAGCCGTGAAAACTCTTTCAAATTATTATATATATACTGGTTATAATCCAGTAAGATATATAATTAAATGAATTTATAATCAATAAGGATACGAATGCCGTGAGTGCTGTGTGCGACACACAGCACTCCACAGTTTTTTGTTGGACAATCTAGTGAGGGTAGTTAAACAAACTACAGGCACTACTGACATTGCTATCACTCTACTCCAGTCGGCAACATAAATTAGTCTTGTGTTTGCGAATTATACACTTAATACTACGTTTAAAGCACAGATAACATAATATTACATAGTTTTAAGTATTCCATTGATATCACGGTACTACAGTCAGCAATGTAAATTAACCTTGTGGCGAATTCTATTACGTTTCAAGAAGTATTCAAAATATTCAATAATATAATCAGTATAGAAATAAATATACACAAACTCTTCCCGAGAATCGAAATCACGGTTGTTACTCCAGATTTATTGACTAAGTACGGCACAAGTCGGTAAATAAAATAGTAATGGATGAGTATGTTGTCAAATAAATGACAAATAGTTAAATAAATAAATATAAGTTTAATTTTAGTGATTATTTAATCACTCAAATTAAACTTATTATTTCTTGTTTTATTAATATTTATTATTAAAACATATTTAGTTCAACAACGAACGTAACGAACGAACAAAATGTTTATTTTTTTTATTTTTTCGTATACTCTGTAACATCGATATAACAATTTACAGTTTTTACAAACAATAAAAATAGAAAATTAAATAAGATATTGTCATTTATTTATTATAGATCAGTTATTAGTCAATTATTCAAACAGCTGCCATAGAAGTGCATACTCACTGTTTACTGACGCAATTAAAAAAACTATACAATTTGAAAAATTGTACTTTATGTATACAAGTTTTACTTATAAAATAAATTTTTATTATTTCATTATTATCTTTATTGGAACAAGTGTACGAATGTATCAACACTGTTAGTATATAAGAAGTATGGTAGTATTGATAACATCGATATTGGAAATTGTCCTTTAGTTGGCATAATGTTGAAAACGATTTTTCTTTTTGCCATTGCGGCGTGTGTGTTTATTTTAGTGTCTTCTACTGGTATGTAAAACATAATGAAACCAAATTGACATGATTGATAAAATTATAAAGATCATGAATGAAATTATATAGATATTTATATAGATATGCCTCATAGATTCTAACCAAAAATTAATTAAATTAAATAAATAAAACGAGATCACTCATATCCGGCAGTAAACCTATAAAAATTATCAATAAGTTACTTAATTTATGTATAGATTTATTTAAAAAAATAACATATATTTGATATTTTATTAGCAAGACAGCACAAAATTGAATAAAACACACAAAACAGAACAATAAAACAGACATTAGAGATTGATTCGATAACAATAATAATCTTTATTTGTTCAAGACATTAATAATTAATGTGACACATCATTTGTAATAACACATATTATTTGTCACATTTTTTAAGGTGCATGTTCTGCTAGGAATGTATAAATTTATATAAATAATAAATTGATTGCATTAAAAAATGAATTATAAGATATTCTAATTAATGTCATTTTTTTCCCAACAGACTCAGAAGAGACATGTTCGCCATCGAATTCTGGGCCAGAATCATCATCAGAGTCAAGTGGCAATAGCAGTAAGTTTATTATTATTACTATAACGTGATACATATTATATCGTATTCGGGAGAAAATATGCTATGCTAGAATCTCATTAATGAGATTATATTTATTGTAACAAGTTAATTAGGAATTTCATTATTCATTATTATAAAATGTATATTCTGATGTAACTTTACAGTAATATAGATTATTACTGTAAAGTTTCATCAAAATCCGTTCAGTAGTTTTTGCGCTAAATAACAAACATCCATACTCACAAACTTACGCGTTTATAATATTAATAAGATTTATGATTAGATTCAGCTTCTAGCGCGTCTACATCATCTGAAAGTTCAAGTTTAACATCTGGAACGTCGTCATCAAGTTCATCGTCATCAAGCTCATCATCATCAAGTTCATCATCATCAGGTTCATCATCATCAAGTTCAGCATCTTCTAGTTCTTCCTCAAGTTCTACAAATAATGATACAGGTATAAATAACAATGGGAGATAATGACATAACAATAGCAAAATAAAACCAAAGCACAAATAAAGTAAATATACCGAAAATTGTATTTCACAACCATTTTACCGATTTATTAATTTGCATAAGCAGAAGCAGACAGACATTGACAACTCGTCTCTGTTCATGCAAATTAATCATTTCTATTAATATGGAGAACTGACCAATTAAATAGATAAACTATTATTTTTTAGTACGACATTATGCAATATTCACGTGCTTGATTGATTTATTGCAGCTAGATGTTTAGGAGAGAATGAAGTATACGACTCATGTCCTCCTGTCTGTCCGCCGCAAACTTGCGACTCTATAGGCAAGAGCTACAGCTGTCCTTCTATACCTGATAATCCGTCTTCAGTACCTGGATATTGTAAGCCAGCTTGTAGATGCAAACCCAAGTATTTTAGAAACCTAAACAACATATGTGTTTCAGTGGAACAATGCTGTAAGTATTACTCTTGGTGATTTTTTCTTAACATTTATATTTTACAGAAACAAACAGCATGAAACAATAATGCTTAATTGTAATTAATAAAATGAATTTTCATGTAATATAAAATATATTTAAAGAAACTATTGTTTTTAAAAATTGTTTCATTATAAGACATCAATGGTTATGTATGCAAATACGAGTACATATATATATATATATAACCTTATTGTAATTTTACATAACTGTGTTCTTTAATATATATTTTTGCTTTGAATTGTGATGAAGCCCCGGATGTTCATTTCCAGGCTTGCTACTATTTATTTAAAGACGACATTTTTTATTAATTTACGGGATACAAAACAACATTAAACAATAAAATATATACACATAGACATAACAGTTTTGTATTTAACTACAATTTTTTTCCCTATTTTAACAGAGTGTATAATCACTATACATTGTTAAATAGTGTTAATTGCTATTGGATTTTACTACCTTTTCAATAATTGGTCTGCTGTAATCTATTACATTTTTTTTTTGCCTACGTTTGTGGTTATCTACCACATCTTTTGTGGTATTTATTTTCTATTATTTGTGTTCCAATTTCGCATTTATTTCTTTTTGTTCCAAAGTGAGAGCAGTATTTAATATACTCTTTGTCTTTTCTTTACTGTGCGTTATAAATAAAGTATATTCTATTTGTCTTTCAATGTAAGTATATACTATTCTTTTGTAGATGTGTGTTTTGTTAAGTAACGACTCGTGTATGGATTTGTAGATGGTAATTGGATTCTGTAAGTGGCTCTGCTTCTCCAGGCAGGACGATATCTGGCGGATCTGCTAGAAGTATATATAACCGTATATTTCTTTAAATAAGTATATTATTTTTAGCAAATTGTACTGGTGCCAACGAAGTATATGACGAGCAGCCTAAAATCTGTCCGCCGCAGACCTGCGACAGTATTGGCCAGATTTATTTCTGTCCTGCTCAGCCGGTTTCATCAAAAGGAGCTTGTGTTTGCCGTAATGGTTACCTTAGAAATGATAATGGAATATGCATTCCTAAGGAAGATTGTCGTAAGTGTCAACTTAATAAAATATACTTTACATAATCCTATGTTTAGTTAAGTCCATCTTGGTGGAGTATAGTTGTAGTAAATTTCTTGCAAAAATAAGCATAAAAAATATAAAACATGTAAGGTCTTTCAACCCTTTAATCGCAATTGTACATATATATACAGCTCAATACATGTATAATTTTCATATTTATTATAGGTATAACACGTAAGATATCAGATTTATCGATTTTGCCAATTACATTTTATTATTCAACATAAGACTTTTTCCATGGATACCTCAATCAATTTGATTCATATTTGATTCTTTGCAACATATTATATTAATGACGTAGCTCCACCTAGTCATCGTAATGTTTCACTGTTCTTACTAAATCCTTTCTTCCCGATTCGAGAAAAAAAATGTTTACAAGTTTTTGTATTTTCGTTTTATATAATCGGTTCATTGCCACTTAAGTATACCAGTCTATTATTCTATTATAGAGGTATGTAGTTTTAATTTCTAGTAGAATTTTATTAATTACATTATTTGAGATAATCATATGGTTATTTGATTTACTACAGCTACATGTTTGGGAAGGAACGAAGTGTATGATTCATGTCCACCAGTCTGTCCACCGCAGACTTGTGACTCACTAGGGAAGGCATACAGTTGTCCTGCTATTCCTGTAAATGCATCTTCAGTACCTGGATATTGTAAGCCAGCTTGTAGATGTAAATCTAATTATTTTAGAAATCTAGACAACCAATGTGTATCTGTGCAAGAATGTTGTGAGTATTATTATTATTTTATAATACACTTCAATATTCAATATAAAAATAAATTATTGTACACAATGTATATTACATTAAACTCATTTTTTATCGAGCCCTAGAATATTATTCTAAATATCACCTTTTGTTACGAGTAGTTATATGCCATATTCATGGTACTTTGAATGCACTAAAATCCTTTATATTCGGAATTACTTTTTGAGACGAAATACTTAATGTATTAAATGTTTAATACATTAAGTAATTTTTATAAAATAATACACTTGTGTAAAAGCGAAATAAAATATTCTTTCTTTATTACATTTCTTAATTCCACTATAAATTATGTAAATAATTAAATATTTGTATAAATATATATATGTATTTTAGCAAAATGCAATGGGACCAATGAAGTGTATGACGAACACCCTGTAATCTGTCCGCCGCAGACCTGCGACAGTATCGGCAAGAGTTATTCATGTCCATCTCAGACGGTGTCATCAAAAGGAGCTTGTGTTTGCCGTAATGGTTACCTTAGAAATGATACTGGAGTATGTATTCCTAAGGAAGATTGTCGTAAGTATCAACCTAATAAAATATATTTTTATAAACATGTGTTTTGTTACACCTATCTTGGTGGACTATAGTTGTAAATTTCTTATAAATATAAGCGTAAATCAAAATATAATACACGTAGATTAAACAAATAATGCTCAGTATTAATTTCGAGTATCCTATAGTTCTTTCAATCCTTTAATCACGATTATATATACCTCAATGCCGGAATATGTTTTCATATTAATTGTATAATATGTAAGACTTAAGATATGAGCAATTTTGTCATTTATTGTTCAACTTTTTTTCGAGTTTTTTGGGTCTTCGAGTTATAGGATCAGTCCATTGTCACTTGTGTTCGCCAGTCTTATATAAGAATTATCTCGATAAGTGTATTATCTCGATAATTCTTATAAAATGTTGTGGCAATGGGTGCCACTTACAATCTGGTCAATTTAATTGCCATTCCGATTACATCAGTAAATAAAATACTTTATTTTCATTGTGCGTTATGGATTTAAATGACCTAATTTTTTTACGTGAATTTTATTAATTATACTAAATGAGATAATCATAAGACTCATTGATTTGTTATAGCTACATGTGAAGGACGGAATGAAGTATATGATTCATGTCCATCGGTCTGTCAACTGCAGACTTGTGATTCAATAGGCAAGGCCTACAGTTGTCCTTCTATACCTGATGATCCATCTTCAGTACCTGGATATTGCAAACCAGCTTGTAGATGTAAACCTAATTACTTTAGAAATCTAGACAATGAATGTGTAACAGTGCAAGAATGCTGTGAGTATTATTATTATTATTTTATTATATACTTTATAGAATTATAAAAAGAAATCATTGTATACTATTACCTTTTTTCACGCGGCCTATAATAATTTTCTAAATATCTCCATATATTACAAGTAATTGTATATATAGACTGCACAGAATACCGTATTCACGAGGCTGTGAATTCGATCGAAATGCTTTCTACTTGGAATGTTTTTTTGAAACGAAATACTTAAATATATAAATATTTTTATAAAATAATGTATTTGTCTAAAATGAAAAGTAAAATATTCTTTCTTTATTAAATTTCTTAATTCCACTATATATTATGTATATAATTGAATATTTGTATAAATAAATATGTTTATTTTAGCAAAATGCAATGGGACTAATGAAGTGTATGACGAACAGCCAACGATCTGTCCCCCGCAGACCTGCGACAGTATCGGCAAGAGTTATTCATGTCCATCTCAGACGGTGTCATCAAAAGGAGCTTGTGTTTGCCGTAATGGTTACCTTAGAAATGATACTGGAGTATGTATTCCTAAGGAAGATTGTCGTAAGTATCAACTTAATAAAATATATTTTTATATATTCATGTGTTTAGTTACATCCATCTTGGTGGACTACAGTCGTTGTAAATTTCTTGAATCAGTGAATGTAATCTTCATTTTCTTCATGCATTATGCATTATGGCCTTAATTTACGTAATTTTTACTAAATGAATTTTATTAATTATACTAAACTACCGACCCGCCTCGGCTTAGCATGGGTACAATGCTGATATTAAATATCCATACCCTAGAATGTCCTTATAAATAACATTTACAGCTTTTTTGTCATTAGACAATATAAACAAACATGTTTTGGTTAGCGCGCCGCACCGGCCGGGCTGGTACGGCCGCGCTGCACCGCTATGTGCACCTGCATTTTAAATCTGTAATATCTTTGGATATATTCGTTTAAATTACATGCTGTACAGGGCCATATTGAACTATATTAAATGGACAATATATTTAAGGTACTTAATTGGACAGAATTTAATGCTGTATTGTTTAAAATCACTTCATAAATAAGCTTTTTTACCCGTAAACTGTAAAGGATAAAAAATGGTTATTGGGGTTCATCCTTAAGAGATAGACATTTACCATCTTGAACTCTTTTGTTGACCTTATTAAGGTGTACAAACTGTAGTACATTATTTTGATATATCTCGTGGGGTTCAGCCAACGTTTGCAATGTAAGCGCAAGTAAATATCTACGTGATAAAATGTTCTTTTGTAGTCAAATATTCATAGACTAATTAGACAATCTTAATAAATTAAGAAGTAGGTAAATACATGTTTACCTAATGGTAAACATGTATTTAAGTATGTTTACGCAGTAAAGTGAAGTTATCGATAAATATTTTAATCGCGGTTATTTTTTTTAAATTTACCTACATAAATAAATAGAGATGAAATTCTTTAACATTAAAAATGCATATTTTTTGTAATCCATACATTAATTAGCTCAAAAAAAAGTGTAATAATTGTTCTTATGTTTTTCCAATTTTTTGTATTTTTAAAAGTTTTTTAAAAATACAAAGAATTGAAAAAACATAAGGACAATTATTAGATTTAAATGTTAAATAAAACAGTTCCTTTGCAAAAAAGCTTACTATAAAATTAAAGAATTCGTTAACGATAATAATGTTTTTATAGAATAACTTTTAATCCATAGCATTGACAATATTATCTGATTACACTAATAATGAGTGCGTAGCGATTTCTATGTTGATTATCGCATGCCTCTTACTTGTTATACTGTAATTATTTACATAAAAAACATCTATTAAAAGAGCAACACTCAAGTTTCTTGCTCATTCTTCTTGTGATGAATCTGCATTCCGAATGAGTGGTAGAATCAAAATATGACTATTCAAAAAAGCTTGTAATGAGTTTATTTGAATAAATATTATTTCTATTTCTATTTAATGAAAAACAAATGACGGAAGCTAATAAAAAAATAAATTAAGTGTATATCATTTGACACAATAGATCCAGTCACCGAATTCCGATTTCTACGTATACACTATACATATTAGCCAACATTATAATCATTGTCATTATCAAATAAAGGTATATCTATCTTAGGACGTATCCTCTACTATTAAGTGAACTAAGCTTCTAACATATATAATACAGTTTATGAAGTACTATATATTGTATCAAATTACAAAATGTTCTATTATAGGATAGTGTCAGCATTAATATAATAATATATTAATATTCTTGTTAATATCTTAATACAGACTATGAACGTGATCTTATCAGTTATCTGTAAAATCTAGTAAATGATTTCAATCCGTTGTTTTTATTACAGCTACATGTTCAGGACAGAACGAGGTATACGATTCATGTCCTTCAATCTGTCCACCACAAACTTGTGAGGCTATAGGCAAGGTTTATCCGTGTCCTTTGATTCCAACAAATAGAACTGACATCGCTGGTTATTGCAACCCGTCTTGTCGATGTAAAACTGGTTATTACAGAAATCTAATCAACCAATGTATATCTAAGGACGACTGCTGTGAGTACAATATGAGACTTATATGCACAGTTTAAGTATATCTAATATATAAAATTCTCGTATCACAGTTTTCTTGTTTATACTCCTCCGAAATGACTAGACCGATTTTTTAATGAAATTTTATATGTATATTCAGTTGAGAATAGATTTATAACAAATTTTTATATCCCTAAGTATTAAGGCTGGTAAAACTTAAAAAAAAATCGTAAATTTTTTTTATTTGAATTTTCTATTACGTGGCATTAAAAATACATATTGCTTTAAATTTTCATCGTTCTACCACCAGCTCCTATTTTTTAGTAGCGATTTTAATTTATATGGCAAAACAACGCTTGCAAGGACAGCTAGTTTTTTATATAATGGGAATGGCAAGCCAACTAACTATCCACCCGATAGTAAGTGGTAACGTAGTTTTTAATATGACAACAAGGACAAAACCTCATCTTGTGACTGTTGCTTCTTTGTCAGGCGACTCGAATCAAAACTCTATTTTGTTCATTTTTGTTTCTATTTCCTGCGATTCGTAAATTCACGTCATATTCCTGAAGATTCGTTTTTTTCGATTCAGACAGGCATACTTTCGTGTTTATTATATTAAGACGAATATATTTTTATATTTCAGTGAAATGTACTGGACCTCATGAATATTTCTCTTGTGGCAGTGCTTGTGATAATGTTTGTGCTACTATAAAAAGACAGAACCAAACCCACTGCCCGATCATTAACATCACCTGCAACAAAAAATGTTACTGTGAGAAGGGTTATGCTCGGGATGCTAACAATACCTGTATACCTATCGACCAGTGTGAAGGTACCTTTTTTAACTTAATTATTCCATATATTTGATAATATTACATAGGACTAAATACCAATTATCAATTCTGAATTTATTTTGAAAATTGTCTCATAAAAGTTATGACTTCCATGTATCATCACTTAGCTATTCGTTGTCATTCCAGAGAATAGAAAAGTAAAACGAGATGAATGTCGCTCTTTTTTTCGATTTAACGCTGAACTCAGTTTCCTTGAACCTACTTGTACTACGATTGGTGAAATCTAGCCTAAGATGTCATGATTCTTTACTCTGTATTATATCTAAATTATTATATCCTTTTAGATCAAGTTTGTGGAAGAAATGAAGTATATTCTAATTGTTCGAATGGTTTATGCAAATTTCAATACTGTTACCAATACGGGGATCCCATAATGTTTTGCCCGAAATTTAACACAAGTAATTGCAAAGGAGGTTGCATATGTAGAGATGACTATTTGAGAGATTGTAATGGGGTTTGCATACCTCAAGAGCAATGTCCAGGTAATTAGCAAGAGAATAGTAATATTAATAAATATGTTAATACAGATATATTTTGTATCACTATTATTATATTAATTTAAAATATTTACATAATATATAGTGGAGTAAAGATTCCTTCATATTTGTATGAACAGTTACTACGACATCAACAACAACAACAACAACAGCAGCGCCAACAGATGGAGACGGTGAAGAGCGTTTGTTTCTGGGCAATGTTAAATTTACTCTTCAGTTTTTATACGTTAGTATTTTTTATTTACGTTATAGTTTATAGTTCTTTAAACAACGGCAATACGGCAAACAAGTTGACATGATGCCCGTAGTAGCACAAATGCGTTGCCCTTCTGGAGGACTAAAATGTTAATGCTTATATACCTTGTAATTTCACTCTTGCACCGAAAAACATATTAGTAAGCGTGATATAATCTAATATAATTATAATTATATTGTGATAAGATTTATTCAAGACATAATTTTCATTTATTACATGATTTACAAAGATATTATATTTAGAGATAAATGTTAATACTGATCCTCATGCTTCATGCGCTAGTCTTGCTACTGTGACAGCGTTATGAATCAGTGGCGGTTTTCGTTTGCGCTGGAAAATAAAATAAACTAATATAAGAATTATTCTGCAGATATTCTTTTATTGTGTTTTTTATAACAAAAATCTACTTAATTAATTTACGCGTAAAACGTTATAGTCCTAGCAGACGACCTCGGTAGTCTAGTGATTTAGCACACCGCTTTACTTCGGTTCAATTCGTCGCACGGTACAAACATTTGTATTCACGAATGTTTGTACCGTGGGATGAATCGAACTCGAAATGTATGAATGAAATATGATTGAAGTCGAAATCTATGTATATTATGAATGTACTACCCCTAACAATACATTAAATATTTTTATTCGCAGGAACTTATTCTAAAGAACCCACTAAGCAGCATAGTGACGTCGCCGTTCTCTATTTTGATTCCTTTAGCGGAGTTAGCTCTTTATACTGATCCCGGAAATTCTTATAACCAACTAATCAACACGCTCAATTTGAATAACAAGAATGAGGTATAATAATATTTTCTATAATATTATTACTTTTATGAATTTTCTGCTTGACTGATTAAATTTGAAATGATAATAGATGAGTAATTATAACACTAGATGTGTATATGTTCACGTAGATTTCTTTACAAATGGCATCGTTTCTTCTTTTATACAATTATATATATATATAATTCAACCCTATTTTTTTTATTTTATTGGGTTGTTTGGGCTATTGTCAGATGTTTTTAGCATCTGTAGCACTGCGACCTACATAGCATCTATTGTGCTCGCCCTTTTTCAAAGCTCGCTACCTAGACCCGTCAGGGTCTCAACCCTACTAATGTAGATTTTTATATTTTTTTTAAGATTCGAAATGTATTCTCGGAACTTATAACATCGTTGACTTCCCAAGAAGATGCAATATTGGACTTGGCCGCGAAAATTTATGTGAATGAAGATTACCAGCTTACTGACAACTTTAAAAATGACTCCCGTGATGTATTTGGTGCTGAGGCAGAAAATATCAATTTTAATCAACCTGATCAAGCTGCTGATACTATTAATGCATGGGTTTGTATTGATAATAGTCTGATTACCTATACCCAGTAGTATAGATACTGTAAACATGTGTTTTGTTTATTCCTAAATCTGTTTATAATATTGATTATTTTTTAGGTGGAAGAAGAAACCAGAGATCTTATAAAAGATCTTGTAACTCCCGATATGTTCAACAGTGATACACGTGTAGTCTTGACCAACGTCATCTATTTCCTGGTAAATATTATAATTTTGACAATAATGTATGATAATACGACAATGCCATTACAATTACAAGTTAGACAAATATTAATTAATTGAATATTGTTTATAATAATAAATTCACAGGGAAATTGGGATTCAAAATTTAATCCGAACGATACTGTAGATGATGATTTTCACATAAACAATAACCAAACTGTTCAAGTACCGATGATGTATCAAAACAGAAGGTTTCCATATGCAGAAAGTGAAGAACTTAATACTAAGGTAAACATATTATATATAAAAACAGATTATCGCGTTACCATATTTTACTTAATCCTATATTTAATTTATAAATATATATATAATATATTAAGAATTTATAAAAAGCATAGAAAATTAGACTACATGTTCTATAATGAAAGTTCGTTTTATTACGGAATCGAATTGAAATGTGTTTAATATATCTATTGCAGATACTGGAGATGACATATAAAGGAGGAAACTTCTCTTATGTAGCTTTTCTACCAAATGACATAGAAGGCTACAATGCATTGGCAGAAAAACTTAGAGATCCCAATGTGTTCAATGCTGCTCTTGATTCATTGAAGTACGAATCCTGTGACCTTTACATACCAAGACATGAAATAACTACCAGCATTAATTTAGTAGATCTTCTTCAAACGGTAAATGTTATTAAAGTAAATAATTAGGTATTTAAAAATTTAATTAAGTGTATTAAATATTTTTATGTTTATATTAATAGGTCAACATTACCGATATATTCAAAGGTAGCACAGCAGATTTTAGTGGAATTTTGACAAACAATGAAGAACTGGTGGTAACAGGTGGTATACAGAAGGCCAATATAAAATTCGACGAAACAGGAACTGAAGCAGCGGCCGCAAATGGTATGAGTAATCTACGATATTAGTATTAATTATACGAATCTTTGAATACTACGTATAATGGTAACCAAATGAAGTAACGTGAAAAGTAATAGGTATTACAAAATACATTTTGACATAGTGTAGGTTTTGAATAGTAAATAAAATCGAGAATTAAGATTTCATATTTAATTAAAATCGAGTAATTAACAATAGTAGTCATATAACAATATTTCTTTTAAAAAACTATTTTCGTTTCTTTATAATCTATTAATTAATATTAATATCTTTTTTGTAACATTTAATATTATTACGTATAAAATGTTTTTTTCAGCAATAACCAGTTCCGCAGCAGGAGTTAGTGTAGCTGAAATTACATACACATTTAAAGTCGATCATCCTATCATATATTTCCTGTTGTTCCAAAGGACTCCGTTATTCTGCGGTGTTTATGCTGGAAACTAAGAAGTACCAAACATAATAACAACTTCAATAAAATATCGTAATGTGATATTTAAAAAAAAAACATTTATGAAACATAATAAAGGATTTATAATTTATTCTATTAATGATTTTTGTATATAACTGATATTTACAATAAATAATTATAATTTTGGCATTTTATTTCATATTTAATTAGTTATACGGTTTATTTTCGTAAACTGACTCGATTGAAGATCCACTAACTCCCCATACAAACTTTTAATCATATCCATCAATGCTAGTCCTGTAAAGTGCAAAAAATATTTTATTGGCCTACTGGAGGTTGGTATATTGTCATAGTTTGCACTGCATTGCATGGACAATATGTTGTTTTTAGTGCTTTGACATACTGGCATTATTGATAATTCTAAATATTTGGAAAAATTACCCTAGCAAAATGTTATCGTGATAATATGTAAACTGTACTTATTATTGTTTGTACTCCTTTATTGAGTAAAAAGTTTTCAATTTGCAGTATATTGTTTTCTTCAACTGCCTTTCTACCTTTTTTTATAAACAATTACCTGGTAGATAATTAATAAAGGTATTAAGAATACAATAATGGCCTATGAAGAGATAAGCTAAAGTTAATCATTATAATAATTTAATATATCTATGTCCATTGTTAAACATGGATTGTAAATTTAAGTAACATAATAAAAAAATAGTCTTGATCCACCCACATCAATTCAGCTTTCGTAATCTCCTAACATTCTCTGTAAAACAAATTTGAAAAAAAAAGAATTGGTCTAATAATACAGCGATATCTCTCATTGTTTGAAGTCGTATGAAAGTTTATAAAATATTTAATTTTATCTAGCTATCGGCATAGTACTGTTAATTTTGGAAATCATATGTCTTGTGTATAAATCAGTCCGTTGACGTATTATACTAACTTAAATCTAGGAAGTGAAGTAATTATTCTCCTAGAATATTTATTATATATTCTAACATATTTATTACAAGACAGTGCAGTGTACGAACGTTATATGAGCTGTATATTATACGTCACACACGTAAATACAAGGAAAAAAGACGAGTTACGTAGAATTGATTTACCTTTCTTGATTTATGTATTTTGTTCGGTTCTACTATATTATCTTAATACAAAATACGCTACATGTTATACCTTATGTATTTTAAATTTGGATTATAAAATGGAAAATTATGTCATACTAAAATTATTAATTTAAGTATGAAACATACAGGAAGAATAGAATATGTCCAGTTTATCAATTCACTTTACTACCGCTTATTTAGATAAACAAACATACCACAATGGTTTACTTTATATGCTAAGTATAAAAAACTGTTTATGGAAAGTATTTTTATTCTTGACACGTGACTACCTACTTGAGGATTAACTGAGGTGTAGTAATATTGCCACAGTTGTTTGAAATAACAGTATTAATTACTTAAATGTCACCTCTACTACATTAATAGATAAGCATTCATCACCTTGGCAAATTGTACTAATACGTTACAATTTATATCGCTTTATACAAGTGTCAATTTAATTATTACATTTTTTATTGTTACTAAAAAGAATACATACGTAAGACAAATTAAGTTGAAATGAATATTGCTTTTTAATTAATGTGTATTGTTTTAACAAGTGTACGAAGGTTGTCTATAAAAGAGGTAGTCATCCTTGATGTATAGCCAGAAGGAATTTGTTTGTGATAATGTTGAAGTTAGTATTGTTTGTAGCATATGCAATTTGTGTGGTCTTTGTGGTGTCAACGACAGGTATGTAAAACATTTTGTTTATAAAACCATTAGCATATATTCTTTAGTGATTTATTGTTTATTTTTTATACTTATAGAGCTTAGTGTCTAGCCTAGTAGTTACTTTCAAATTCAAATAGTCGTACGATCGACTTTACTAGGCACCAAAAATGTCATCTTATATTCCTGACTTACTCTCTAGTAATGGAAACGCCGATAAAAAATAAACAAAATTTATTCGAGAGACAGCGGTTGACTTACGTCATACCATGTTTTATTCAAAATACCCCGAAATGTATGCATATCAAATGTTGCGTTCACAATAAGGCTGACAGTTCACAATGGCTGTGGCTACCGTTTCTGGGATAAAAATCCTGTATATTATTATTATAATTACCATCATTTCAGCCACTACTAGGTCAAGCAGTTCCTCATCTAGCTCGTCACATGCTTCATCAAACTCCACCTATACTGACGATGACGATGGTGGAAACAGTATAGGTAAGTATTCCTCTAAATTTATTATATTTTAGTTATTACATTTTCTCTATTCACATTTATAATAATATTAAAAAAAATAATCAGTGCAGAAAATTTTAATACAATATTTTCATTGTTTTTTAAATTGAAATGAACATCTACTTCATTAATTACTAGCGAACCGCTCAAAGGATAAATTATTATAGAGATACCTAATTTGTTACAAAACTAAAATATATGCCATATTAAAGGCTAAAGAGTACGCTTTTTATACGTGAAAGATTTTTTCAAACATTTCAGTCTTTGAGTATTCATTACAAACATACGAATATATAGAATTTTATTCTGTCCATATAATATTACTTCAGACTAGATTGAATTATTTTTTAACATATACAGATTAATATTTCAGACAGATGTAGAGGACAAAACGAAATATATGATACGTGCCCCCCAGTTTGCCCACCGCAAACTTGTGAGGCTATAGGCAAGACCTATTATTGTCCTCTTATTCCGGTAAATAAGACCGCAATAGCCGGATATTGCAAACCGGCTTGTAGATGTAAACCCGGTTATTATAGAAATCTAATCAACCAATGTATATCCAAGAATGATTGCTGTAAGTATTATTTTATTCTTATTTTTTACTTTATAAAGATATTGATTATATTAAGTTTGCAAGTAGTGACTGAAGGTAGATTTTTACAGTTTGAACTTTTTTTTAAATTAATATTAATGCTTACTTTATTTAGATATAGAATGTATATCTTTAGACCATGTATACCTGTATTTTTTTTATAATTAAGTAGCTATAGTAAAGGTATTTAGTACTTAAACATTATCTAATACCTAAAAATTTCGTCTTTATACTCCTCCGTAACGACTTGATTTTAATGAAATTTTATACGTATATTTAGTATGTCTTCGAATAGGTTTATAACTAATTTTTATACCCTTAAGTGTTAAGGGTGAGTCACCCCAAACAAATTTTTTATTAATTTTTTGACAAATTATTTTATTCCTATTGTTTTATTCTTGCATTAAAAATACATACGGCCTTCAATTTTCACCCTTACCTAAATTACCCTACCTAAAGTACCCTTACTTAAATTTATATAGCAGAACAACGTTTGGCAGTAGTATTTTATACTTTTGTGATGGAAATGCTATAATTTCAATAGCTTTAATATTAACTTGTTTATTTCAATTAAATAAAATAAATTACTAAAATATTTTTTTACAGTAAAATGTACAGGACCACATGAATATTTTTCATGTGGTGTTGCTTGTGACAATGTTTGTGCTACAATAAAGGAACAGAACCAAACCAACTGCCCGATCATTAACAAAACTTGCAATAAAAAATGTTATTGTGAGGAGGGTTATGCTCGGAATGCTAACAACACCTGTATACCTATTGATCAGTGTGAAGGTACCCATTTACGAACTTGATAACTAATAAACAAATTAAACTAAGGTTCTGAATACATTTTGTTGACTACACTACTTTGTCCTATTTTAATTGTATCATCAAATCAAAAATAATTTATCATTTTTCTATTTTCGTCAAGTCTAAACCACAAAACGTTTCTTTTTATTAATCAAAATCAAAATATAGAAATAATAATAAATATATGTGCATATTTAGCTAAAAAACGCTATACATGTTAATAAATAATTTAAATAAATAATTTAAATTTAAAAGTTTGTGGAAAAAATGAGGTATACTCTAATTGTTCGAATGGTTTATGTAAATATCAATATTGTTACCAATGTGGATATCCCGTAATGTATTGTCCAAGATTTAATGTAACAAATTGCAAAGGAGGTTGTATATGTAGAAATCAATATTTGATAGACCAATGGAATTTGTATACCTTGAAAGAAATGTCCAGGTACAAAAATAATTAAATACGATAATAGTCGTTTAATACATTATTCATTAGACTAGTCAATTGAACGTTTTATAGAATGTGTACTGTTATGTACTTTATTATGTCTCTAGAAGCCTGTACTACTACCACAACAACCGTAGCACCAACAGAAAATGACGATGTTCAAGATCAATTGGTACAAGGAAATGTGGATTTCACTGTAAATTTTCTATATGTTAGTAGCTGTTTTGCTAAATATTCCTTTTTGGTCAATAGAAAAATTAAATAATATTATTTACTTGTTTACACGAGATACTTTAATAGTATGCAACCTGTAAACAGATACAACGAAAAATATTTTAAAATAGGCAATGAAATTTATATCCTTAGAAAAGAAATTCAAGTTACATTTTATTTATTCATTACTGCTAACTCAATCTGACTACTAGACCTGTCTCTCAGTCTGGAGCAGCTAGCAGCTGCCAAACATTATCAATACTTTGGAAATTTTGTATATATTGAAAAAAAATACAAAACATCACTTGGAAGGGGGGGGGGATAAATGGGAGAAATGTTGACAGAAAACAAAAATCTGCTCACTCTCTTGTAATATTAGTATAGAGTATGGAGTTAATTTATCTTTTCATTTCAGGAATTAATCCAAAAGAATCCATTAACCAGCGTAGTAATGTCGCCGTTTTCTGTTCTGATTCCTTTAGCGGAATTAGCTCTTTATACGGAAGCTGGAAATTCTTACAGTCAACTAATGAATGTACTCAATCTTAAAAGCAAGGATGCGGTACTGTAATATTTTTTAATACTTCAACTTTATATAGGTATATTTTATAATTAGGAACGCAGTCTAATATAAAATATACCATTCCAGAATAGAAATGTTTAGCTTATTTTCTAATACGCAGTGTATATAAATGATAAATAAATTACAGTAAAAATAAATTTCAGTAATAATAATAATAATCTATAGTATACTATCGGTAGCGGGGAAATCCCGAGTATTGTAAAATTTAATGTATTGTTATATTGTTTTTTAGATTCGAAGTGTATTCCCTCAGCTTATAACTTCACTAAAGGCCCAACAAGAAGCTATATTAGATTTGGCTGCAAAAATTTATGTGAACGAGAATTTCCAGCTTACTGAGAATTTTGCTAACGACACACGTGATGTCTTCGGTGCTGAAGCAGAAAATATTGACTTTAGTCAACCCGAACAAGCTGCCGACACTATTAATGCTTGGGTATGTATAGAGAATTAACATATTTTGTTCCTAATGTATATGTATTATAGTGTTTATAACATTTTTCTTTCAAGATAATGTATATATTCTTATAATTAATATATATGTAATTTTATAATTTCAGGTAGAAGAAGAAACAAGAGGTCTTATAAAAGATCTCGTAGCTCCCAGTATGTTTAGCGCCTACACACGATTGGTTCTAACAAATGTTATCTATTTCTTGGTAAATATCTTATGTACTCGAATAATAATATATGTACATGTAATTTTAATTAATATGTAAACTATTAATATAAAATAATTTTAATACCTAATTTTAACACATTATTTTGAATTTACAGGGAAATTGGGAACAACAATTCAATCCGAACGATACTAATAGTGATGATTTTCATATTAGTAATAACCAAACTCTTCAAGTCCCAATGATGTTTCAAAAAGGTGTTTTTAATTATGCAGAAAGTGAAGATCTAAATTGTAAGGTAAGACTTATTAAGGTATAAGATAATTGAGTGCTTGTATAAAGAGAGAAAGTATTTATTATATAGAGTCAACACTGTATAAATAAGTATACTTATAATGTAAAATTAATTAATTTTAAATAATGCATTGGTAAAACTTATCGCTCATGAAATTCTCAGGAAGAGAAAAACAAGGTCACATTGACGACTTTGTTTTATTGCTGACCTCAACAATGCTGAAATTGGCTATATTATATGTATCCTATACTATATTATATATAAATTAATATGTATATTTGTATTGTTAAATAGAAACATAGTCTAAGATAGATTAGCCTAGCCTCAGATTAGATTGGACTAGTCTAAGAATAATTTAAATCTATTTTGTAAATAAATGTTTAAAATAGACGATAAATTTAATTAAAAAAATGATGTCGATCGAAGCTGAACTCACTTATTGAAGTTGTGCAGTAATATGTATATAACTGAAAAGTAAAGGTAAATGTACATAATGTATTTCTTGTTGTAGATACTGGAGATTCCATATAAAGGAGGAAACTTCTCGTATGTAGCTTTCCTACCTAATGACATAGAAGGCTATAACGCACTGGCAGAAAAACTTAGAGATACCAATGTATTTAATGCTGCTCTTGATTCATTGGAGGAAAAACTCTGTTACCTTTATATACCAAGACATGAAATAAGTACAAACATAAACTTAGTTGAAGTTCTCCAAGCGGTAAGATCTTTTTTTTATGTAACCTTGATAGTGGTAACCTTTGTTTATATGCACAACAGCCACGAGAATCGCTGTTCCCATATTTAAGATGTTGCCTCCGTATCCTGAAAATTCACTGTAAGTCTTATAAAGCATACTTTAGCGACAGAATTAGTTGAGACAAAGCTGCCCATGCAGAGAACATTCTACAAAATCTCCGTCTAGTAAATAGCATTATTATATATGCAGTTATTATTCGACACAGATAGCGGTTTAGGAATAGCGGTTTAGTATTCCGTTTTACTTCCGATAGTCGCGGTTTCGGTTCCTCGCTCGATGCAAACATTTGTATTCATTTCTATGATCTCACAGAACATAGGAAACACCACGACCAATACAATCAGTCTGGGTGTTACTTGCAAATATATCATGATTGTAGTTCGCTCAGTTTTTTAGTTATACTAGAAAACTGAGCTTACACTGCCTTAGCTTAGTTTGGGAATATATGGTGCTATGTGAATTATACAGACATATTATTATTTAAATTTAACAGTATACTCATATTGATAGGTCAATGTCACTGATATATTTGATACCAGCAAAGCAGACTTAAGAGGAATATTAACAAATAATGAACAACTAGGTGTATCAGCTGCTATACAGAAAGCCATTATAAAATTCGATGAAACAGGAACCGAGGCAGCGGCTGCGAATGGTACGTATAGTTTTATATATCTAAGATAATACACTGTAGAAATGTTTGTCTGTTTTCAAGTAGAAATTATATAAAGATATTACTACAGTTTATTATAAATAATAAGTAGAGCTTGTCCAATATAATTAATAATTCATGTCGAGACATAATTTGTATGAACACTTTAACTTACTAATAATGATAATAATTATAACGCCTACAGAAAAATATTACCAAAAAGAAATTTCTATATATTATTGCTCGCAGATCCTGAAATCCCTGGATCTAGTTGGTGATAAGATAATACTTTATTTACTTAATAAACGTTTTTCTTCACTGAGTTTTATTCGATACTAAAAAATAACATACAATCAATATTTATTTTTTTAAACCTACTAGATTAGCCTGTGGTTAAAACACCATATGACAGAAATATTTAATGTAAATGAAAGTACATACAAGCTGACAGTCCCCCTTATGGTGAGTGGCATCCGTCGTCTGTATCGTACATGCACAGCACTACGAATGTCATGTTATCAAGTGACGCCTGCGATACCACTCTAGAGTTGCCATTCCGGATGATCAAGGTGTCATACGTTTTATCCTGTAATATCACTGCTTATCACATCTTTCGACTAAAATTTTTATAATATTTTAGTATCTGATGTAGGTGAGACAGAACTGCCATTGCAGATAACTTTTTACAATTTACCTCCGGTAATTGTCTTATGTTAAATAAAAAATAGTTTTAATATATTAACATTAATATTTTTTACAGCATTAGTTGTGGGCACAACGTCAGTGTCACAACCTCAAACTATATACACCTTCAAGGTGGATCATCCTATAATATACTTCCTGTTGCTCGAAAAAAATCCATTATTCTGCGGCGTTTATGCTGGAAACTGAATGGTGCTCTACTATATCGATTCAAGAAATAAAATATGTATAATATTAATTTATTATGTATTATTTTCATTTGCATCCAAACAAGTATTTAGATATTGTTTACAATAATGTGTATTTACGTTAATAATATATATTAATACTTTGGCATGTTACTTTCAATACGTACCTAAAATAAAATTGATATCTAGTAATATTTTACTCACATGGCTTTTAGAGAATACAAATATTGCGAACATTTAGTTTTAGAAATGAATACGTGCATCTATGTACGTTTCCTCTAAATAATTTGGGAACGATGTATGATATTAGTAATAAAAAGTACAATATTATTGTATGAAAGTAGTGTAATATGATAATAAAATTAATTTTATGTAGAAAGTAAAAATTTGTAACTTTTCATATAGTTTGAGATTTTATAATTCTCATTGAATATTATTCCTATATATTATGGTTTTAGAAAATACAACTCAATCTATACAATTACATGTATGTTGAATTCCGAGTTAATTAATCGAAATTTGCATTTAATTGCGCTAGATCTACTCCCGTAAGTAGAACACTGCCTTTTTTGGTAAGTGAATATGTAGAAACATAAAAGAAACAGCTTGTGATACTCTTGTAATAATAATAGCTGATCCGGCAAACCTTGTTTTGCCACATAAATTATTTCTGGATAGTGACATCATTATAACCTCAGGATATAAAAAATATTCTCAGACCCACCAAATATATGTCAAAGCTTTTATAAAAAAATATCAAGTAGTTTCGCAGGAGATTGATGATAGTATTTTTATATTGTACTAGCTGTACCCGCGACTTCGTACGCGTGCATTTTAACTTTATGTTTCTAAAATAAGTAGCCTATATTACTCCTTATTAAATTAGCTACGAACCTAAAAAAGTTTCGTCAAAATCGGTCCAGTCATTTCAGAGATTAACCGGAAGAAACAGACAGAGAGACAAAAAATATAAAAAAATATTTTGGTGGTGAATATAAATATAGTACAAATACCATATTTATATTCATATGCATGTAGTAAAAAACTGTTATTTCAATATTACAAACAGACACTACAATTTTATTTATATGTATAGATTACATTATAAAGAGAGCGGATTTTGTCAATTATATCCATAATATATAACTCCAGGACCGCTGCACTGACTTGCGAAATGCTTTCACTGTTTGACTTAATTAATATCTACTGTTTAAATTAATTATAATTAAAAAGTTACATACTTTATATATTATATAAATTTTTGTTGTTATTAGTACTTGGTGTAACACGGGCGGGCAAAAGCATGGATAAAAAGTTAAAAGTTAATTAACTGTTAGATAATAACTACTTTATTGTTTTCTAATTATTACCAATATCTATAAATATAGATAAACAGGCATATATACCTATCCTGTCTATATGTACATATAAACATGTAGGTTTAATAGGAAAGTTTATACTGACATCATAAAAAATAATTTCAATAGAATAAAACACCACCGCTTAAAGACAAGGCAGTATGATACACCCATGTTTAGTATTAAGTACGCAAGAATCATAGTCAATATTATGATATTTTGGGGCAGTAAAGTCCTCGAGTGGCAACCACGGACCGGAAGACGCAGCGTGGGAAGGCCTCCAGCAAGGTGGACCTACGATCTGGTCAAGATCGCTGGAAGGCATTGGATGCGAGCAGCGCAGCACCGATCGTCGTGGAGATCTTTGGGGGAGGCCTATGTCCAGCAGTGGACGTCTTCCGGGCTGCGATGATGATGATGATGATGATTATGATATTGAGTATGATTTTATGCATGACAACCTATTTCTCATTACTGACCATACTGTTGTTTGTCAAGTATAAGTACAGCCAGTGCGATAGTAAACCATACCCGTATTTTTATATGTATTATATTACGTAAAATTTATGATTGTATTAAATAGAAAAAAGCATTTTCATATGAATAAGTGTAGAATGGAACAGAATTAAGTAAAGTGATATATGAGAACAGTATATATATATATATGAGAACTGTTCCAGTAGTTAACTACTAAGGTTTTTTTCCTTTACGGTCGCAAAATTGACAATAGTAGATAATTTACTCTCGACGCCGCGCCGCCGTTTACGCAATGAATTGATGATCTCATAATAATCAGCGGGTACGGGAAATTACCGTGTTACATACTCTATGCATTTGCATGTCTATTTTATATTTTTAATTGATTATATTGGTTTCCATAGATAATGACTTGAACTTCTGTGATAATTTAACTAATATCACAGATAATATAATATTACTAATATTATAAACGTGAAAATTTAAGAGTATGGATGGATGTTTGTTATTCTTTCACGCAGAAATGACTAGTTTTTGATGAAATTTTACAGTAGGTTAGAAAGGTTACATCAGAAAAATATACAGACTATAAATTTCATGCTTCTGTAGCAGCGGGCAAAGCTAGATAGATGAACAATAATATAAAAAATGTAAAATATAAATATTCATAAAACATGACATTGCATTATTAAAGCCATTTATTTTATTTCAACTGTTCAATGACACTATCAGTTTTCCTAAAATAAACAAATAAGCAAAAAACAATAACTCTGTTAAAAAATTAACAATTAACAAATTGTAAATGGATGCAGTCCAATTTTTATTAATAAAATTTAGTAAAAATAAAATTAATATTACAATATTAGATTGTTTTCACACAACTCTTCGTCTTACTTTTTTTCCTCCTTACATGTAAACAAATTTGCCAGTGTTACTAACTAAATATACTAAGTTAAATAATTTTATTATTAAGGAAATCGGAAAAATAGAATATCATTATTACAATTTCGTGTTTTAGTAAATTCGTGCATACTTTTTATGACAAAAACAACTTTATGTTTTAATCATAGATTAATATAGGTAATAAAAAAACGAGAATAAATTAATTGCCATAGATGCTATATTATTATTTACAATTAATATTACATATATTACCAATAATTCGATATATTAATTTTATGATTTCCTATGTATCAAATGACTTCTGGACATACAGGATAACTGTTGTAATGTAACAGATTTGACATATAAGTTTCTTATAGAATACTAGTATTATTATTATTATTAATTATTGTTAATTCATTTATTTCATGCCGCTTTAAATACTGACATCTTATAAAAACAATAGATACGCGTATATCACAGTAACGATTATAATTGTATATAAGTTTGAACTGCAATGTTTCGATCCTCATGATCATTTTGATTAATAAAACTCATAATCTCAAGTCACTTAAAATTACTAAATTAGGGTATTTGCTATTTTAATCGCTATGTTTACCTATTCATTAATTTGTTCACTTACTAGTTGATTAATTTGTTAAACAAAATACAAGCCACTCAAAGGTTTAAATGGTGTTATCATCACAATACTGTTATGCTAATTGTATGTTTGTGCAAACAGGTTCACAACTAATAAAGTTACCGTCAATTTAATCCGCTTCATACAAGTGTAAACTCTGACGCACGTTAATACATTTTTTTAATGATAATATATTAAAAAGAACACACACACGAACTGTTTGAAGTTGAAGTTTATATTGTTTTAATAATTATTGTGAATTGTTGTAACAAGTGCACGAACAGTGACTATAAAACTGATAGTTGGCCTTGATGTAGAGACAGTAGGCGATTGTTTGTAACGATGTTGAAGTTCATTTTGTTTGTAGCCCTTGCGGCTAATGTGATATTTATAGTGGCAACGACAGGTATGAAATATGTATTGACCTTTTGAACAGAACCAATACAACGCGTAATGGTGCTTCAGTTGTAGTCTAGTGGACAAAAAATTCTAACTTTGGAATATAATTATTACTCGATACTGCTGCTTTGTTATAATAAAATTGCCTTTAAACTATTTACTTATATAATAAAATATATAATAAATATTGCACTTAGTCTTTTTGAAGTCAATGCAATGCTTTCTGTAAAGACTTAGAGTAATGTTTTGTTTGTTGTATGCTATGGTATAGTATTTATTATTACTTGTGTTAACGTAACCACTGCTTATAACATTTGCTTTTAATAACAATATTATTATTATACTTCAGGATACACTCGGTGAATTAATACAGTATTCACTACTTATGTTACTACATGTTTTAAAAAATGTAATGATTTTTTTATTTAATGTATTTAACAATTCATTTACCGCTATTTTTTATTGTAATGTTGGTTACAGTAGTCTTTTGATGATAGATCATATTTTTTTTATATTAGAACAAAATAACTCTACAAAAACGAAGAACACCAGCAATTCAAGTGCAAGTTCATCGTCATCGTCATCAGCAAGCAGCTCGTCAACATCTAATACATCAACATCGAGCTCTTCGAGCAGTCAATCTAGTAGTTCTGCAAATGAATTATCAAATTCTACTTGTTCTAATGATAACAAGGGTAAATATTACAAAAGTAACATTAAAAAATTCCTTAAAATATTGTTTAATAACAAAATAATATTGCAACTTATACTGACAATATAGAAAGTCGATACATTGAAAGTGTATTACATAAAGACATTAAATTTAAATTCTAATATTTTCTGTTGCAATAAATTTAACCATAAATATTCGCTAATATATCTGTCTGTATGTGTCACTCAAATCGATAGATTCCATGGATTAGAACCGTACCCCTCAGATCGATCCCCCGTCCAATTCAAACGGGGATCGAAATTACGACGGCCTGAGCCGAGGTTCGAACCCCTAGTGGTGCCCTCAGACTAAAGTCGTATCCGTCGGGCAGGAGTTGGCCTTCAGCTGCTCCATAAGTCCTTCCGCGGGTTTGGAGTGCCATCTGCACTCGCCCCATAACGTCCGGTGAAGCTGTAAAGGCCAGCTACGGCCAACAGCATTAGAGTAGTCCGAAAATAAAAAAAAGGATTAGTACCGTAGTATGACATCGTAGTCTTCCCGAATGGCAACTCATAAGCATGGGCGTTATATTATAAAAGTAACCGTTATACCACATACCATAAGACGGGCCATCAGCAACTCTATTATTTTAAGAAACCAACGTTGCAACTCCAGTCATAACATCTTCAAATAATTCTTCTTGAGATAAAACTGGGCAGGAAATAAAATATTACCTATTATTATATTACGGCCGAAATATACCGACATTTTCCTTAACTATTAATAATTAGTAAATGCTGAAACGGTGGATTATAATTAACGGTTGATTATTTGAATAAATAACTAGTTTAATAAAATGATATCATCTTATAATAATTGTAAAATAGGAATTTTGTCCATGTTTTAAGAAATAATAATTTTTATTCACCCATATCATAAGTGGTACCTATTGATTTAAAGTTAATGGAATGTCTAATTTGTAATATTATACATATTATAACATATAGACACTAATATGTAATTAAGTAACTTATGGAGATTTGGTTTGATGCTAAGCCGTTGTTTGTAGTGAACAAACGTATTTTAGATAAATAGTTACACGAACACAAAACAATATAAAACGTTTTTCTGAAGGAATAAAAATAAAATAAAATTAATATATATTTGTAATCTAAACTTATATTATATATAACAGTTTACAATTATTTTTATAAATATAAATAAATAATTTTCGTTTTTAGGTAAATGTACTAAACCAAATGAGATTTACGAGATATGCCCGCCTAAATGTCCATTTAGGACATGCGGCATCGATGATCGTCTAATTGATTGCATCCCATCACCACAACCAGGTGACCCTGACTGTCCACCTGCAGCATGTCGATGCCAACCTGGTTTTTTTAGAGATGACAAAGGAAATTGTGTAAAATGGGAAAAGTGTCGTAAGTAAATTTAATTTTAAGACTAAAATTAGAAATAGTATAATATCCTCCGTGGTAGCAACACATGACTGGTGTCATCGTCATCATAATATAACGTACTCGGTGTTGTTTATATATATATAGGCGACGGTTATTTATCACTTACCATAAGGTATTCAAAGGTGAGGTATAGGTATTAAAAGATGTTACAGAAAAATAGCTTTATGTTGTTCATGTAATGCATGAAATTAATTTACAGCTGTATGCAAAAATCCGAATGAAGAATATGATCCCTGCCCAGCCCCTTGTCCACCTCGAAGGTGCGATGTTGATGATCGGGTAATTCTATGTATGGTTCCTCCAAAACTGGGCGATCCAGAATGTAAACCCGGCTGCCGGTGTTCAGATGGTTACGCTAGAAATGATAAGGGTATCTGTGTTCCTAGGAATCAATGCCGTAAGTTTTGTATTTTACCTTACCTGATTTTTTACACTAGACATGAGATTTCTGATGCCATTTAAGTTAATGGTATGCTGATAACTTGTAAATGTAAAGGTACGAAGAAATTAAATCGCCTCGTCAATGCTGGTCATTTCGCCAGAAATTTCGATGGTTTTCAGAAGAGAACCACACTAATGTCGACCTAATTACATTACTGGTAATGGAGCCTATAGTTTCCATTAATAGCGATTCCGTCCTTTGTGCTACATATGGTGCAGCATATTCGTTATTTCATGTAGAGTATCATTGTCATATAGGTGTGGTGACTAGTGAATGGCAATGTGAATACGCTCTTTACGTGTAAAATCATTGTGATTAATTCGTAGTGGGTTTATGGTGAGCTAACCAACTGACTTTATTCTCAACTAATATAAACACTTTCTAACCTTATTTTAGCAATGTTACCTAGCCAGTATGTAGTCGTAGTACAGGTGGTTATTTACAAATTATTAATTGTATACTTTTATATTTTAGCTCAGAATCAATGTAATAGACCTAATGAGGAATACGTCAAGTATCCAGGTTGTTCACCTCAAACTTGCGACAGTATTGGAAAAATATATCATTGTCCATTAGAAACTGAAAGCAATAGCAAAGGTGCCTGCCGTTGTAAAAGTGGATATTATAGAAATCTCGTTGGAGAGTGTATCACAAAAGATGAGTGTTGTAAGTAATGGTCGACAATTAATAATGATTAGCATACTTTGACAAGCTAATAATAAATTATGAAACAATATAAATAATTCTGAAAACTTATTGGATATTTAATAATTACGACTGCATGCAACTGAAATGCGAATGTTGAGATGGATGTGTGGTGTGACGAGGATAGACAAGATAAAGAATGAATACATCAGAGGAAGTATGAAAGTGGCACCGATGTCAGAGAAGTTAAAGAGTAATCGTCTATCGTGGTATGGGCATGTAATGCGTAGGAATGAAGATCATATCCTAAGGACGGTGTTACATATGAATGTGGATGGTTATAAGGGTAGAGGAAGACCGAAAAAGAGATGGATGGACTGTGTGAAAGATGATATGGTGAGAAAGGGAGTAAATAACGGAATGACTGCGAACAGAGATGAATGGAAAAGAAAAACATATTACGCCGACCCCAAATAAATGGGATAAGGAAGAAGCAGATGATGACAAGATTCAAGCTTTAAGATTTTTGAGATATGTGACAAATATAAGCTTTATATTTCATATGCTAGATAAATACATATTTTTATGAGAATATCATTTTTGTATTACGTATTGTATCTTCTAATTATTCAACATGAGGTCTATTTTAATTGTGTTTAAGTATGTTTCTCGCTTAATTTATACGAGACTGTCTGTTTTTTGTCTGCGCAAACGAAGATTGACGACGTACCACACGTTTGTGGTTCTATTCCCTTCTGTTAGCAAAATAAAATAAATTAACAACGAGAATAAGTTTTTATAAATAAACTAGCATTATTCCGCGAGTTTTACCTGATGGTTAATTCGTCATTTAAAAGAAATAGCAGCCATTCTGCGCATAACTCATCATTTGTGTGTGTTCAATTATTTTCTTTTACTTTGCTCAGCTCCTGAGTGGCGTACGGAATGTTTATGATCTATTAATCTTTATTAAGAAGTAAGTTATGAAATATAAAAGAATCAAATTCTAATCTTAGTTTCAGACATTATCATATCCAAACAAACTTCATAGTTCTAAATATTAGTAGATATTTATTATTCGATTTATTCACCTATTTATTTTAATTTCTAATACAATTTAAATTTCATTTAGTGATGTGTAATCGCACACATGAATACTTCACTTGCGGCGGAGAATGTGACAATGTTTGCTCTACAATACATCAACAGAACAAGACGAACTGTCCTATACAGAATATACAATGCAATCGAAAATGTTACTGTGAAGATGGTTATGCTCGAGACAGTGACAACAACTGCGTACCTATTGAAGATTGTGAAGGTAATAATATATACTCTTATAATATTTTTTTGTTTTTTTAACCTGATATTTTAATAGCAGCCTATAATAGTGTATAAAAATAGTGTCAGATTGTACTGACCTTCAAACGATTGCTGTAATATTTTTAGTAACAAGGATTAGTACATCAATTATCAGGCCGACCTCAACGTTGGCATCTCTGGAAACCATTATGGCTAATTATTGCTGATTTAATCAAGATGGGCTATTTGACCTTACTTCATACTCATTCTATCAGCGCGTGCCCTATTTCGTATTCTGGTGAATACGAAATAGCACACGCACAGAAAAAAAATCTTCATAACCTAAAACGTTTTATATATAAACATGAACTCAGTAATAAGTTAATGATCTGACGAAAAGCGGTAACTGTTTATGGACATGATCAACGTACTATATTGTATGGAGACTACATTGCATTGAATCATGTATTAATGACAACCATGAATTGTCATTCTTAAGTAATAAGGATGTCGTAGTCTAATAGGAGACCCATATCAAGCCTTTTAAACTGGAATACCGCTTAAAAAGCATTTTGTTCGATAACACAGATAGGCGTGGTCACAACTAAAATGAAGATAAGTTTTCATATTGAAAATAAGACTTCAATTTGAATAATAAAAAGTAAGTCAAGGTGTGACACAAAAGTTACATTAGTTCTCGTGGATGGTAACCGAAACGCATGAGAGATATCATTGAGCGTCACAGATGTGCCAATAGCTTGTTTGCGATAGTATTAGTAACGTTAAAACAAATATTATGAACAATGTAGGTAGATATATACTATTGGTCTCTGTAATTAATTATATCGGTATTATAATTATTCACATGTATCAATAGTATGTTTCATACTGTTTATATGATGACTTTAATTTTTTGTTTATCTTTAGTACTTACTAAAAAAATATACCGACTATTACTATAATTAATTCTACGCCATGTGTAGTGATTTCATAATATAACTATATCAATATATGTACATAGAGAAAATTAATGAGGAATGAAAGAAAACCAATATTTTTATGGCTACTTTTCTTTGTCTAAACTTAGAAATAGAAATTCCAACTGTGTAAGGCTAAATCACTTGCGTTACTAATTAGTTGCGTTCGTTTTAAATACCTAAATCTATGTTTACGAATGAATTCAGTTACAAAATATTTAATAGTAATTCAGTAAAAAACATATAATTGAAAGAATTGGAAAATATATACATATATATGTAACCAAACATTTATATTTCTTTCGGAACAGGTTCATGTGGTGGAGATCCAAATGCTAGGCCTGGTTGTGGTAATTGTAGGAAAACTTGTGCCAACTACAATAGTACAGACCCCATCATGTGTATTCAGATATGCTACGAAAATGGTTGTGACTGTTTGCCTGGATACGTAGTTGATGGTAATACTGGAAAATGTGTGCTTCCAGAAAATTGTAGTAAGTATAATAATAACACTTCATACGTATCTTAAACTATATTTTACAATAGAAAAATTTTTAAAAAAAGCTTGTCTGATAATAAAACTTCTATCACATATGAATATAAATACATTATAAGCAATTAACATGTTCTCTATTTCACGTATGTGTATTTGACTGCGGGGTATTGTTTGTTTTTAATATCTGTAGATATTATTTACTTCTAACTGATGGAGATTTAAGAAATATAATTTATTTTAGCACCTGTTTGCGGAAAGGATGAAATTTATACGAGTTGCGTAAATGGCGGCTGCGAAAAGAAAAACTGTTCACAACTTAGAGAGCTAACACTGTGTATAGATCCAATTAAATGCTTGGGTGGATGTATTTGCCGCAATGGCTATTTGAGAAGCCGAAATGGTACCTGCGTACCAATAAATCAATGTGACCCTGGTATGTATTCATTATTGCTATTACCTATTAAATAATGAAAAGTCATGTGACTTATTACTAATATCTATAATTATTTTATTATTGATAATTTTGTTACTTAATGACGAGATCCATAATGCTAAGACAATTACAGGCTTTTTTGTAGATTGTAGTGTATTGTAATTTGTAGATTGGAAGTGATTGTAGTGAGTAACCGTATTGATTTATTTGAAATATTAATTGGTTCGGCAATTTTCAGAAATTTGGCCTAAAATAACAATTTGAGTTAATCACACTTATCATTAAAAACTCTAATTGTAGTATATACTTTTGGTTCTTTTTTAATTAATCTTCTGTTCATGCAAGCCAGTATTATTATTCTTTTCTCAAAAACCATCTATCGGTACACTATAGTGTTCTATTTATGGGTTTAATCATAGATGCACAGAAAGGGCAAGTAATACAGGTCGACATAACTCGTAGTTGTCGTGCTAGTAAAGAACGCTTTCTACGAATTATCTCATAGTTAACAACATGTTAAGTATAAATTTCTAAACCTTATGTCGAGATATTTGTTTTTTGTTCGTTATGAATAAAAAAAATACTGAATCGATTTTCAAAATTCTATCAACTATAGAATGCTGTATCAACTAATAACATGGTCTTTATATTATAAATTATTAGATATCATTACAATAATTGCATCAATGTAAAATTGGGACGGACCACATCTATAAAACACCATTATTTTACAGGCTGCCCAGATGGGGAAGATGCTTCGAACTGTCCTCCAGTCGGTTGTAACTCTGAGTATTGTCCTACATCAAATAATTATACGACATATTGTCCAACACCTCAAATATGTGGGCAGCCAAAATGTGTATGTGAATATGGAAAACGCAGAGATAGAAAAACTGGAAAATGTGTTTCTAATGAGGACTGCCGTAAGTGTTAATCATTTATCTGATTGTAGTGTATACAAGCCCATTAACAACTGACTATAATTATCATTGTAACAATGTACTTATTACATCAACTTGATGTATTGACTGCAACATTATTTTAATTCAATTATAATATATTATTTAATAGCATTCGCCAATATATACGAGATAACGTATTAAAAAGTCTATCGCCTATAACGCTACACACACGACCTATGTAAACCTAATATTGAATAAATAAATATGATTGATTAGAATCTTTTAATTCGTAGTTTGTAGAAATGTGTATTTATTAAAATTTATTAACTATATGTATTTCTTATTTAAAGTAGATAATTTTCAATAAAAATTGCAATAGAGTAAGTATGTATATGGCAATGTAATTTTATCCAACGTAATTTTAATGCATTAATTTTCTAGCACCTTTTGCTTGCATTGAGCGCAATGAATCATATTATGATTGTCCTTCCACGTGCCCCGGCGAAGATTGTATAGATTATTTACATAATTCAACCTGTCCCAATTTTAATATTCTTGTAAGAGTACCATGTCAGCCACACTGTCGTTGTGATAAAGGATACTATAGGAATTCTACTGGTTTTTGCGTGGACAACACCCAATGTACAGGTGAGTTGTAAAGTATTTTCTCTTAAGAGTTTAATAATATTTAGTAGTGATTATTCCAGAATATCAATAATATACTAATATTTTTTTTATTTGTTTTATGTTGATCATAACGTGAAAATGGAAGCAGATGTGTATAACTATGCTTTTTCTATTGTTATATATACAGAAAATTAGAAGAAATAAAACTGTTATGTTTAGTACTATAGTATATATTATTAGATATAAATATATAGATTATTCCCTATCTATATATTCTGTTTCAGTTTCTGGAATATACTAGAAATTAGAGAATAAATATTAAATACATAAAATATATAATTATACGCAAGATTTAGTAGTAATTTCGATTTTTATTGTAGTCCTCATTAATTAAGTACTTCAGTAATTCTGACCTTCCATTTTTTCCAGAATGTCCTGAAGGTGAAATTTACACTAAGTGTGCCCCAGCACAATGTGATTCTGAGTACTGTCCTATTTCTAGAAATGAACCTTTATATTGTCCTAGTACTAAAGAATGTAAAAGACCAAGATGCTTATGTGGTTTCAACAGTCATAGAGACAGACTCACTGGCAAATGTATTCCAACGTCTGAATGCCGTATGTATCAAATAATATCCCGTATTAGCCTTATACAACAGCTTTAGTAACAGAAACCTTAATAATATATATTTAAATGAATCCCAACGTGATTTATGAAAAATATGTATGTTGATCAAATTCTTCAAATGATTTATTGTATACTTTATAGAATCATTAGTGTACTTGTATATTGTAGTGCCTACCTACATATAAAATGAGCTTATAAATGGAAACTAACCTAGTGAAATCTTCCGCAGCTCCGTTTCCTTGCAAGGGGCCTAATGAAGAATATCAAACTTGTCCACCGGTCTGCCCTGGGCAGAATTGTTCAGATTACATAAACAACTCCACGTGTCCCAAGATTGGTAGAATAGGAATCGTGGTACCCTGTAAACCACAATGTCGTTGCATCAATAATACATACAGAAATACAGATGGCATTTGTGTGCCCGCTGATCAATGTACACGTGAGTGAGAATATATTATTCCGTAATACTAACATTACTTTTTATTTTACATACCCTACCATACGGTCTGCCAATATCAAGATCTATTATGACCTCTATTGCAAAAATATACGATACTAACAAGCTTGTACAAATCAAACATATCTATATGACAAAATGTTAAAAATGACAAAATTGTATCCTAGATTTGTAATGTGTCCTTCAGTAAATACTTTCATATCTTTATAGAAGTAACAACTACTCCAGTAACACCTTGTCCCAGTTCATGTGAAAATGTCGATGACGAATTGAACAATTTAGAGCAAGGAAACACTGGATTTACAGGAAAATTCTTTTATGTAAGCTTGTTTGTTTTATTTTTGCACTTTAATTTTGGGAGATTTATTTCATTAATAATCGGTTACGTTTATGTTCATTTTGGCATTTATTTTTTTACATTTCAGGAAGTAGTTAAGAGTCAGCCGGGAGTTAGCGTTATTATGTCAGCATTTTCTGTTTTAACTCCTTTAGCGGAACTGGCACTGTATGCTTCAGGGTCTTCACTTGAGGAGTTACTAAATGTTCTCAATGTTCAAAATAAGGATGAGGTAGATATAATTAACATTCTTAAAATAATTTACAGTACGAAATTAATAATCTCTACAGCTAAAAATATGTTTATTAAATACACAAGAATACTCTATAATTAGTTTTACACATTTGCTTTTTATGTATAATTATTTCTTAAGATATAGTGTATACAATTCTATAAAGAAGTTATTCCTTTGGCATAAAATTAAGCTGCACTGCCTTTATAACTCCTTATATTCTTCTAAACCTTTCATTTAAAAGACTTTTTTCTATTCAGATACGATGTGTATTTCCGAAAATTATAGACATTTTGAAGGCACAACAGAACAATACATTAGATTTGGGTGCTAAAGTATTTGTTAATCAAGATTATCCTCTGACTGATGAGTTTAAAAATGACACACGAGATGTGTTTGATGCTGAAGCAGAAAATATAAACGTAGGTGACCCAGATAAAGCAGCAGCGACCATCAATGACTGGGTAATTATTTTATTAATATTCTTTCATTAACCATGATCATAGAGACTAAAAGAAGTATTATATTATTATATTTATTACAGGCTGCCGAAGAAACAAGAAATAAAATTACAGATCTTATTACGCCAGATGAGATTACTTCTTTAACACGTTTAATTTTGGCCAATGCCATCTATTTCAAGGTAAAAAGGATTATTAATATATTTATAGTGAAATTAATAATTTTAATGAATACTATATATTCTTTAACAATAATACTAATATTCTTTAACTATATATTCTTATACTCTTTAACTATTATTTAAGGGTACGTGGAAAATACAATTTGACCCTAAAAATACTAAGGATCAAGATTTTTCTGTAACCAAAAATGACGTCATACAAGTTAAAACAATGCAAGTAAAGGAAAAATTTAAATATGCGGAAAGTTCTGATTTGAATGCAAAGGTAATTTAGTTTATTTAAAAATTAACGAACTTAGTGCCATTTATTTTAAAGAAGAGTACATATGTAGATAACCACACAATCATGAAATGCTGATTACTATAGGATATATTTATAACTACGAAGACAGAGAGAGTTTAAACCAGACAGTAAAGTATAGACTAGTAGACTATATATGTTTATGACAATTATTTTTTTACTTTCAGATTATTGAATTGCCCTATGTAGATGATATAATAACATTTGTAGGTATACTACCTAACGACATTGAAGGTTTGCCAAACTTACTTGAAAAACTTCAAGATCCAAATGTATTTAATGCAGCTATAAATAGTTTGAATCAAGAAATTGTTACAGTTTCATTACCCGTTATGGATATATCCACAAAGATAGACTTAACAGAAATTCTACCCAAGGTATGTACTATAATATTTTTATAAATTATAAGTATAATCTCGTAGAATATTAAATAATAACAATGATAAAGATATTCAACATACGCTTTTTTCATTTAAGGTTAATGTTACTAAAATTTTCAAACCTGAAACATCGGGCTTAAGCGGTATTATAAAATCAAATGAACCTTTGTATGTTTCTGATGGCACCCAAAAAGCTACAATAACAGTTAACGAACAGGGATCTGAAGCTGCAGCTGCGAATGGTATGAATATAAACAAAATACTCTATTTATTAATAATAGCTCTATTTTATATATTAATTTTTAGTCTTAATATTATTTCATGAACTATATTTAAAGTAATTGTATATCATTTACAAATATGAGTAACAACAAATACAATTATTTAGAATAACGATGTATATATACGTAGTGATAATCTTTACAAGAGACTTTGCGAGCCACGATTACCAATAGAAATTAATTCGAGGTTCTCTGGATTTAACTCTATTAATTTACTCGTACCTTATTAATCTATTTACAGTTGTAGTGGTTTCAACTAGAAGTCTTCCGAAGCCTCCTGTTACAGAATATGTATTCAATGCTGACCATCCATTTGTATTTTTAATAAAACTAGATAATTTAATATTATTTAATGGGGCATTTGTACGATAAGGTGACTATTAAAATTAAGCCAGCATTTGGCATTAATAAATTTAAAGATATTGCTTTATTTAACTTATATAATCTTAAAATTAAATAAGTAAATTGCAAGACAATCTTAAATTACGTGGCAATAATAGCTTAATTTATCGACAATATATCTGCTTCTGCAGATTTTCTGCATATAGAATAATATGTAAAATGGTTTCCTATATTATATTATTTGCTATTTTCTCATACACAATATATGTTTCAGTTGTCGTCGTATCAACATATTCTGCTGTATCAAATCCTCCACCGGAGTACTTCTTTAATGTCGATCATCCTGTAGCTTATTATATTTTATTTGACAATATCCCTCTGTTTTGTGGAACATTCGTAAAACCATGATGCTTACATAAAAGTGTAGGAGCACGCTAATAATAATAAATATTTAAAAATTATGTCATCCTGTTTAGAAAGAAGAATTAGTAATTAATAAAATTAAATATTTTGTAGACATACTGTTGATATATCCGACATATTTGTTGTTATTTCGAATTATATTGTATTATAAAAATTTCAAATAAATTATTTGGTTTCCATAGATTTTTATTATATATCTACTTCTAAATTTCGTCCTATATATTAAGAAGGTATTTATAATATTAACAGTTTAAGGTATCTATTTTCCTATTCATCCGTAATACCCTAATCATTTATATTCCTTACAAATATTCTTCTTACCATTTGTATTAATATTACCAAAGTGGAAGTGAATTCGTTAATGATGCTTCCAAATAGATTAACCAGTTATTATTATTAGCATACATGTAGTAAGTACTAGAGATGAAGAAAGAAATATTATTTTTTTATCACGATTAATACACAAATCATGCTGAATCTATTAACAGAAAATAAGGCGAAACTTCGGTCTACTAATCAAATGACTGAAACAAATATATATCCTATAGTATGAGAACCAGTAGTAGATAAACAGAGCATAGGTTTTCAATTTGCAATGTAGATTATTGATAGAATGAAGTGAAACGAACAACAAAGCAACAGCAAATGCGACTAAAAATGGACTTAGTATTTTTTGCAATATAGTTACAGAAAATATTTTTCATAGGAAATTTTATAAAGTCTTTTAAATAATTGTACAGGACTGGCAGGTACGACAATTTCTTATTTTTAAATATTTAGTTCCTATGGTTTTGTTATTATTCCTTCTACTATTGCTATTGCAGACATAGCTTGTTACAACAAATATTTTTATAATATGCTGTTACTTTTACATATTGCGTTTTTAATTACCACCATCATTGGCTGCATCGACCCCAGCGCCCAATACACTGTGTATTGGGCGCTGGCCCACACAATAATTATATCTACAATCTATTTACCATAATAAATATTATTATATCTATCTAAAATTACATGCATATGTAATGAATGATAAAATCATTCAAACAGAATGATGGAACCATATTTTATTAACATACTATCCAGAATTGAAAAATGAATACACATCTAATTCTTGATAGCAATGTTTTGTAGTTTATACGGCCGACATATGTCCCTAAAATTAAGAGAAATATCGGACGGCATAAAATCGGCGCCAGAGGGCACACTGAAAATTCGGTTCTGAATTCGCCGTATACAAGGGTCTAGGAAGCGACCTAGAGAGCACCGATATTACCCTTGATTTTAGAGTCGTCTAAAGGACGTTTTAGTACTCATAAAACATACCGAAGACTAGGACCGTAGAACTACCGAAATGGGCAACGATTTTGATATGAAAACATTTTATAGTCTTATAAAATATTTTGTTTTTTAATAAAGTCAATAATATCTTCCAGGCAACATTAGAATAGAAAGTAGTGTTACGCATTACGCAAGTTGAGGTTTAACAATAATAGTAAAAGGTAATTATTGATAATTTTGCACTCTATTATTAGTTATAGTGTGTACGAATATGAATTATTTTGAAAAGTGTTGTAGGTAATTAGTTATTAACCTTCATTGAAACTAAAAACACAATGTATGATAAAAGCAAACAGTAAAGGAGGATTTAAAATAAAAAACTAACGCAGTTGATTTATCATCCACGGTAAATTTCTTTTATTTGCTTTTTATTGACTTTAGAAACAAAAACATTATTATGCAAATAGTAACAACATCATTTGTATGCCGTGTTGTTACAGGTGTATGAATTCTGTTTATTACCCAAGTATAAAAGGGGCAATAATATGTTTTTAATACAGAGTCAATGTTGTTATTCATTTAAAATGTTGAAGGTACTCCTTCGCATAGCTTTTGCAGCTGGTTTATTCCTTGCGGTATTATCTTCTGGTATGAAATATAATTATATTTTAATATATTTTTTTCATATTTCTGTATAAGTACATACATATCTTCACGATTATTGTCCCAGATGGGGTAATCAGAGACATTGGTTACTGTCGATGTCGGTTAACATATATAAATAGTTTTTAATATGAGTTTTTTACTACATACAGTTTTTTTTATATACCCCTTTCTTTTTAAGTCAAACATCTATATCACAATGATATTCAAATTTCGAGTACATACTAATAATAGTATTTTATTGAAAAAAAAACATTTAGATATTTGCTTTTCTTGTGTGCCTATTCTCTTCATATTTATATTTTCAGAAATATGTAACGAAAATGAAAGATGGGTAGAATGTCCCCAGACCTTGTGTATACCATTGACATGCTCCCAAGTGAAATACTCCGTACCATGTCCTGTCCTTGGTCCAAGGGGTGAATGCCCAGGAGTGGCCGCTTGTATATGTAATGATGGCTTAGTGAGGAATGAAGATGGCGTTTGTATCCCAAAGAAAAAATGTAGTAAGTAAATAGAATAATAAATCTAAATCAACAAGATAAGAAAAACGCATTCACTGTACTGATATTTTTTATCTATAATTGGTTTATGAACAGACAAACACAAGATACATAAAAATAAATAAAAATGTTTTGAATTCATTATATAAAGCAAAAAGTTATTCCTATAAATATTACAAAATTAAAAGTGTAACTGTCTGTTTCTTAATCTTTTTACTACTAAACGGCTAAATGATTAAACAACTAGGCTTATCTTTTATCCCAAAAAAGAAGCAAATAAAGTCGCGGTTAACATATATCGCGAAGCCAGAGGCAGTTCATGTCTATTGGCGACGGTTATCGCATTGGATCCGGTGGACCTTTAGCTTCCACTTTAGCTATAAATTATGCATAATTTCCAATAATAGCCACATATGTTGATCCTAGAAAATATTAAAATAACAGCCATAAACATTATTAAATTTGTATAGGTACAAACTAATAACTAGAAAATTAAATGCTGAACCAGCTATTCCAGCAATAATTGGAGGGGTATGGACAAAGTACGGTGAAAACATGGTATATTTAATTAGGTAAAAGTACAAATAAATAGACAAATATTAAAGTACGTTTAAAAAATATCGTATATTTTACTTTTAGAACCGCTACAACTTGTTTACAACGCAAACTCTCTCTTTGAGAAACTAGAGCTAATAAAAAAGGGTCTACTTTGTACTATAATTACTTTTTCCTTTTCTGAAAATTAAGGATTTAATGAATATCTTAATATTCAAGGTACCGCATAAAGGCATTGACAAGCTATCAAGCAATACACCGATCAAGGTTCCAGGCAAGAATGTTTTTAATTAATGACAAAAATGTTAAAATTTTTAGGATTATTATAATTATAATAAAATTCATATCTGGGACGTATATCTACTTTTATTTCTCTTAATACATTCCTTAAATGTAATAAAACAAAATTAGACATCTCTCAATATATTACATTTACCTATTAAATGTAGGTACCTATCAATACTTTCAATACTAAATAAAAATATTTTTGTTAAGAAACGGAAACCTGTATTTTTTTCTTACATTTTATTCCTTTTTCCTTTCCTTCTACAAAATGACATTATTAGAGAAGAATACTATAGTGGTATTGTTATTTTAAAGCAAACAATGTAGGATATAATACTGGCATGATATCATGCATACAGGTGTAAAAAATAATGGCAAACAATATTGTCAATGAGTGCGTCGTGGTTCAGTAGTTGATTAATTCAACTCACATTACCTAAATATTTATAATTATTTGTCTATATAAATTCTTGATTAACCCTCTGTTAATAATAAAGTATATTTTTAAGCTATTGTAATACTCATAGCTGAAAACTTCCTTTCATAGAATATGGTAAAATCGCGTTATTTATGAATACAATACAACATAATATACAGACGTATATTGTATTATATCATTATTTGTGTCAAATTCGTAAATGCACAATGCATTTACGAATTTGACACAAATAATGATATATTTACAAACTGCCTAATTATATATTTACAAATTAGAATGAAGACTAATAACTTAACAATAAAATGAGTCGTATCAAAAAACTAATTTGTAATTATTCAATTACCATCGGCTTACAAATGCAAATAATTAAAAACAGATACAGATATCCCATTGTAACTATATTTCATTCAAAATTTAAATTATTGATTGGAAAGGATTTATTGTTACATGTATCTGTTGTATGCTTTGACTAAAACTACTAATTGGCTGTGTTGTTACGGATATCTAGTACTGACGTCCGTAGGTATTAAAACAGTACAATATTTATAAATGAATCAGATAAATTTCGTTTACTATTGTACATTAATTAATTTACAAAATAAGATACAATATTATTATTTAAGGGAAGATAGGGTTAACTTTTTTATAAACTTTTAATTAAGGTAATTTTTCACAAAACGATGACGGACGGACGTCCGTGGACGTCTTCCGGGCTGCGCTGAGGTCACTCTGGTTCTTCTGCGGATCTCCTCATTTCTGATTCGATCACGCAGAGTAACTCCGAGCATACACCTCTCCATTGCCTCTGACTCTGAGCTTGTTGATGGGGCCCATAGTTAGCGACCACGTCTCTGTTCCGTAAGTCATCACTTGCAATACACATTGGTCGTAAACCTTCGTCTTGAGACACTGCGGAAATTTGGAAATCGAAAAGATATATCGGAGCTTCCCGAACGCTGCCCATCCGAGTTGGATTCGACGATTGACCTCTTTCTCGAAATTGGATCTACCTAGCTGGATAGTTTGCCCTAAGTATACGTAGTGATCGACAATTTCGAGCATTTTGCTAAGGTCTTCCAGGGTCTCAGCCATGACCACGATATCGTCGGCAAATCGAAGGTGATTTGTGGGGTACACAATTAAAAGGTCTTCGATTTTCAAAATATGTGGACTGTATTTCAATTTGTTTCTTATTCTATGGGTCGGCCGGCCGGAGTGGGGTTTCTTGGTCGTTGCGCCGGCGGTGGTTCTTCGTCGGTGGCGTATGCGTAAGAGAGCGCGATCGAGAACCAACCCGCCTTTTACGGGCGCCCGAGCGCGTCCTTCCCCACCCCCGCCGAGCCGTGCGCGTCGGCCGTCCCACCCTCCCGACAATTCCTGCACATGTCGGTGACCGACGGGCCGGAACAGCGAATACGCACACATTTAAAATTAAATACAATAGTAACAACACAAAAAACTACAAAAAACCACGTGCGACTAAATGCCACATGTTCAGGCTACACTAAAGCTGTGATCCCTAAGAATTTACACAATGGGCGGACATAGAATTCACAGTATCTATGCCGCTACAAAGGGTATATGGTACAAACAATAGTCTAACCTAAACAATAGTCAAAACACTGGAAAAATACAAATTTATACACAAATTTATTTACATATTTTCGATGCCGACTCGTGGTCCGCAACAGCCTCCCCCCGGCGCAGATCTTCGCAGCCCTTATCCCTAGGGAGGACCACCAGCCTTCGGGTCGGCCTTCGAAAAATTCCCTCGCGTTCGTCCGTCCGTCCGCGTTCACCGCAACGCCACTTGACCCATTTCCCCGCTTCGGCGGGGCGCTCCCGGCCCAGCTTCCATGCCCGTCGCCTGTATTCTTCTGCGAGCAGCAGCACCTGTGCCGGGGTCCTCCTCACTCGGTCATATGAGGAGAACCGCATTCTGTCCATTACGGGCTTTGCCTTCGCCCGGGCACGGGCTACTGTCTCTGCAGGGACGGGCTTGCTTTCCTTGGGTCGTTCTTTCTCTGGAGCGTATACAAGCGCCGGCCCGACGGATCTGTCGGCGGCGGTCCGTATTGTATATCTCGCGCGGGTCGCGTCGTTAGTTACGTCGTGGGCGGTCGGTACCCAGCGCCACTGTGTTGGTTCTGTATGTTCGGCGCTTTCTGCCATCCGGCGGGCCGCGTGTGGATTGTATCGAGCGGTGTCGTTCCTAGTCCAATGTAGCGTCTTCTTCGAGACCGTCCATAGGAAGACTTCGGCCGCGCGACGACGTCCTTTCAGTACGTCAGCGGCCAGTCGGGGTCCTACCAGGCTCGCCTGAAGCTCCATCCGGGGTATACTCTGCGCTTTCATGGGCGCTACCCTCGCTTTGGCTGCTACCAGGACGACGTTAACGCTACGATCCTCGCGTTCCGTCCTCCAATACGCGGCTGTGGCATATGCCTGTTCGCTTGCGTCCGTGAATACGTGCAGTTGCGACCATTGGCTGTCGTTCGTGCCATACCATCGCGGCAATCTCAGTTCCTTCGGCGTCCTCGCTCGCTGGTCCTCACTCACATTCTCTAGCAGGCTCGGTCGGTTTGTATTCCAACCCGCCAGCGTGAATCCTATCACGCCATGAACCTCTACTACCTCTCGTATGGCGCGGGCTGCTTCCTCTTCGGAGTCAAAGCTATCGACCCAGTCGTCCATGTAGTGGTTCCTTGTTATGGCGGTGTACGCTGACGGGTGCGACTCTCGGTGCTCTGCCGCGTTCCTGTCTCGAACGCTGTGTGCGATGAACGGTGAGCTCCTCGCCCCGAAAATCATTGAGGTCATTACGTATTTCTGCGGCGGGTTAATCCTGTCATCTCCTCGCCACAGAAACTGTTGTGCTGCTCTATCTTCTTCCCGTATCTTAATCTGCAGGAACATCTCTCGTATGTCCGCCGTGATAGCTACGGGCTTCTCGCGGAAACGGTATAACACACCGTTAAGCGACCGTAGCATATCTGGCCCATCCAGCAGTACGTCGTTCAAGCACATTCCCTTCGAACGGGCCGCGGCGTCGAATACGAGTCGCAGCTTTCCGGGTTTATTCGGATTCGTCACTCCGAAATGGGGAAGGTACCACGCGCGGTCGTTGTTGAACCGGTCGTCGGTTACTTTCTCGGCGTAACCCTTGTCCAACAACTTGTTTATCTCCGCGGTATACGCCAGCCGGAATTCCGTAGAGCGATCCATCCGCCGCTCTATTCCCCTCAGTCGGCTCGCTGCCATGTCGTAGCTGGGAGGTAGAATGACGTTATCTCTCTCCCACGGCAATCCTACGACGTATCGCCCATCCACCCTCGTCGCTGTGCGGTTGAATGTGGCGACGGCGCGCTCCTCCTTGGCAATGGGTAATCTCTTCGACGATATACCCAACGCGTCGATGTCGTAATGCGCTTTTATTATGCCCTCTATATGCCGCATGTCTGGCTCGGCGTTGCGCTGTGTCAACCGCACGTGGAGGACATGTTCCTCGTCTTCCACGACACTTCTGGGTACCGTTCCGTGGATGACCCATCCCAGTCGTGTCAGCGACGCTGCGGGTTGATTGTGCCTTCCTGTGAGCAGCTTCCGCGTAACAATCAGATGCCAGTTGTCTGACCCGATCAAGACCTTGGGTCTGGCATCTTCGTAGCACACTTGCTCGCAAGTGAGTTGTCGCAGGTGTCCGTACGCGAGTATTTCCGGGTTCACTCGCTGCGTTCCTAGGGTGAGATCCCGGATCGTACGCGCCCTCACCGAGTGTTCTTCGTCCGTATGGTGTCGCCCTCTGATGATGACATCAGCCACTCGGCTTGAGGCTTCGTGCCAGCTCGAGGCCGCTCCCTGAATTCTCAGAGATCGCGTCGGACCTTCGGCTCCGATCTGTTCTGCGATCTCCGCATCGATGAGTGTAACCGTCGAGCCTTCATCTAGCATCGCGTACGTCTCTACTTCGCGTCCCGTCTTGCCTTTCACGATGATAGGACACACCTTTAACAACACTTGGCTGTTCTCTGGCAAGCGTGCTGCGGCTGTAATCGCGGTGTCCTCTTGCCGCTTCGGCGGTTCTTCTGGGGGGTGCAGCAGGGCGTGGTGTGGCTTACGACACTCTCTCACACCACATTTGCGTGCCTTACACTTGAACCTTCTGTGCGTGCTGTTCATGCATTGGAAGCACATCTTATTTGTTTTCGCCCACTCCCATCTGTCCGATAACGACATGTCGTTCAGCTTCTTACACTTCGGCGTTACGTGTGCGGCGCCGCAACAGAGACATTCGGTACTCTGTTCGCTCTTTTCTACGGCGGCGTATACGGCCGCGCCACGATCCGTCATCTGTCGCCGAGGTGCCGACATCGTTGCTTTCGGTATGGGTTGCCTAGTGGGTTGCTTCGGGGGCTGCTTCGTGGGTAGCGCGCTCGTTCGTCTCGTTGGTGATGCTATTCGCAGATGTCGGGTCATGAGATCGGCTTCGCTCATTAAAAACTCTGCCATCTTGATGATCGTAGGTCTAGTGTCCTCCTTGTTTTTTTCAGCGTAGTGACACCAGTGGACCTGTAAGTGAGGGGTCAGCTTCTCTGACACTTCACTCTCAAGCGCGGGATTATGTAGGAATCTCGCCCCCTGTCGATATCCGCGACGATGGTGGTGATGTTCTGTAGTTTAATGGCGAAGTCAATCACCTCTGTTGTCGATGTTCCTATTACCGGCATCCTTCTCAGATCTTTGAGGGCGCGGTCGATGATGGCCTCTGTCCGGCCGTACCGCTGCTCCAACGTCCTCATGATCTGCGACGGTTCTGTAGCGGATACGAGTAACGCTGCGACTGTCTCTCTCGCTTTTCCACGTAAGCAGGCCCTCAGCCTGGCCAGGTTCTCCGCTGGAGTGATCCTGTACGTCTTTGTAGACTGGTCTACGGCCGCCTTAAACGCTAGCCATTCACTTGCTTCGCCGCTGAAGGTCGGGAGATCTTGGGCTTGCCTCGGCGCTACCCTATCCGCTCGTTCGTCCACAGCTCGTTCAATAGCTTTGGCCAGCCGGGTGAATCCTTCTTGCATCCCGGCTTCAGGAGCGGGGGACCTCCGTCTTTGCTTCGGCGTCCTCGGCGGTGAAGCTTGCCTTTCTGTTGGCTCTTTCTGCGTAGGCGGTGGGGAATTAATTCTCTGCTCCCCCCGTACTTCGGTACGTTGAAACCAATCCGTTATACGTTGCAGGCCGGCACCTTCCTCGGAGCACACGCTATCTCTATCGGTCTCTTCATGTACCGCGGCGACATCGGCTGCCAACTTCTTTCTAATTAAATCAGCCTGTAATTTCGCCATCTGTAGCGCTGCCTCGTACTCCAGCCTCTTTAATTTAGCTATACCGCTAGCGGTGGAGCGGCGCGATCGCACCGACGCGGCCCGGGCCGGACGTACATCAGTCGTCGGCGGCTGCGACGGTGGCGCCGGTGCGGAGTCCGAGGTAAACGCGGCGCGAGCGGCTTGTGCCTGTGGCGCGCTCGACGGCGCGGCGGACGCGGACATCTGCGTGGTTTCTGAAGGGGACGCTTCTGTCTGTTTATTTTCCCGCGTGGTCTTTTTCTCTGCTCCCGGGGCTTGGCTTCTCGTAGTCGGCATCGTGTTCTGGCACTTGCAAGCCCCTAACCTACCGGTCCCTACCTACCTAACCGTCCCTAACAATCCCTCAGGATAACACCCGAGGGGATGGACTATGGGGATAGGAGGGTAGGAATTACCCCGCAGTGGTGCGTATGTACAGACGGGGCGCTCAGGGCCGGTTCGGACTTTCCGACCCCTTTGGCAGTGCCTACAGTCCGGCCCCCGCTATACGATACACACGTACAGGCGTAATAGTGCTATTCGGTTGCGCCACGGTAACAAGCAACAACCGGCAGTGACACACCACCCACTGCACCGCTCAATGGCGTTAACCCACACTCCGACCGTTTGACACCGTTAGGTGGTAAGAGATGTGAGCCGCGGACACACCGCTTAGACGTTATCTATCCTATATGGCGTAGACGTTATTTATCCTATCCTCGCTGCACCCTCAAGTTTTCACCTTACGACGGCAGCTAAATTCGGTAAGCTGCTAGCGTCGCACCGTTGGGTGATCTTCCTCGGCGAGGTACGTCGCACCGTTGGGGTCTTCCGCGGCGACGTCGCACCGTTGGGTGATCTTCCGCGGCGATTCGTCGCACCGTTGGGTGATTTTCCACGGCGATTCGTCGCACCGTTGGGTGATCTTCCACGGCGATTCGTCGCACCGTTGGGTGATCTTCGGTCTTGATATGCGGCTCGAAGGACCACAAAATCATACGAGAGATGTTCCTGCAGATTAAGATACGGGAAGAAGATAGAGCAGCACAACAGTTTCTGTGGCGAGGAGATGACAGGATTAACCCGCCGCAGAAATACGTAATGACCTCAATGATTTTCGGGGCGAGGAGCTCACCGTTCATCGCACACAGCGTTCGAGACAGGAACGCGGCAGAGCGCCGAGAGTCGCACCCGTCAGCGTACACCGCCATAACAAGGAACCACTACATGGACGACTGGGTCGACAGCTTTGACTCCGAAGAGGAAGCAGCCCGTGCCATTCGAGAGGTAGTAGAGGTTCATGGCGGGATAGGATTCACGCTGGCGGGTTGGAATACAAACCGACCGAGCCTGCTAGAGAATGTGAGTGAGGACCAGCGAGCGAGGACGCCGAAGGAACTGGGAGCCAACGCACATCCATACGGAAAGACATTGGGGTTATTGTGGATGTCAGCCGAAGACCAGCTGGCGTTCAACACCGGCATGCCACGCGTCCCACGAGAAGTGAAGCACGGCACACGGATACCGACGAAAAGTGAAGCCCTAGGAGCGGTGATGTCATTGTTCGACCCGCTCGGGCTGCTGAGCCCTTACACCATCACGGCAAAAATCATCTTGCAGGCGCTGTGGGTGCAGAAGGTCGAATGGGATGACCCTCTGCCCGCCGAGGAAGCGCGGACGTTCCAGGAATGGAGAGACGACCTAGCGTATATAGAGGAACTAAGATTGCCGCGATGGTATGGCACGAACGACAGCCAACGGTCGCAACTGCACGTATTCACGGACGCAAGCGAACAGGCATATGCCACAGCCGCGTATTGGAGGACGGAACGCGGGGATCGTAGCGTTGACGCAGTCCTAGTAGCAGCCAAAGCGAGGGTAGCGCCCATGAAAGCGCAGAGTATACCCCGGATGGAGCTTCAGGCGAGCCTGGTAGGACCCCCACTGGCCGCTGACGTACTGAAAGGACGTCGTCGCGCGGCCGAAGTCTTCCTATGGACGGTCTCGAAGAAGACGCTACATTGGACTAGGAACGACACCGCTCGATACAATCCACACGCGGCCCGCCGGATGGCAGAAAGCGCCGAACATACAGAACCAACACAGTGGCGCTGGGTACCGACCGCCCACGACGTAACTAACGACGCGACCCGCGCGAGATATACAATACGGACCGCCGCCGACAGATCCGTCGGGCCGGCGCTTGTGTACGCTCCAGAGAAAGAACGACCCAAGGAAAGCAAGCCCGTCCCTGCAGAGACAGTAGCCCGTGCCCGGGCGAAGGCAAAGCCCGTAATGGACAGAATGCGGTTCTCCTCATATGACCGAGTGAGGAGGACCCCGGCACAGGTGCTGCTGCTCGCAGAAGAATACAGGCGACGGGCATGGAAGCTGGGCCGGGAGCGCCCCGCCGAAGCGGGGAAATGGGTCAAGTGGCGTTGCGGTGAACGCGGACGGACGGACGGACGCGAGGGAATTTTTCGAAGGCCGACCCGAAGGCTGGTGGTCCTCCCTAGGGATAAGGGCTGCGAAGATCTGCGCCGGGGGGAGGCTGTTGCGGACCACGAGTCGGCATCGAAAATATGTAAATAAATTTGTGTATAAATTTGTATTTTTCCAGTGTTTGACTATTGTTTAGGTTAGACTATTGTTTGTACCATATACCCTTTGTAGCGGCATAGATACTGTGAATTCTATGTCCGCCCATTGTGTAAATTCTTAGGGATCACAGCTTTAGTGTAGCCTGAACATGTGGCATTTAGTCGCACGTGGTTTTTTGTAGTTTTTTGTATTGTTACTATTGTATTTAATTTTAAATGTGTGCGTATTCGCTGTTCCGGCCCGTCGGTCACCGACATGTGCAGGAATTGTCGGGAGGGTGGGACGGCCGACGCGCACGGCTCGGCGGGGGTGGGGAAGGACGCGCTCGGGCGCCCGTAAAAGGCGGGTTGGTTCTCGATCGCGCTCTCTTACGCATACGCCACCGACGAAGAACCACCGCCGGCGCACCGACCAAGAAAACCCCACTCCGGCCGGCCGGCCCATAGAATAAGAAACAAATTGAAATACAGTCCACATATTTTGAAAATCGAAGACCTTTTAATTGTGTACCCCACATGATTGATGTACTCGCCGTTAATGTTGATGCCCAGCCCGCTCCAGTCCAGAAGCTTGAAGACATCTTCCAACGCAGCGGTAAACAGCTTTGGCGATAAGACATCGCCTTGTCTGAAACCTCGCTGCAGTTGGATAGGCTTCGAATTCTGGTCGTGGAAGCGAACTGACATAGTGGTGTTTTCATACAAACATTTCAACGCTTCGATATATCGATAGTCAATTTGGTATCGCTGGAGAGACTGTAACACAGCCAACGTCTCGATAGAATCAAAGGCTTTTTCATAGTTCATAAACGCCAAGCAAAATGGCAGGTTGTATTCTTCGGTCTTCTAAATTACCTGCCGCAGCGTATGAAGGTCTATGGTACTGAAGCCTTTTCGGAACCCGGCTTGTTCGGGAGGCTGGAAGTCGTCAAACCTGCGCGCGAGACGTTTCGTGATGATTCTCGAAAACAACTTATAAACATGGCTCAGCAGTGTTACGGGTCTGAAATTCTTCAGAAGCGATTTGTCTCCCTTCTTGAAGAACAAAACCACCACACTCCTTTGCCATGCTTGCAGCGTTCTGCCCTCGAGGATGACGGAGTTCTGGAGGATTCGTAAAACAGGTCTACCTCCAGCCCTCAGAAGCTCAGCAGTAACTCCATCATCGCCCGGCGCCTTGTTGTTTTTATATAGTATAGTGTATGTATTGTGTGTGTAGTATAGTGTCGGCTCTAGGGTCTTTCGCCGTGTTGTTAATAGGTGCCCGTGTTCTCGTGTATAACTGTCCATAGAACTTCTCCATCCATCTTAAGTCGCGTCAGCTGGCTCTATCCGGCAGCCAGATCCCTGTTAAAGACTTTTGAGCCCTTTTTTCTCACAATAGCCTCCTTTACACAATTTGTGTTAAAGTGGCGTAAGTCACTAGTCAAGGACTTAGAGATCTGCCTGCTAAGTTGCCGATACTGGGAAGCGTCAGTCGGAGACTGCAGGACCATACTTCGCCTTTCATCCATCAGTTTGAGGGTAGAGATAGATATTTTTCCGGTTCTTTCTGCGGGGCACGTTTTGAAGTGCTTAGACCCAGCACGGACGCACGGACAGTTTCTACGAACCTGTTGTTGTAATCTTCCACGTCAATGCAGTCACCAAGGCATTCGAAACGGTGTTGCAATTCTAGCTGAAAGCTTTCGGGGTTTTGGATCTGTATAGGTATAAGGCGGAGCGTAGATTTCATCAGTCGGGATCGTTCGAGTTTCAGATTCAGATTCAATGTGCCTCTTACAATCCGGTGATCACTTCTAATTTTAATGGCATTGATCACAGAGACATCATTGAAAATCTGTCTTCTCGTTGACAAGATGAAATCTATCTCGTTTTTTGTGGCACCATCGGGACTAATCCACGTCCATTTCCGGTGTTCCGGCTTCCTGAAGAAGGAGTTCATCATAAAGAGGCTCTCCTTCTCCATGAAGTCGGCCAGCATTTGACCTCGGAAGTTCCGATCACCGATACCAAATTGCCCCACTCTCAGCTCATCACCGCTTCGTTTGCCCAATTTTGCGTTAAAGTCCCCCATGATAACGTTATAATGAGTCTTTGTACTATGTATGGCTCTGGAGATATCCTCATACATAGCCTCAACCTCATCGTCGGAGTGCATCCAACTTTGATGACACTTGGATGACCTTCAACGTTTGGTAATTCTGAGTATCAAGTACGCTACCCTAGTCGACACGCTCTCGACCTTGATAACATTATTCACAAGGGACTTGTGGACGAGGAACCCGACACCGCCTTGGGACAGTTGATCGCCCTCCCGGAAGTAAAGCAGATTGCCGGATTTCAGGACTATCGAGTCCTCCCCCTTTCTTTGGACTTCAGATAATCCCACATGCCAGTGCAATCTGCTCAACTCGTCCTCCAGTTCAGTTAACTTTTCGTCGGTCTGCAGTGTTTGAACGTTGTATGTTGCCAGGGCCAGATGACTTCATTGCCGATGAGTAAATATACATACTCAGATTATGCCACACCTATTGCTGTTATAAAAATCCAGTATCAAAGTTAGATGAGAAATGTCAATGAAATTACAACGTACAGTAACTGAGGCAGATAAGTACCGCACTTTTACTTATTTCAGCCGTCAAGCAGCTTGCTTTGTATCGGTTTTAGGTTGAGAATTGGCAGTCAAATTATATTATAATGGATATAACATATAAGTGCACCAGAATTATAACGCATGAGTGGTATCACGGGTGTCACACGTTTGTGGTGTTTTTCAGGTATATAGGCGATGGTTGCCACGTACCATTAGTGACCATCAGCTTGTTTTACGCATATTTAACGCTACATATAACAACCTATATCTCATTATATTTTGTAATTTTCATGTTGAATTATATATATGAATAATATATAATTTATAGATATAGCCTTTTCGTATTCATAGCTACTTTATTGAAATTTTAATTTTATAGTGCAGTCGTTTTATCTTACTAGATTACAAGACTAAATAAAAATATTTTTGTTAAGAAACGGAACCCCGTATTTTTTTCTTAAATTTTATTCCTGAGCTGTCTTATTTATTTAACATTGAAGAAATATTAGCATTGACTGTTATGTAGATTTTATATTTATTTTTGCATGTTTTGAAGTAATAAATTAAAACAAATTTAATTAGCACGTTGAAAGAAAAGAGTTAAATAGTTGTTTATAATATGAGAAAAAAATAAAGTTAGTACATTCCTGTCAATAAATAAATAATTATTATATATATATATATATATATATATATATATATATATATATGTATATATATATATTAAAATTTCTTTTTAGTGAGTACGTCTTTTTAATTTGATTATAGAAGTTAAGTTCCTTGGTTAATATGCAGTAAAAAATTGGAACGTATTTTTATCTGTCATAAATTATAATAGAAGACTAAGCATAAAATAATATTTTAGTGGTTAGTGTGTTAGTCTTTTAGTGGTTATTTCATTCAAATTTGTCTACAAACGAAAAATATTAGTTAATCTATGTATTCTTAATACATACTTGTACGTAAGTACGTACAGCAGTCGTATGTACAGCTAATTATAAATAAAATATCGATCTCTCTACTATTACACGATTAATAGTGCTAAACTAGTATAGTAGCAGTATCAGTCGAATAGAAACATAGCTCACGAATTCCTTCGCATTTATGTAACACATGTACATGCCTTCTATACTATGATTAGTTATTATGAATCATGTGGGAATGCACAGGTATATTGTATAAATAACACGCATTTTTACCTTAAACACATTGAATTCCTTTATAGAGAAAATTAAATACTTAGGCAATATAAAATACTTGACCACGTCTTGCATAAGTCTAGAATTTAACTTTTCACAGCATAATAAAATTTAAAACTACATACGCAGACTAAACCATGGTATCAGCTTGTAGAATTTAATAAAAATGACTATTTAAATAAAATTAAACAGCAAAGTTGAAATTCGTATTGTTTTATAGTGTGAATTATTTTAACAAGTGCACGACGTGACTGATGAGTAGTATAAAAGAGGTAGATGTCTTTGTTATTAGCCAGAAGGCGTTTGTTTGTGATAATGTTGAAGTTAGTTTTGTTTGTAGCCCTTGCGGCGAATGCGATCTTTGTGGTGAGTGGGACAGGTAAGTTGATAATTGAAATAAATATTTACCATTTTTTTTCAATAAGTCATTTATTTTTTAGACTGACAAATTATGAAATTCTCAATTCGACTGTATTTTTTTGAATAGATGATACGGATATTATAGGCCGGCTAATACATTTTGATGATTCTTTTCGACAAGTATAATGTTGGTCTCATGCTGTATTTGTAAAAACTTCAACTACGTTTTTTGTATTCAATATTGTCTACTTTCTTATATTAATTTCATTGTAAGTTGGTGCTTCAAGGTTTCTATGTCATATAGCGATATACACTATATATGGATATATATGGACTACAGGACACTAGTGTTACATAGAAAATGTTTTTTTTTTATGATCATAAGGAATGAATCACTATGGCAGCAATGGGTGTAATAGTTCCTATTACTAACAATCTACTCCCCTCTACGAGGCAGAATATTAATCTAACAATCCAACTAATTTGGTCCTATGATTATGTTTTATCCCTTATATAACCTATGCTTCGTCCCATGAGTCAGTACTTACGACTTAAAGATTTTATAGTGTACATTTCACAAAAAATAATATATTTTTGACTACCTAAGAAGCAATACTTAATTGTCCTAAAAAATAAAGAAGTAAATGATCCGATATTTTTAGGCCAGAACAGCTGTAACAATAAATGTAATAAACCAAATGAAGTTTACGAGGTATGTCCAGCTACATGCCCATTCAGAACATGTGGAATCGACGATCGAGTTATTTCTTGTGCACCACCTCCAAAAGTAGGAGATCCTAATTGTTCACCTCCAGCTTGCAGATGTAAAAGTGGTTTCTATAGAGACGACAAAGGAAACTGTGTTAAATGGGAAAACTGTCGTATGTAGAAGTTATATTTTTATTACCAATAATATCAATATTTCCTTAGTACTTTACTACTACACTACATTCCATAATGAAATTATAAAAGTAAAAGGAAGTTTATCTCCATACCCTAACTTTGACGTAAAAATAGTAACACAAAGGCGGCTACAGACTGTCTTTACCTAAAAAAAATCGCAGTTAACATTCGTTAAAATATGATCAATAATAAAAATAAAAATTTGTCTATGAATATTTCTGACTGATTCTTTGATGAAGGAAGCGGCGATAACAAAACCAACAACCAATCCGAGAGACGGCGGTGAGCTCCTGTTATGTTGGATTAAAAGATTAAGTGTTGCGTTCACCATGACGTCGATAATTAACAATGTCACTGACTACCCCGTTCAAGATAATAGTCGTGATGCTTTTGTTATTTTATTTTATTGAAATAGTTAAGTCTGATTGTAAAATAAAATATTACAAAATATGCTATACAATAAATTTCTACATGAGTTGATATGAAATATTTTTAAGACGCATATCTAGTTGCAATAGATACGAGTATAGTACCCATGAAAAGTATGACATGATGATGTTAAGTATCTTCTAACTGCCATTTCACCAGCAAGACGTAGATGTAACCAACAAATTACTTTTTTTTATTATAATATATCTGTAATGCAAATTAAAAATTTTACAGAAACATATTAACACAACAAGCAAATGAACAATATTGTGATTGTGATACATAGATTGTAATTATCGCTCGTTTGCCACAATCGTGGTAAAATAAATATTAAAAATAAAAGTTGTATAGACGTTATTATGGATTACAGCTGTATGTAAAAAACCAAATGAAGTGTATGATCCCTGCCCAGCCCCTTGTCCACCTCGAAGGTGTGATGTTGACGATCGCGTAATTAGGTGCAAAGCCCCACCACAATTGGGTGATCCAGAATGTGAACCCGGCTGCCGGTGTGCAGATGGTTACGCAAGAAATGATAAGGGTATCTGCATCCCTAGGGATCAATGCTGTAAGTTAAAACCTTCCTACCTAACAGGATTACCTATTAGAAATTAATTTATTATGGCTACTTGGAAGTACAACATGTTATCCAGGAAAATCATAGACAGCAACATAAAAATACATATTTCATACTCTGCAAAGTTTAATGAAATACAGTTGTAACATAAAAAGAAATACAGTTGAACTGAGATCTCATCCTATAAAAGAAGATTAATATAATCATACTTACTTTTCATATTACGTATATATTACTATACAACCAATATTAACATTTTTATTAATCAATTCATATACAAGTTATTTTCTACCAACATACATTTTTTTATATTTACATATAGAAGGCACGTACACGAAGAACAAGAAGATTTCTGAAGTTACTATTGAACAAATTATTTAATGTAATTAATATATTTATGACTGCCATGAGAACCTATTTTTTCATTATAATTAATTATCTGACATTAATTTTCTGTTAAAACTAACACTTCACAAATATCTACAAATACGAGTACAAGAAACACTCGTTACGTTTTTTTATACCTACCTAATATTGACAAATAAGTCATTTTGACAACCTCGGTGGTCTAGCGGTCTAGCACACCGCTTTACGTTCGATGGTCGCGGGTGCAATTCCTCGCACGGCACAAACATTTGTATTCATGAGTATGATTGTTTGTATCGATCTGGCTATTTTCTATGTATAATATGTATATATTTACGAAAATAATTCTATGTATTCTATTTATTTGTATCAGTTATCTAGTACCCATAACACAAGCTTTAGCTAGCTTAACTTGGGTATAAATGGCGCTGTGTGAATTATCCTGAGATTATTATTATTATTCTACTTGATGGATAAATTAATGAATAGAGTTCGAATGTATCTTGGCAGCCTAGTGTTGACTCTTCGGCAACCAAACCGCGACTCAATAACGGTCGGAATTTGATCGCCATTAGAGAAGTTCGTAACGGTAGTCAAGTTTCTTCACCGATTATTTGTGGTTTCACTACTTTCGCTAATTGTAATAGAATTAAACAAAATAATTCATCAAGTAGTGAAACGGACTTCCGCAAAATAACACCGATTAATCGAGTTATTAAATCATTAAGTAATATTTTCTAGCTGATTTTAAGCACTAAAAAGGGGTCTGCATGGCTACCTCTGACTTATCTATATCAGCCGCCAAATGACTTGCTTTGTAAACTATTTCGGTTGAGATAAGGCAGTGAAATTATAGGACATGAGATAAGAACATGACAGTTAAGTCCTCCGGAATGGCAATGTATGGGTGATATCACGGGCGTCACGTGATAACGTGACGTCTATAATACTGATAATATAATAGTACATAGGCAACGGCAACTTAATAACCCATAAGGTGGGCCATCAACTTGTATGCCATCAAATAACATCAAAAAGTCTATATTATTATTATGCTATAAATGCCGTATAAAAATGGTATAATTCATTAATTTTATTTTAAATTTATTAGCCGTACTACCATGCAGAAAGCACGAAGTTTATGAGAAGTGTCCAAATCCTTGTTTACCACAAAAATGTTCCGAGGTTGGATTTCCAATAGCTTGTCCTGCTTCCGTCATTCCACCATGTGGAAAACCTGCCTGTGTTTGTGAAGACGGATACTACAGAAATTGTGATGGTGTTTGCATACCTTCGAAAAATTGCCGTAAGTTATATTTAATTAATACTTATGGATTCTTAAATTATTCAATTCAGTTTTACAAACAAATACAAATAGATTTTAGTAAATAAATCGATCAACTTGTTTAAGATAAAACTTAACAATGTAAGCATGTAATTTTTGGTCTCTAAAACAAATGCTTGTTTTGTTCTTAACAATGACAAAATAATGAAAACATAATAAAGCAAAACACTTTTATCGTAACTCTTAATTTAGTGCACATATTCGTACAAGAAAATCTGTTTCTGTTTTTCATTTTTAAGTTATTGAAATGATTCAATTTATTTCAATATTTTCTTTTAAACCGTTAAATCGCTGTTATTTTACTAAATTAAATATCTATGAAAGTTAAAATATATTTTTTAATTCGGCCAACTTTAGAGTTGAAAAAGTCTAAAAAAAATTGCTGTATGGTACCTCAATACTATCTTTTGTATATCAATACATTTTTTTAGTTTTAAACCTAAGAATTTATACAATTTATTATGTTATTTAGCTTCATGCGGTGGGGATCCAAATGCAAGGCCTGGCTGTGGCAATTGTAGGGAGACTTGTTCCAATTATAACAGTACAGAACCCATCTATTGTACACAAGTATGTTACTCCAATGCTTGTGATTGCTTGCCTGGTTACGTGCTTGATAACAATACTGGAAAGTGTGTGCGTCCTAAAAATTGCAGTAAGTAATAATAATATTTAAGTTTTTCAATTACTGTTCAGATTTAAAATCATGCAAATAAATTCCTAAACTAAACGTACAATTTACCAAACTCAAGTAGATCTTAATACTATTTAAAATATAAATAAATTACGTACGTTTATTACATTTACAAATTGTAGATAAAATTTATCCTAAATATACTGTTATTTTCACAAGATTAGACTTTCTCAATTCTTGTATTAATTTCGAAGAAAAACTAGTGATATTTTGACTCAGAATATAATCTGGGGCTGTGGCTTTTAATATGTAATCGTAGTTAATTAAATTGAGGACATAATTTGAGGTGTAATAAAATATGTTGTTTTCTTCCATTTTCTTTTCTTCGTCAGTCGTCATTTATGTCTCTTAAAATAATACTAGGTTAATGTTAATTAAATTAAATATAGATTAATTATAACAATGAATTATACTCATACTCAATTTTTTTCAGCACCTGTTTGTGGTAAGGATGAAGTTTATTCAAGTTGCGTGAATGGCGGCTGTGACAAGAGAAATTGTTCACAGTTATCACAACCAAAAGTCTGCATAGATCCAATTAAATGCTTGGGCGGGTGTATCTGTCGCGAAGGCTACTTACGAGATGACAATGGCGTTTGTGTACCAATAGATCAATGTGGTTGTTGTAAGTGTAAATAAATTAGTAAAATATGTATATATTTACTAAAATTTAATACTTACTCATAAGTATATTATTCATAGCGTTGTGTCCAAAAAACGTTATGATTTCGAACTTTCTGATTTTAAAATACTTTGTGCGTTGATTTATATTTTTACCTGACTATCCGGTAGTGGAGTGTTTCTTTATATTAATAATAAATAAAGTTACTGTCGTCTCTTCGAATTATCACTCATAGACTGCCAGTTTAAATTAAAGTATATCTAATGAAATGTGGAAATGTCAACTGTTGTTGCATCTCGACAGATACTGTTGAAAATGTTGACAACTCTGATAATTGTTATATTATACAATATATAATAAATAGTAATCTTGTATTTTTAAACCATTACTATTACATACTACTGTTACACCGTCTGAATTTCTATGTTCTCAATAAAGATACATTATTACGTTTAAGAATAACAAAAATAATAAAATAGCAATAATATATTTCTACAGGAACTACAAAATTAATTACTATTGAAAACAATATATCTGCATATAAATAAAAAAAGAAATTTTTAATATACGACATATGTATATTGTAAACCTACCTGGTATTAGATAAATGATTACTGTAGGTCTGTAGCCATTAATGTTAGGTATAATTCTATTAACTTTTTTTTTATTATTTATTTAATAGCAAACCCATCATGCAAGAAGAACGAAGTTTATAACAAGTGTCCAAATCCGTGCAAACCGCAAAAGTGCTCCGAGGTGGGTTTTCCAATAGCGTGTCCTGCTTCCGATGAACCGCCATGTGGAAAACCTGCCTGTGTTTGTGATGACGGATACTACAGAAACTGTGACGGTGTTTGCATTCCTTCGAAAAATTGCCGTAAGATTTTTTTTATTTATTCGACCTGTGGAATTAATTTTGTTATTATACTTATTTAGAATACTAAACCAGCGTTCTATTTTTAAACATTATTAATTTTTAAATTAGTCATAATATTGTATTATTTTGACTTATACGCAGATATTATTCGAAATTTAAATATTGTGCTTTAGGTTTTTAAAAATCTATATCAATCAGTCCCAAAATTCATAGAATTTTATAATGCTAAAACAATATTTTACTTTTAGCTTCATGCGGCGGCGATCCAAATGCAAGACCTGGCTGTGGCAATTGTAGAAAGACTTGTGCCAATTATAATAGTACAGATCCTATCATGTGCATTCAGATATGCTACGACAATGCTTGTGATTGCTTGCCTGGTTACGTACTTGATGGTAACACTGGAAAGTGTGTGCGACCAAAAAATTGCTGTAAGTAGTATATCAGAACTATTTACTTTATATCAAAACAGATTACCTGCACTAAATTGTGTTCAATGTGAGCCTCTCAGAGATTGATTGTTTATTATTATCATCGACGCTGTTACAAACGTTCTGGTTACGAGTTTACTAGAGGTGGCGATGGTTGTAAACAATTAATTCCAAGCAGATAAATCAGTCTACGCGCTATCTTGGTCTTTACCAACCTTTCATAGTAAATATCTCGTTTATACCTATCATATGTATAAGTGGGAACAAATGTAAAATATAATAATCGCCACTAGAGAAGGTCGTTATGCTAGTCAAGTTTTTGTTCGTCTATATTTATTAATAAATTTTCTAATTTCGTGTATTCATTTCGATGGATAATGAAATATACTTTTGTTCTAATATATTGATATACCTACCATATTATAAGTTGAAGATGTAAAATTAGATAATGATGCTTTTATACCCGTACAACAACATATTACTGCTTTGTTTTTTTTTAAAAGGCAATTAGTAATTATGAATACAGATATAGATTCTATACCTGTATTTTATTAATATTTCAGCGCCAGTATGCGGTAAAGATGAAGTTTACACAAGTTGCGTGAATGGCGGTTGTGACAAGAGGAATTGTTCACAGTTGTCACAACCAACACTCTGTATAGATCCAATTAAATGCGTGGGCGGGTGTATTTGTCGTAAAGACTACTTACGGGACAGTAATGGTGTTTGTGTGCCAATTGATCAATGTGGCTGTGGTAAGCTAAGAATACTTTTTTTAGATTTTTCAAATACTATTATAATGCATATTGAATATTATAGTTATAGCTCCAGCATTTCCGTTTTCTAAACAAAGAAGGTCTTTTAAACTAAGATATTCAGTGTCCAATTCCTGGAAATTTTATTATAAAACATATTTGTAATAAAATTGACAGGTCTCTTGACATGGAATCTCATAATAATATAGTAAGATGACCTAACTGGGATGGCTGAGTATAAAAATAAAAATAATCTTCATAAAGATTATGAATTACTATGTATTGCTAGCAATGTGGCCGTCGTTACTAACAATCACTTCTCAATAGAGATATCTTAGTACGAGTAGTTATTTATAATATTAAGCTTTAGAATACTAAAATAAAAAGGACATGTAATTTATACATAGTCTAAATAAATAAATATACTGAATAGGAATTAACTTAATAAAAAGGTTGATATGTTATAATTCTAGGGATACCGGTTACCACGTCAGCGCCAAAAGAATGTTCATGCGATAATGTGGACGAACAGCTAGATGATTTAGAAGAAGGAAATACTGGTTTCACGGGAAAGTTTTTCTATGTTGGTATTTGTGTTTTCATAAATACCTATACTACTATATAAAGGAATATTATTAAAATGAAATAATTCTTTCTATTGATATATCTCTGTACCTATAGATATTTATCATAACTTAAGTTAATAATTAAACATACATATATGGACAGAAGACCTATATATCTCAAATTTAATTGATTTCTCCGTACTTTACAGGAAATAGTTAAGAGCAACCCAGGAGTTAGTGTCATAATGTCGGCATTTTCTGTTTTAACTCCTTTAGCTGAATTAGGTCTATACACTTCTGGGGCGGCATTAGAAGAGTTGTTGAATGTTTTGGGTCTTCAAAATAAGGACGAGGTAAATTATTAACATTTATTTATTTAAATGGCTACATACAGAAACAAACATATATTTTTACCATTTTGTTTGTCATGTCGATATAACAAAAAATATGACCAGTCTGACCACGTTTATTCATTTATTAGCAATCACATAAAAATGAATGATTACTGAATATTATAGGAATCTTTAAAACTGCATTCGAATACAATTTATATTATTTTTTTGATAAAATTTATGCAAATTACCTTTTATTATTATTGATATAGATACGGTGCGTCTTTCCAAAAATCAATGATTTATTGGAAGCTGAACAGAATAATACATTAGATTTGGCTGCGAAAGTATTTGTTAATCAAGATTATCTACTGACTGATGAGTTTAAAAAGGATACACAAGATGTGTTTGATGCTGAAGCAGAAAATATAGATGTAGGTGATCCAGATAAAGCAGCAGCGACCATAAATGATTGGGTGAGCATTTTAAATAATAATAGAGATTAAACTACATAATAATGATAAAAATTTCTCAAAGTATTATTATAATCAAATTTCACCGTATTTAATAATATTACAGGCTGCTGAACAAACCAGAAATCTTATTAAGGGAATCATTTCACCTGATTCGATTACTGCTTACACACGTTTAATATTAGCCAACGCTATCTATTTCAAGGTAACAAAATTTTTAGTACCTTATAGTAAATTATATTAATAGGTATATAATTTATTGAAAATACTATTAACATTTGACTTATATTTTAAGGGTACATGGAAGATACAGTTTGATCCCAAAAATACAGAAGATAAAGATTTTTCAGTTACCAAAGACAATATCATTCAAGTTAAAACAATGAAAGTTAAAGACAAGTTTAAATACGCAGAAAGTTCGGACTTGGACGCTAAGGTACAATACTAATTATTATTATTAAGATTGAATAAATTATACACTATTACTCCTTCATAAATATATATTCATAATATCCATTGCTTTCATCCTGATATGTCAAACTCAAAGGTGTATTTGATAATTTAGATAATAACAATAGTGTTTATATACACTCTAGTCTTTTCAAATATATTTCTGCATTAACATAATAATTATTTCTTTTTCAGATTATCGAATTGCCTTATGTAGGCGAAGCTATAAGATTTATTGGCATTTTACCTAATGATATTGAAGGCTTAACAAATTTAGTAGAAAAACTTCAGGATGCAAGTGTATTTAATAAAGCTATCAATAGTTTGTCTTTGAAAACGGTTACAGTTCTATTACCTGTCATGGATGTATCTACTAAGATAGACTTGATTGATGTTTTACAGAAGGTAATGAATATAATAAAGTCCATAGCTATTCAACATTCTTTGTTACTTATGTTTCTTCATATTTCTGAGAGCATAATTATAATATAATCCAAGTAAAGTTAATTATTTGTTATAACATTATTTTTAGACCGGCGTTACAAAAATTTTTGATGCTAAAACAGCTGGTTTGACCGGAATTATACAATCTGATGAACCTTTGTACGTGTCTGATGCTACCCAAAAAGCTACTATCAAAGTAAATGAAGAAGGTTCAGAAGCAGCAGCTGTAAACGGTACAAATATAAAATATATATTTATATTAATTTATACATGAGCACAGTGCCTCTTATTCACAGTAGAATAGTACTCTCAATATACGTTTTCGCGATGTGTCTTCCTTAAAAAGTTCAAAGATCATATAGACTTCCATATTTATAGTGTTAATAAAATAAAGTAATAATTGAGGTAAGCTAACTACGAAAATTTTAATAATAAATGTTAACATTGTATTGAATCGCGCTCCATGTTTAAGATTTATTTCAACTTCATCACTACTTAATCCTACTTGAAGTAAATTTTCAATTATCAGAACTCTAGTTAAATAAGATTTATTATTCTAGTACTGTTATTAAAACTTCAATGATATTACTGATGTGCTTGTGCTCATCCACAAGTAAATACTGGTATTAGTACTAGGTACTAGTGGTAACTCGATGGACGAAAGTCGACCATAATTGAAATAAATTTAAAATTAGCTGTTGTCAAAAACTATGGGAAATGTGTGGGTGTCCAACACATGATAATGTCTACTATTATTTTAATCTAATATGTAGAAGTTTCTGCATTATTTCTTCGTATGAACATCAATTGTGCTAATTTTTATTAATTTTCTACATAATTTTCATAAAAAGGATACAACGTTTCAAGTATGTAATTAATTATATAATATATAATGATGACTCATATATATGTGTAATATGTTTCAGTTGTCGGCATTTCTACAACATCAGTGGTTTTAAATCCACCACCGGAATTGTTCTTCAACGTCGATCATCCTGTTGTGTATTATATCCTTTATGAAGATATCCCTCTGTTTAGTGGCACATTTGTGAAGCCGTAATATAAAGAGCATGAATATATGATATTTATTATTTATGAAGATTAATAGTTGGAGGAACATAATTATTAATTTTAACAGTCTGCCAAAAATAGAAATATAATAAAGAGAAAATGTAATTTTCAGCAGTAAAGATATGAAAAGGAGCCAAAAAATACTTTAATAAAATTCTAAATATAAATTTAAGTTGTTACTAAGTAACTATAGTGGAAGGTCAGATCTAATTTAATAGAACGAAGTTCCACTTAACAGTAGTTGAGATATTATTACGATTTTTGTTCATTACAGTAGAAATAAAATATAATCACAGGAGAGTGCTTAATATGAACACCTTTATTGTACCTTGTTGTATTTAATAATTTATTAGTTAAACGGTTTTAGAATCTACAAGTAATTATTTAGACACAAAGCAAAAGAAATTTGATGTAAAATGGATTAAACTGAAAATATTTATTGACAAGTGTAATTCTGATAGAATTCAATAATAACGCTGCTTGTGATCGTATTTGTACCATACTTGTGTATTCAATATTCGTTTCAAACCTTAGATTATTATTACTAAAGCTGTTATTTTCATAAAAAATATATTATTTTATTATTGTAAATCCCAGTTACAGACCTGTCAAGTATTTTTGTTATTGAATATATTTGGTTATAAAATTCAAATTGTTGCTTCAAATTATAAATTAAAAAAAAATGTTATTTCAGGCATGTCTAGCATATAGTTCGAGATAAAATCAGTGTTTTTAAACAATTTGTTTTATTTACTTTGTTTTCATATTCCTTAAATATTATGTAACAATAATATAATTTTTTAGACAACCATAATCACAGCCAATTTAGTTCTAGTATACCTGTTCCTATTTATCATTAATTGTGATAAATGATTTCTATTATTATAGATTAAGCTATCATCTTATATTCTATCTGTTCAGAGATATAGTGAAAAAGTAATTTGCCATCAGGCATTAACGTAATAAATAAATAAATATAGATATATATAACAAATATATCCGTTAACGTAACCTATACGTTAACGGATATATTTGTTATATGTGTATATATTTATTTATTCATCAAGTTCAGTTTTTTAAGTATATGGCAAACACAGACAGATGTCGCAGAAATCTGTATTTGATACATATATATGGATAGATAGATATATATAGATCGCATACCTGAGAACACAAACGAAGAAAAATGTCATAACCAAGAAATTTCCCTGAATTCTTATTAGATAAAGCCGCGGAAAGTAACATTTAAAATTAATTTTATGACGAACTTAGCCATCTCGATTAAATTAGATAATTTTGTCTGCTATTTAAAACTGAAATAGGCATTTACTGTATTAGATAGTGTCAGTTTAATATGGAGCAACAGAGATTCATGAAGTCCCGAGTTGAAAGTTCAATCTAAAACTATAAATTTTGCAAATTCATACTTTATTCATAAGTTTTTGAGGGGTATATTGATGAGAGGATCGTGTATTGATGGCATGTATAACCATTTTTCAGTAAGTCAGTATAGGATGAAGTTGTTAAGAAACTCTTTATACCTTCCTTAAGAATACCTTAATATTTATATACAAAGTTAATTCTACAGATTAAAAGCAATTGATAGTATTAAACAATATTCAGTATATACAAAACCGCACCTCACTAACATTCCTAAATTATTTCCTAAACTCGGTAGCAATATCTCTCACTTATCGTTATTTTGCTTATATCATTTGGAATACTTAAATGAAGAGTTGGTTCATGTGCAGAAAAGCAAATTTTTAATCTGCTTTGTCACTTTGTGCATTCAGTGCGAAAAGTTCAAAATTTATATTCATATTTTCACATTGTTTCTCATTGAAAATTTCATGACCTATCTGATTAGTAGGTTTTCTCTACTGTTGGGGATGTATAACCATTTCTCATTTAGTATATCACAAAATAGTCTAGAAACTTGATATCAGCGAAATCTCTTAACCATTAGTAACAACAAATAGTTCACAATAATGGTTGTCACCAAGAAATAAGCATTAAAACGTATGTAACATTACTATTTACATCGCGTATTTCGTAGTAACTTATTTTGATAACAGTATATTCTGGCAGGATATCAGTGGAGGATGCTATAAGCGTGAATAATGAGTTCAGGTGGAGGTACCAAATCGTGGCAAACTCAGTAGTAAATAACAACGATGGTTTCCAGGCAAATAGAGTGAAGGTGAACGAACGGAACCTTTTACGGTACAGTTCAAATAATATCTTAACTAACTTTGCGTGACAAGATCTTATTTTTAAGGGTTAACTCTGCATAGAATGTATAATAAATATACCACGATTGAAGCAGTTTTTTCAAACAAAATCTTGAATAATTGTAATGTCCGTTATTTGACCAGTAATAATAGTCACTTTGTCCAGCATTACGTTGCCTGATCAATGGATGGTTTGTACAAATTTATAAGGGTTCATGACTACGTATCAGACCGTAATAAATAACTATAGACGAGCTAGCTTGCAGTACTACCTACCTATTTTGTACCATTATATTATGTCATAGATAATTATATTAGCAGTACTTGGAAGCTAAGAATGAAAAGATTGAAGAAGATTGCAAAGGAGAAAATGAAATAGTATAAATATAAAATTATCTGGCTTTGTAATGTGTGTTTTTGAATGTATAAGTATATTACACGAACAGTTTTAGTGTTCTAGTAATCGAAAATGATAGGGTAGGTCTTATTACATATTTATATTTTACTAGTTTCATTTTAATTTAAGGTAAAGGAAGATTTCCTTAATTTATTGGTATTGTTTGTATTCAGATTTCTAATTTAGTTTACGCGAATTATTTCTGATAATTATAAATAAGTCTGAATCTAGCTTATTTCCATCTTCCTCCTTATCAGATGGTCTCTACAAGAAATGATGAAGAACTATTGATTAGGTTATTGATAGCAAGACATTGCTTAAACGAGTAGCATTTCGTCAATTACTTTTATAATAAAGTTTCTGTAAGTTAGACACTTTCTGTCAGTCTATGTGTCAGATTATTGACCAATTCTCGGTCGTCAAGGACTAATTGAACGGGTTAGAAGTATGGAGCATCGCTGGGGGATGTGTGTAGAGTTACAAGGAGACTATGTAGAAAATAAATAAAAACTTTTAGGAATAAAATTGTGATATCATTGTTAGGTCGAAAACTTTACAGACTACCCACATATTTTATGAGAAATTCCACATCAAATAATATCTAATAGGTATTGACAACTTTTTCATTTTTAACTACAATTTCTAATTTTATGTCAATTACAAAGATTAAAATAATATATCTTATAATAAGTTGTTTGCAGATATATTAAAAGTAAAAAAATGTTTTTTTAATATATGAAAAACTACATGCATTGTTCAATAATTTATGAAGCGAGGCAAATTGTTTTACATGCTTATTATTTGCATTATAAACAATATATAAATAAGAACATAACTTATTTTTCATCTTTTGTTGAAACAAGTGAACGAAGTACGTGTTTAGTGCCTAGCTATAAAAGTGGTAATAAGGCTTTACTCATAAGGTTTTTTCCATTAAAAATGACAAAGTTACTACTATATGTAGCTCTTGTATTTGGGTACTATGTGGCTTCTTCAACAGGTATGAAATCATTTCAATACTTTGATTTATGTGAAATAATTTGGTGTATTTATGATAATTATCATATAATGATATTTGTAGATAAAATTATTTTCAAACAATAAAATAATCAGATTGATGTCTATATTTAAATAGTAGGAATTTTTTTAATTTTTTAATAATATTGGTGCGGAACCCACTTCAGTTAAATTTTTACAACATTTTTTTTTATAATACAGGGGACAAAGCAGCATGCGGCTCATCTGATGGTAAGTGATTACCCCCGCCCATGACCACCCGCAACACTAGGGAAATTGCAAGTTGTAGACATTGTCGGCCTTGTTTGACATTACCGCTATTCATCCAGATGATCAGCATGGTAATTTAGTTTTTGGCGGGTAGTACAGTGGTGAAACTCAGCGACTGGTATTAATCTGAACAGTTCCTCAGAACACTGCCCGTGAAATATGCAGTAGAAAATGCACAAAAATGCAATATCACGCCGCAAAGCTAATGGGTCGAGTCTGTCACATAGACGTTGATTACCAGTAGCTGGTATTGTGGTGCTCCCGCCCAGAGATGAGAACAGTATTCCATATGCGGCCGGATCTGCGCCTTGTATAATTCCCACAATATAAGTCCCATTCTATTAAGCACACCAAGCTTTTTTGAGGCTATTTTAGCCTTGTCCTCCAAATGATCGCAAAACTGAAAGTCACTGGATATATCAACGCCAAAGACCTCGAGATTTGGCTTCACATCAAGAAGAGTGTCTTCAAATGGAGGAGACACGATAAATGGATTCTTTTTAGCGGTAAACGCGCAGTAAAATTTCGATCATACCTAGATATGTAGTACACATTTATTGAATTAAGATTATAGAAGTATGTTTTAATCGTTATAATGGAATGCATTATTATTTGCGGTACGCAATTAACGTACTTAATAGTTGCCGTAGCCGTCAAGTAGTGTCTTAGTCCTCCAGAAAGGAAACGTATGAGTAACAATGATATCATGGTAACGAGATTCTGTGGTGCTGTTCATGTATATAGACGATGGTTGGCACTTACCATCAATTGGACCGTAAGCATTATGGTAACCAATTGAAAAGTATATATAGCAATAGTTTATTTAACAGTAATTACAAAACAGCATCACGTTACTATTAATAATTTTATTATGATTTCAGAAACAATATGTAAAAGAAACGAAAGATGGGTAAAATGTCCACCACTGTTATGTATTCCACTAAATTGCTCTGAAGTGGGATATCCTGTACCATGTCCATCACTTGGTCCAGATAGTGAATGTCCTGGAAAAGCAGCCTGTATATGTAAGGAAGGCTATGTAAGAAATAAAAAAGGAATTTGTATACCTATAAAAGAATGCCGTAAGTATAATAAACGTTAATACTCGTATTCTTTGAAATGAATTTAATGTCTTGAAATTATTTATTTTACTTAAAATCAAGTCAAATTTTATTCATATCCATTTGATATGAACAAACAGACATTCTTTTTTATATTGTGTTATTAGTATTGAAGTATGGATATGTCCCCATACAATATGACGTTGCTACGAATTTATCAGAGAGAGACCTCTGTCTCAACTACATCTGCTGCTAGTAGATTGCTACGAAAGCTGTGTGTTGGTTAAAGTCGAAAAGTGAAATTAATGGGTATGCAGGCAAGATCGTACGAATGAATGCTAAAGAACGTATGAATGCTTCATGCTGCCATAGTGTCATAGTGCATTCATGGCTTGTTATTCATGACATCATATATATGACAATTCCAATTTTCCAGGAGGTAGGCTGTGTAGTGTAGATTGTTTTCCATATCCGTCTAAATAAATATTCGAATATTTTATTAACAAAAGTTTATATAGATGTGGGTTATTCAATCAGGTTTAAACGGCTGGATAATTGAAAGAAAATATTATTACAGAGAGACCGTACCTAGATTAATACATGGGATAAATACATATGTTTTTATCATAATTAAATTAAAATTTAATTAAATTTATCCATAGTCTTTTAGGTGTTATTTCAAAAATACGTGAACAGTTTATAATCTCATATAAACCTTTTGATGATTATAAGGTTCTCATGTAAATGCAAATTTTATTAACATTAGACATTAGTTTACAGTTTTTGAGTTATTTTTAACATTCGATTAATGTCAGTTCTTTTCGTGTCTCAACACTGTATTTAGGTAAAAAATGTTTCGCAAAAAGATACCTCATCAATCTGAATGTATCCGTGTCGATTCTGAACCGATTATTTTAGAATTGATTTCGATTTGTTTACATAATGACATTATCGAGAATTGATACAGTTTTTATGTGAAATAAAATCTTTATTTATTGTACCGTCCATATAAATCAATAATTATTATTTTATAGCCTCTTGTGGTGGGGATCCCCATGCAGAATCAGGTTGCGGAATCAACTGTGGAAGGCTTTGTTCTAACTACGATAAGGGTCCCGTCGCATGTGCCGCTGTTTGTATGATCAACGGGTGTGATTGTAAAGAGGATTATGTTTACGATGTAAATTTGAAGAAGTGTGTTTTGCCAGAAGATTGCTGTGAGTATTATTGATATTATATAATCATACCTATAGAAATACAGGACAAATAAATAAATACCATGCATTTTAACATATTTATGACCTCATAAAAATACATTCATTGATATGAAAATAAAAAAAAATGTTTATTTCTTTAGAAAAAAATTGTATTACAACAACACAGTTTTAGGTTAACCTATGTAGTAGGCATAGCAATCCCTGTGTCAAGTACATCCCGCTCTTCCATGTACATTGTCATATATATATTTTTAATGATTATATAACTCATTAGATACCAAATATTATTAAACAAACGTTACTTATTAGAAGTCAAGTACATATAAAACTTTTAAGCGGCATGTTCGTATTAATATCCATGTGTTAGTTAGAATGTATAAAATGTTTATGCGCGCGCGTGCAGATATGTTCTGTTAGCTCGTCAAAATGTATAAAATTATTGAATTATTAATATTGTGAAAGAAAATATTTAACTTATTGCAGTCGTATGTTTATTATTATATATTAATACATGGAACATTTAACTTTAGAAGCATTTTATTTAAATAGAACACTCTCTAGCGAAGATATATTATATTTCTTAAATATATTACTATTTGTTGGTATGAAGTTAAGATATAATGACCAATAATACAACAAAAGACAATAAATAAATAGGAAGTAAATGAGTTTTTCAACTAAAGTGAAAAATGTTTAGCTGTGCCCTATGATCCGCATCCGTTTTATTTATTAGGAAATTATTAAATTTCAGTTTTATGATTATTCGCTTTGTAGGTATATCTTTTACGGCTAACCTGGTATTATATTAGTTCGTTTTTCATAAAAAAACTAAATGTAACATTTAACTAATTCTTGCATAAGTTTTACATACAACGCTAGAAACTAGTACAGTAATGGCAAACGCATTTCGTTTACAATTTCTGATTACATCACCTAAAAATACATTTATAGCTTTTAGCAATTACAGTTATACTTTTTTATTTTCCTTTATTAACAGATAATTTGTTATTTTTGTAGCACCTGTTTGTGGCACTAATGAAGTATTTTCAAAATGCGCTAACGGTGGTTGCGGAAAATGGAATTGCACTCAAATTGGGGGACCAGATCTTTGTATAGATCCTATTAAATGTGAAAATGGGTGTGTCTGTCGGGACGGATACTTACGGGCACGTAATGGTACCTGTATAGAAGAAAATGAGTGTTTAGGTAAACTAAATTATTTTACTATATATATATATATATATATATAGGTCATGTGTCTTAATTAGAATGAAGATAATATAATTTTTGAAAAACAAACTACTTATTAAATACTGGCCATAAATCAGATATTTTGGTATAATTCAATGTCTTTACGGTATTGAATTATATCAAAATAGATATGTAGAAAACAATATTTTTTTGATACTGGTTGGTTTATAAGAAGGCGTAATAGTGCAATCGATTTTTTTTACAATTACAGATGATGTATGCCCAAATGAAAGAGAGATTTATGACCTATGTCCATCTACATGTCCTCCAAGGAAATGTGGCGTAGATGAGCGTATTATTACATGCTCGTTAGGACCACCAGTTGGAGATCCTGATTGTCCTCCACCAAAGTGCCGTTGTAAAGATGGTTTTCATAAAGATAACAAAGGCAACTGTGTCCTATGGGATGACTGCCGTAAGTATTGATTAATATCATTGTACATTTTTCTACTGTAAATAGAAACTTTAATTCAGTATATACACTTCACATTTTTCACATAGGTACAAGTTAGTTTAACTTAAGCATAACTCACAGTATAAGAATAACTGTGCATTATCATGAAGCAAAATTACCAATTTTGTTACTGATCTTTAAACAAAAGGGCTTAAATATATTTAACTCATAATTACCTTACTTACACTCACTTTTATTTTCATTAGATAAATTTAGAGTAGGAGACTTTAAGAACTTTTTTACAAAAAATGTTACTAAATTAGAATACCAAATATTAATCATTTGATTAATATTTGGTATTCTAATGGATTTGCTCTGAGTAGAAAATAAATTCGTATTAAGTTTACCACACCACTTTACTTCCGATGGTCACGGGTTCGATTCCTTGCACGGAACGAATATTTGTATTCGTGAGTATGATTGTTTGTATTGGTCTGGGTGTTTTCTATGTATAATATGTAAGGTATTTATGAAAAAAATATATATCTATGTGTTTGTATTAGTTATTTAGTATCCATGACACAGCTTTAGCTAGCTTAACTTGAGTGTTGATAGTGCTGTATGAATTGTTCTGTGGTGATTATTATTTTCACGATTGTCTCATTTTCTCAGCTTATATGTAATTGTTATTATTATTATTGTACTATGAAAATATATTGATTTTAGCTAAATGCAATAAGCCATTTGAACAATATTTTGATAGTCCAAGGCCATGCCCTCCACTGACATGTGATGCCATAACCGGCAAGGGTTACGACTGCTCGACTGAACCAGGCCCATCCGAAGATCCTTGTATATGCTATAAAGGATATTATAGGAACAAAATCAGGGAATGTATTCTTAAAGAGGATTGCTGTGAGTATTATTTATAAAGTATACTGTATTTTTACCCGCTACTTCCTTCCCGTGACCGGGATATCCCAAACGCTACGTGTATGCCATATTTCTTGATGATTGACTGAGTAGTAAAATGCCAAGAGGTAACAAATCAACAAACAAATGGAGATATTTTTATATTCCTGTAACATACTGGAACAAGTAATCAGTACTTTTCTGTTCTAGTATTTTAACTGATATAGTGTTTGTCTGTCTAAAATGTCACCTTTAGTATGACCCATACTAAAGGTGACATTTTTTTCACGTTGTTAAAAACAAAAATTAATAAATTCTTAACATAGTTACCCAACTACGTTAAGAATTTATTAATTTTTGTTTTTAACAACGTTCACTGGAGAAAGCGATATATATATATTTATTGGAATGGTACACTTGCTAACAGTTTATACCGGCAGATCATAAGATGAGGATGAGGTCGATACATAAAGTTTTTTGTATCTTGGGTATAATTCAGGGTAACCCTAGTAAACCACTAGCCAGTACACCATAATTAGACTTAATTTTTTTTTAATTTATAGAGTAATTTTATTTACCTTTTTAAGTGTCTTTTTTTATTGCAAAAGTTGACGGGCCACCTGATGGTATGTGGTAACAGTTTCCCATATGTATACGAGTATTTGAACTGCACTACGGACCACAGGTTATCATGTTACACCCGTGGTACTGCTCATGCATTGTCATTCACCATTCACCAATTGCAGTATAAACAAGTTCAAGGAAACTGAGTTCACCGAAAAAAATATCGACGCTGATCTCGTTTTACTTTAAATTGATTCATCATCATCATTCATCAGCAATATATAGATTGCGTTTATAAAACTAAATTTATATTTTCCTTCGTTAACAGTGTTACACGCTCATAAAATAATATTTTATGTAATGGGTAATTTATTTTAAAATTTTTAAGAAGTATTTGTAATCCAATCATGTGATAATTTTTTAAATTTTCAATTTAATAAATATATATAACAACAACCTATAAACTAGGTAAAACATTATTTAATTTTGCGATTGTAGCCGTGAAATGCAAAATTAAGCTTTGAACTCGTTTAAACGTTTTAATCGAGTGCACTTCGAACTAAACACGATTATTTTCTTTGGTGAAATCCAGCCTAAGTCGCCTCTTTTTCTGTAAGTTCTCTGCTTTATCTCACTCTTCAACCTAAATAAATCTTTCAAAGCCAGCTATTTTGTGGCTGATATATGAAAGCATGAGAAACTAAATGTAATAATGTTAAATTTGAAATGTTTTTATTTGCAGTTAAATGTACTGGACCTCATGAATATTTCTCATGCGGAGGCGCCTGTGACAATGTATGTGCAACATTGAGCACACAAAACCAAACTAATTGTCCAATAGTGAACGTTAAGTGCAACGAAATGTGCTATTGCGAGGAGGGTTATGCACGAAATGATAATAACATATGTATACCAATTGAAGACTGCAGGCAATGTGATTAACATTACCTGAATTCTTCAATTAGGGTTTCAATATAAGATTAAACGCAAATAGAATCTCGATATGTCCCCCGTAATGTTTCTATAAATCATCTAGGTGAATCTAAACCATGTTCGTTATAAAATAATTCAAATAACTATATTTGATTGTTACCATATTGAATTACACAAGGCTTCTAAACAGATTTATGTACGCTTACCATATTCCTCTATAATATATGTACTATACTACACTACAATAGTTAGTTAGCTTCTTTGCCATATTAATTACGTAAAAAACATTTAAAAAATTGCAAGTAAATAAAAAAGCTTTGAGAATGCTGCTAACATTACTTTTTTCCCAAAGTTTCCTGCCTGCTTTAAATGTTTATTATTTCAAAATTTAGAGCAATAATTTGTATATTTTAAATTACATACAGTTTTTCTAAAAAAAATATTTATGTAATATAGCATAGTGAAGAAATGAATCCTTAAATTTTAATATGCATTTATTGTTTGTGTTTTTTTTTTATTGTCCATTAACACAGACTTTTTTTATATGACGTTTCTGTTGTCCTCAAAAACTGTCAATTATTTGTAATTTTTATTGTGTTTTTTTTTACTTTTTTTTTATTATTTTTTTTTTTTATCAAACCATGCATGTTATTATTTTTAACTTAAAAATGGGCCTTTTTATGTAGAATATTAATAAACGAGTATATCAATATTTTTTTTATATTATTTTACCTGGTAAAATTTATACTTTTTACATATTATTTATTATCTATAGTACTACTGTCAGTTTCCAAATGTATTACTATATATAATATTTTTTATAGAATTACATTTCCATCGCATAATTTAACGATTAATTTCATCCATGTCATTATGCCAGCTTATTAAGTAAAACCTATAGATTCGATTCATTAGTTATTTGACTGGAAAAAATGTCTACATTTTTTTTAAAGTAATCTGAATTTAATTTTTTTTATAGTTTTAATATATTACTTACTTGACGGACAAGAAACTAAAAGTCAAATAGATATTCGAGTTCATACCGTATATTATTTTACCTTTAAATAATATTTTAACATAATAGTCTAAGTTTATTAAAATCTTAAGGATACATGACACAAAATAGATACTATAAAAGTCATAGAACTTTACTCTACAATTGCTGGAATATATAGAGTTACAATTAATCGCAGTAAACTAAACTAAACTAATGGCAGATATTCAAATTACTTTTTTTTAAATATATCTTTATTCATTAAGGTATTGTGCGTTTTTGTATCTTATTGAAATTTTAGTATCTTGTGTCTGGTGTCATAATACCGCTTTTGAAAAAAAAACAATTAAGTGTAATTTGACATCATCATCATTAAAAAATTTTGCATTTTATCAAAGTAAGTACAGTCACAGATAACATAATATTACACAGTACAGTTATTCTAGTTTCTTTAGAAATTCGTAGAAGAGAGCTGTATTCTATATCAAGCAATATTTTTAGTAGTAAATTACATGGACAGCGACTTTTATCGTTAAAGAAAAGTTAGTTAAAACCGGTTTCCAAAACTAATTGTTCGAGTCTTGTGACGCAGATCTATGACGAAATAGTGTAATGACTAATATATTACATAAAAATCCCCATTAATGTCTTCATAGTATATTGTATCATAATGTATCTTGTCATCATTATTTTTGATGTGAAATAAACTATATTACAAATAAACTATGCTACAAAATATTTTATAATGAATGGTACTTGTTACACTTTGGACTTGGTGACTTCTTTCGGAAAGAAAATGTGTTTCAAATCATATGATCACTATTTATTCAGTTGTATTAAACTGTCTACGCACGACACGATTTGCCTTAAGAGCGGTTATGGCGAATGGCGAATCATGATGTGTAGTTTATTTTATTATCCATATATATATATATATATATATATATATATATATATATGGACACTCTCTACACAGTAAATGTTAATGAGCAAATCAACAACATTGAATATTACATTATAATAATATTTATAGTATACTATTTCACCCATGTACCTAACTCCTTTTAAATGGTCGACTGTTTAAAGAAATAATTAATTTTAGCACGATGTAATTATATACAGTGGAATTGCTAGTTCCATATTTTCTATTACTCGTAGAGTGCGTGCCCGTATAATTTTAAGTGAAACTTAACAAATCAGATTAAATTATTAATTAACGTAATGTATTATACATTAATGATAACTATATCTAAACCGGTTCAGCCGTGTCTGCACAGACAAATGGACAAAAGTCTGTAATTTTTTTTTTATTCTATTACATTAATAAAGTCCTCTAATCAATTATTTAGCTCATATATATTTACTACACAGACAGCGATTAGTTACATATTCATCTTATATAAACTGATAAATATAAGATGATAAATGTATATAAGCAATTGTTACATACACTTATTTGCTGGATAGTCTTATTAAGCCACAGATAATAAGCAGTGTAATTTGGAACAGAAGTTAAAAATAATTTATTATACAAAAAATAAATTTTAGATTAATTAATTTAACTACACATGTATATAAAAGCATTAGTTCGTAAATATAAAAAATATAACCAATAATAATACTACTGTCCCTGTACAATTCACATAACGCCATCCAGTCCCATGATAAGCAGAGCTCGTGTCATGGATACTAGATACAAATAGTTGGATAGCTAACCAAATACATACATAATAGACAATAATATCTACATTTAATCGACGTCACTGAAAAGTAATTATATCTAACCTAACATTTATTAACTCCGCTCACAATACATTTTTAAATTTATTTATATTTATTATTGGGACAAGTGCACGGCAACTATTTCTATATAAAAAAAGCGTCAAATTTAAATATATATCAGTACGGTAGAGACAACGTAACGATATATAGCCACTACAAGTTTATTGTCAGCAACGCTAATAATGTTCAAGATATTCAAGGCGCTTCTGTTACTGGTCTTAATGACCAATATATTTTCTGTGATGGCGACAGGTATGAAAATATCCTTTATATAAAAATTTAATATTATATTTTTTGAAATTATCTCAAGTTAATTCTAAATTAGTTTTCAGCACAATTTAAAACTAGAATTTTGTGAGCCTAAATTGGATTAGGAAATGAGATCAAACCCAAGCTGAACAATTTCCCCCAAGGAAGAAGGATGTAAAGACCTTCTTCCTTGGGGAAAATTATTGTTTTCTTGGGAAAAAAAAAAAATTAGGCAGTGAAATTACAGGATAAGAGGCACATTAGTCCTCTAGAATGGTAATGAATTAATGATATCAGGGTAGTCACGTATAACGCGATGACTGTAGTCTTGTTCCTGTGTATATAGGTGATGGTTACCTTACCGTTTGGTGATTAATTACATAAAAGTGGTATATAAATATGACTATTAGTTTAATCAATTTTTGATTGTGTCTGTTTAGCCGATGTACAATGCCCGGAGAACGAAAATTATGATCCATGCCCCAGTTGTGCTCCTGACACTTGCGACAGCATTGGGAAACAATACAATTGTCCACTGGAGACCCCAGATAATTGTAAGGGTGCCTGTCGATGTCGTACCGACTACTTAAGAAACAGTGACGGTATTTGCATCCCTGTTAGTGCTTGTTAATAACATTGTAACGCCACTTCAAATAAATAATTTAAGGTCATTGGTTTATTATTGAATAAAGATCTTTAATTGATTACAAAATACTCTGTTTTTCTTATACATTATTTTTTACCATCATGATACTAGTAGGGTGTTTTATAATACTATTTTCCTTTTTTATTTTCATATTAGCTGTGTATGAAATATAGAGTTTATGTATATCTGCAATATCGACAGCTGACGTTTGGGTACAAAAATTAAAACTGTAAAATAAATACTAAAGGAGATATACACAAACAAAAATTACAATTTTAAGGATATGTATATGAATAGAACCAGCTCATGAATTGTTCTTTTAGTATTCATGAGAATATGAAGATTATATTATATTATATTATGTGTAGTATAAGAGTTTGTAGAGTAAGTGGATTCATTAAAATTTCGAGAGTTCGAAATTTCGAACCTTGTAGGTCATAAGATAAGAGAGGTCTATAATTTATAATCAATATTTCATTACTGAATTGTAAATTAAAGTATTAATGTAAATGTAAAGTTTTACATTTTCATTAATTGTTTAATTTACAATTCTTCATTCGATTAATATATTTGATAATTTAATATAAAATTATTAATTAACGCCAAATTTACTCACCTTTGCTCAGGAACACCCCGATGTGTAGTATTGTATATATATTTTATTAAAACAATTATATTAAATTAATTAAAATAGTAATTTTTCATATTGTAAAATAGTAAAAATACGAGCGGCCGTTTCTTCCAGTTCTTATTTTCATTGAATATTTATCAAGCTCTGTTGCAAGCCTTAAGCGGCCTGGTTGTTTACTAGATGAAATAGAAGTTTAAAAGAATTGATAAATAAAAACATATTTTTCGAGAAATTAATTTAACGACACCATGTATGCATAACGTCTCAGCAATACTTTGTAGAATATAAAAATAATATAATCAATAATTTAATGGACAAAACGAAAAAAGTAATTATGCCCAAAATTTATTAACTGCGCACGCAAAACATTTAAAATTTAATTATATTTATTATTACTACAAGTGCACGACAAGTATTCCTATATAAAAAAGGAGTCAAATTCAAATATATATCAGTACGGTGGAGATAAAGTAACTATCTATAACTGCTTCAATTTCATTGTTGGGAACGGTAACAGTAAATATCAACAAGAACATGTTCAAGATGGTCAAGACGCTTCTATCGCTGGTCTTAATGACCAATATACTTTTTGTGATGACTACAGGTATGAAAATATTATTTTTATTTAAATTATATTAAAATTTAATATTACACTTACTTTTTTATTTATTTATTTTTTGGAACCATATTACGTTAAATCTTAAAAAGATACTAAATTACTTTTCATTATAATTTAGAACTAGAATAAATTTGTTGGCCTAAATTGAATTAGGATATTAAAAGAAAGCTAATCTAAAATATGTACCCGAGGAAGAGGGTGTAAACAGGATTCGATTAGGCAGTGGAATTACAGGATATGAGGTATGACATATTAGTCCTCTAAAATGGTAATGAAAGAATGATATCATGGGAGTCACGTATAACGCGATGACTGTAGTCTTGTTCCTGTGTATATAGGTGATGGTTACCTTACCGTTTGGTGATTAATTACATAAAAGTGGTATATTAATATAAATATTAATTTAATTAATTTTTTATTGTGCCTGTTTAGCCGGTGTACAATGCCCGGAGAACGAAAATTATGATCCATGCCCCAGTTGTGCTCCTGACACTTGCGACAGCATTGGGAAACAATACAATTGTCCACTGGAGACCCCAGATAATTGTAAGGGTGCCTGTCGATGTCGTACCGACTACTTAAGAAACAGTGACGGTATTTGCATCCCTGTTAGTGCTTGTTAATAACATTGTAACGCCACTTCAAATAAATAATTTAAGATCATGGGTTTATTATTGAATAAAGATCTTTAATTGATTACAAAATACTCTGTTTTTCTTATACATTATTTTTTACCATCATGATACTAGTAGGGTGTTTTTGTAATACGCTTTAGTCACTCTATCTATTCTGTCTTATAAACAAAAACGTATCAAAATCGGTGTAGTTTTTTAAGATGAAAACATACATAGGTCTATTACACAGAAGATATTTTAACCGAAAATTAATGCCGTTTAAATGATATTGGTAGATCAGTTGGGATCATCGGTATTCTTGGTATACGAACTAGTTGCCCGGCGGCCATGGCCCGTGCCGCTGGTAATGATCACTATTATTAAATTGTCCTTCAATTCCTTAGTAAGTAGCCTCTGATGGGTTTACATTTCTTAAAATCGTGATTAGATTATGCTTTTGAGAAATTCCGACTATTGACATGAAATCATATGTTAGCAGTCCAGAAGGGTTTAGTAAAAATTCCTGTTGATAATGAACTACGTTTTCGATATTAGTCACGCTGTCAATTGATTTGTAATTTTTTATTCGTCCGGGAACTTTTTGAATAATTAGATTATTTGTTGACAGTCTCATTCTTAGGTAACACTATTGACTTAGATGGCAACCAATGAAAGCCTTTTTCATGCAAATTCTCGATGTCAAGGTAATTATATTAGGCATAATAAGGCTGGATATAACATGCAGATTGTTGCTCAAGATTTACGGATAGCGGAAGTTTAAAAGAGCAGAGGTGTTTCTAAGATCTTTTAAGGTTCTATCCAAAGCCTCTATGGCTCATGGTACATTCATCCCACATACATCAAAGAGGCATCTTATAATAATTTACCAAGAGACCCTATTTTCTGGATATAACATGACGATGCATAGCGGGAGTTTATAGTAAGTTTTTCATCGTCAGCAATTCCTGACGATGCAACTATAGTAGTTGCATCGTCAGGAATTCGCTATCGTTCCCGGTTGTATGTATTATCTTGCACTACTATTGCTACTCCCATACACCAGTGACGCCCCTACATCACATTTGGTTTATAGTTAACTGAGCGGGTTTTTTTTCTAATACTTACATTGTTAAATACGTGATATCTTTCGAATGGAATGTCCGAATGGAAAAATTCAAAAAGTTATATACAGGTATTGAAGCAGTCGTTAATATGAGGTAATTTATTTTGATAAGGATTAATACCAAGATAGAAAATAAAGATACTTTTCTAGCGGCGGCGCAGTAATTAAATTTATAAACAAAAAAAAAACATTTATTGTGACGTAACTGTGATAGATAGACACATGCCGTCGCGACACTTTTTATAGATAATGATGTGCTCTGTACAGTTGTAGTATATCATTTTCTTCTATCATCAATAGTTTTCGTAGCGCACGCTGTGTTAGGTATTTTTTGTGCAATTTTTTACACATATCATTTTAATATAGCTTCTATGATACATCAATGGAGTAGCTTCCTAATAGTGAAAGAATTTTTCAAATCGGTCTAGTAGTTTCGCAAACTTTTCCTCTTTATAATATTAGTATGAAGTATGATTAGCTGTGTATGAAATATAGGTTTGATGTATATCTAAATATCAACAGCTGATTTTAAAAATTGAAACTGTAAAATAAATACTAAAGGAGATATACACAAACAAAAATTACAGTTACATTATTGGATGAATTGTTCTTTTAGTAGTCATGAATTTTGCATTAAAAAAAAAAGATTCGAACCTTAAAGATGAACCCTTATTTTTTTCTCTTATCTGTTTCGTAGCAAATATAATATATAATACTGAATTGTTTTACATTTACATTCTTTTAATTTACATTCATTCAATTAATATATTTGATAATTTAATATATTTATTAATTAACATCAAATTTACTCACCTTTGCTCAGGAACACCTCGATGTGTATTGTATATATATTTTATTAAAAACAATTATATTAAATTAATTACAATAGTCATTTTTCGTGTTGTAAAATAGTAAAAATGCGATGCGGCCTTTTCTTCTTTTTATTGAATATTTATTAAGCGCCCTTTGAAAGCTTTAAGCAAGTTGTATCACCTCACTAAGAACTCAAGCCACAGCTAAAATTAGTAAAAAGCTGAGTAATTTGGAACAGAAGAAGTAGAAGTTTAAAATAATTGATAAATAATATACAAAACATATTTTTTCGAGAAATAATTTAAAAACACCATATATGCACAACGTCTGAGCAATAGTTTGTAGAATATAAAAATAATACGTATATTTAATGGACAACACGAAAAAAAGTAATTATGCTCAACATTTATTAATTCCGCACGCAAAACATTTAAAATTTAATTATATTTATTATTACTACAAGTGCACGACAAGTAAGTAAGTAAAAAGTAAGTTTCCTATATAAAAAGGGAGTCAAATATATATCAGTATGGTAGAGACAAAGTCACTATCTATAGCTGCTTCAATTTCATTGTTGGGAATGGTAACAGTAAATATCAACAAGAACATGTTCAAGATAGTCAAGACGCTTCTATTGCTGGTCTTAATGACCAACATACATTTTTGTGATGACTACAGGTATGAAAATATTATTTTTATTTAAATATATATATATATATTACACTTACTTATTTATATTACATTTTATTGAAGTCATATTACGTTAATTCTTAAAAAGGTACTACATTACTTTTCAGCTTAATTTAGAACTAGAATAAATTTGTTGCCTAAATTGAATTAGGAAATTAAAAGAAAACTAATCTAAAATATAATACCCAAGGAAGAGGATATAAATAGGATGCGATTAGGCAGTGGATTAGAGGTATGACATCTTAGTCTTCTAGAATGGCAATGCACGAATGGTAGCATGGGTGTCACGTATAACGTGATGACTGTAATCTTGTTCGTATGTAGAAAGATGACGGTTACCCCTTACCATCTAGTGGTTAATTACATAAAAATTGTAAACTAATATAACTATTAATTTATTTAATTTTTAATTGTTACTGTTTAGCCGGTGTACAATGCCCGGAGAACGAAGAATATGATGAATGCCCAAGTTGTGTTCCTGACACTTGCGACAGCATTGGGAAACCATATAATTGTCCAATAGAGCCCCCAAAGAATTGTGAGGGTGCCTGTCGATGTAAAACTAGTTATTATAGAAACAGTAGCAATATTTGTGTTCTTGTTTCTGAGTGTCACTAATATTGTAACTGTACATACAGCAAATAAATACTTTGCAAGAGACTCTGGTTTTCTTATAAATTATTTTTATCATGATGGTCTATAGGTGTTTTTGTTAAGCGATTCCTTGTTTATTTTAATATTAGCTGTGTATAATATATAAATTTTATGCACATCTATAATATCTATAGCTGATATTTGGGTACAAGAATTGAAACTGAAATATAAATACTAAGGACGACACAAACAAAAATTATATTTTCAAGGCTGTGTATGTGAATGATGACAACCTCGGTCTAGTGGTTTAGAACACCGCTTTACTATCTCGTGGGTTCGATTCCAGGTACAACATTTGTATTCATGAGTATGATTGTTTGTATTTCAGGGTGTTTTCTATGTATAATATGTATTTATTTACAAAAAAAATATGTATCCATGTATTTATATCAGTTGTCTATAACACAAGCTAGAGAATGGCGCTGTGTGAATTGTAGAGATTTATATAAAAAAATTCATAAGAGATACCAGCGTATAAATTTGTATTTCATAAGATGAGAGTCATGATCAGTATGAATAGGATATAGAGAAAGTGTATTTATTAAAAAAAAAGAGATCCGAACATTTGTAGGTCATAAGATAAGAGAGGTGTATATTAACGAAGAAAAATATTAACGTCGAAATAAATATATAATAAATATTGTATTATTGAATTGTAAATTAAACTATTAATGTAAATGTAAAACTATTAATGTAGCTATTTATTAATTTAACTATTATTAGTAATTATTACTAACATAGTAATGGGGTTTGTTGCCGGAAGAGACACAAATTATAGTCCATTAAGCTGCGATATAAGACAACCGACCCAAGGGATAGTTTCCCAATTAACGGGCATTATACAATACTGAGTGAAGTGAATTTCGACAGTTCTGATCAAATTAAATTATTAACTAACTACCTATCTCTCGCTACTCTGTCGACCTGAAATGTAAATCTTAAATTTACCGCCGATATAGTCGTTAATCTTTTTTGAAATGAATTATTACAAAAAATAACTTACATATTTCTTTATAATATACGAGACACTTATCATGACAATAGTATATAACAGTCTGCCCGTGCCAAGAAAGCAGCGAATGTACTGTGAATTTCACTACAACTAGATAAATCGACTTTATACAAAATCTTCTGCGTACCTTTAGTTTACACATTTTAGCCGTCAAGCAGCTTGCTTTGCAAGATGCGTTGCGTTTGAAGGGTTAGATAAGGTATCATTACGAAGTGCGAAGGCATGATACAGTAGTTCTCCAGAATAGCAACGCATGAGTTTTTCATTACATGATACCGTCAGTTTGTTTTCTATTCCATTGGCATAAAAAGAACATAAAATTTCCTATAATTACATCATTTAATAATACGTTATAACTTACAGTTATCCGCTAATTAGATAGGTATTTTTTAAAACCTACCAAAACTCAATAAATTGCGATGATAATTGTGAATGAATCTTATACGGTTTGAAACACACAGTTCTTATCTTCACTATTTTATCTGTCTACTGTACAGTAACCTATTGTAATGGCAGGCAATACATCACGGGCCGCGGTTCCTCCGAGATTTCTATATTGATGATTTAATTAAGCAGTTACCCTCAAAGTTGAGTATTGGGACGCTCTGGGATCCGTCCGTAAGGGAATGTTGTCCGTTACGCAGGAATTTGTAATTAAGAAACAACGTCTTGGAACAAAATCTGTTTACGAAGTCAGTAGAAGTATTTTATCTCGCGGTTTGGTTTGAACATTCTCGCGGGAGATGTGGGGAAACAGAAGATAGTTCACATTCTTCTAGTTGTTTACCAATTGCAATATTTGAGTCGATAAACGTTTAAAGTTGGCGGTTTAAGTTGGTTAAGTTAATCTATGTTCTTAAGTAAACTAAAGGAATGAATACGTACTTACTTATAGTAATAATATATTAAAAACTTCACAACTGCCATACCAGATAGAGTAGGCAGGCATTGTTAATGAGGAGGACGTAACACGTGACATTCCCACATTTCGATGGATAAACCTATTTGCAATGGGCAAGACGTTCCGTCTCTCAGAACATTTTTTTTGTCACATTGAGTTTTTAATGTCAGTCGGTTTTGAACTCGTGTTGGAAATCATGTCAATAAAACCACTATGCTACAACACTCTTATCACACAGGAGTAGGAGAATAATATTAATTAACTTGATATTCTAACAGTGTTTATGCTCTAACTTGTTACATAATTCCTAAGTAATTTTGTAGTTCATGTACAAGCAGATTGCGTTGTGTGTATGAATAAATAGTCAGATTAATTAATTATGAATTCTAAGCCTATACATTAACCTCTATGGGAGCAACCAGATGTGTTTCTGTAAGTCACGATATGTTTAAAGTTAAAGCAGTGACAACCATGAAATTGTGGAGTATAAATGGTTCTACAGATACACACATGTATAATATAGTTACGAATAATTTATTCCTTTCCTTAGTCAGACTTCGCGAAACGTTCCAATATTTATGCTCTTGTATTATCAGAGCTTGATATTAAATGATTTTATTATATTCCGTTTCAAACATTTCCGCATTTTCGATATATGTATATTTCTTTTATAACTTTCTTATTTCTTTTATACTTACTGCAATAATTTGACAAAATTAAATAAAAGTACCTAGTTAATTGAAATCTTTTACATCGTATTTTTTTAAGAAACAATGTATCAGTAATGTTAAAAGACAGAAAAGATATAGGTTTCAGATTTTGTTCCTTTTTATTACCTTACTCATCTTTGGAACCAAAACCTACAAGTTTCGCATCTAAGAGTAAGTTCCTTATTTAGAATACAAGCATGATCAATATCAGCAGTCTCTACAGCATACCAGCTCCGTATTTAGTATTTTTTTAAAAGTCATACGATTTTGATTTTTATTAAATTTGATTTATTGTGATGCCCACAACGCCACTCATGCGTTGCATTTTTTTGTATACTACTATCGTAGCAAACAAGCATACGACTCGTAGCCTAATGACGCCTTGAGCACAAACATGCATATCCTGTATATGCCTTACCTTATTGCCTTTCAATCGAAACACAGTTTATAGAAAAGCTGCTTGGTAGCTAAAATAGGTGAGACAGAGATATTCACTTAAGGGACTCTATAAAAGACTACATTCATTATAGAAATATAATAGAAAATGGTTTTTGATGGAAATATTATTTAGCACGGCGCTGTTTTTAATTCTAGCTCTAGTAAATTGATCTCATCGGTTACTCGATGTACATAGTTAGTGCTCGGTGGTCAATAGTTCATTGTGAAATTTGCAAGGCGCGCCGAACTCGGACGGCCAACTAATTTGCTGGCCGACCAATCTTTACCTTAACGGTCATTGCATAGCTGTAGACCGATTCAACTTCGACGGTGCATAGCAAACTAACTGTAACGTAATGAATATTTGATACTGGAATTTCTGTTATATATATATTATATATAAAATTCTCGTGTCACAAAGTTGTTTACCATGCTCTTCCGAAACTTCACCGATTTTTATGAATTTTTATATGCATATTCAGTAGGTCTGAGAATCGGCTAATATTTATTTTTCATACACCTAAATGTTGTTATAGTTGATATTTTTTTATAATGTACATTAAAAAATACATACCACCAAAAATTGTCACCCTTCTACAAATTATCTACCCCTATTTTTAGTAACGATTTCAATTTATATGATAAAACAACGTTTGCGGCGTCAACTAATATACGAGTATATATGGCTCAGTCCATACTCCATCCTGTTTTAACTCAAAAATTACAAATTTTATATATTTTTAACAGTTATTTTATTTTTATACTAAGCGTGCGATGTACTAGAATAAAGCGGCTAGTCAAATACGTATATTTATAAAGACGTTAAATGTAAACGTTTCTTACATTGACTAACCAAATGATATCAATAAATAGTTTCGGAAGTCGCTGATATAATATTTATATAATAGAAGATATCACTTATTTCAATGTGGTAGCAATATCAGAATGCTACTATTTACCAAACATGTTATCCTTTCATTATCGTAACTATCAACCAAAAGAACAAAGTACATTATACCAAATATGCATAGTAAGAAATGGAAATTTTACATTAAACATAAACAAAGACGCCTGGAAAATAAGGTAATGAGTTGTCCTTATCAACTCTTTCCTTTATGGTAGTCTCTTAAAAAAATAGGTACAAAATACCTAACAGAATATACCAAAAACAACCTATATATGGATACATGGAAAGATGACTGAAAATTCAATTATATATCAATCCACAGAGAACAGCAAGATAATAATAAAACCTTTTATAACTTATCTATTATTTTTTTCGGTGACGACATGTCGCTTGAAATATTTAACCGCATTTACTGCGGCCCAAAACTTCCATTCATTGGAGTAAGTACTCCCAGCTTGCACCTAGAAGATATTGGTCTATATTTAGCTAACTATGATTAACACAAGGTAAAAAATTGGTACAAATCATTCTTTAAATAGAGATAATTTCATAATATCCTTGCTGATAATATGTAAATTTTTTTTAGCCAAAAAAATATAACCAAATATGTTATACACAGAAAACTACACAATGACATAACAACTAAGTTACTTTATTTTATCCCGTTTAACTGATATTATATAAAAGAATATAATGTATATTGTATATAAAACAAATAGTCAGCTGTTATACTTTGAACTCCACTGTAGAATATTAAACTCCCATACAAACCACAATTATTTTCTTTAAATGTTCAAAATGCTGATTGCAAGTACTCGTCGGAGATAAAGCCGAAACTGACACTTATTCAATCGCTAAAAGTCACGTACGACTTGTATAATTCTGAAATTCCAGAACCAACTGGTACGAGTTAGATAATACGCTGACTGATAGAAAATGACAATGAGATGTATGAGGCTAACAACAAAATCGAAGTACAGTTTAATAATGTCACGT